CAGTAAGTGTTGTAGAAGTACTAATAATTATATTTTACCAAATTTCTTTATAATTTGATGATTTCAGAATGGTGTGTTATTTAATTTTGTGTATGTTATTTTTCTGTTCATTTGGAAATTGATTAATACAGCAATATTTCTTATCAAAATTCTTTTCATTTAGGTTCCCAATTTCTAACAAATACTTTTGTTACTGGGTCTACAAAAAAGTTTGTAAAAATGAAAATTGAAAATTACAGGAATTATGGTTGAATTATTGATATAGGATTTTGTTATTAAATTTGCAAAAGGTTTGTTATAATTACAAACTACTTATTCATTTAGTTAACAGATTACAGTTGGTTGTAAACTTAACATGAAGTTAGGTGGACCTGCATAAACATAAAAACTGAGTTAAAAATAAACAAATATTTTTTACTCTCTATCTCTATCTAGGTAATCATAAATTGGTTAGCTTGCCCGGGCACACAGTACGGTTGAAAGTTACAAAGTTATGTAAATGGATTACTTCTGTACACTGAAAGCTAACAGACTACTCCAAATGACTTAGTACGATGCATTTGGCCATTTGTTTGGAGTTTTTAAGTATTTAAGCTGTTTTTAATTTAAAAAATAACAAACAATTTTAAATTAATGGCAAAGTATTTTATTTATAAAAAGTATATGTACCAAAAACAATTATAATTTATATGTAACGATTAAAAAGTATGAAATCATTAAAAAGAGTGGGATTTACTTTATGAACAACCCCTTATTATTATTTGTACGAAATGAAATAAACTACAGATTTTCTTTTAACTTTTTGACCTATTACACTAGTTTACAAAATCGAAAAAAAATTCTGTCCACCATATCCCATTATAATTTTTCCATGTATTTTGACGCACTAAACACGAAAATCACACTCAATTTTTTTTATGGAAGCGTTTTTGAAATATGATTTTTATTTAATTTTCGGAGTTGTTTTGACGTTTTTGAGTTGAACTTGAAATCTAATTAATGGGTTTGGTCAAACAAGCCCTTAAATTGAAAGTATTTAAGCCCTCTAAAACTTTATTTTACATACTTTTGATATCGGATAAGTATTTTGACACTAGCGATTTAAATAACTTAAAAAAATCGTTTTTATGGGAAAAATTGATATAATTTACATATCGTCCTGGGAAACGTTTAAATCGAACAGATAACTCCAGTTTAATTTTTTTTCGTGAAGCTGACATTTTTAGAAAAAAAACAAGCCAATGTTGATAAAAATACATGGAAAAATGGCGAAGTTATGAATTTTTTAGTGGAAGACCAAAATTCAGCTTTTTGACGATTTTTATTTTATTTTTTTTATTTTATTTTGTAACATGTTTATTCTTTAATAAAACGTACGTACTTTTTTCACCGAAAATATTATTCAAAATTTAAATTTGACATGACGCCGCAAACGTGAATTCTTTTGTTTCTCGTGTTGGCATAGTGACATTTTACTCCTTTTTTTGATATTCCAACAAGGTATTTTTATCATAGTTTTATTAAGTTAATAAAAAGTGTAATATGAGTTAAAGAAGTAGAAATTTCGAGTGCGTAAATAACCCGGTCACTCTGGGTGACATAAGTGATGAGCACGGAGAACGTTTTACCAGCAAATGAAGGCTATGGAGCGGCGGTATCACGCCTTCTAAGAAGCAGCCATGATGGGTGATTACATTTGGTCCCTCATACGAGAAACGGAATACAAAAGAAACAAAAAACAAAGAAGGGTCCAGAATTTTTTTAAACCTATGCTTATTAAAACAAACTAAAACTTTCAATATCTTCAATGCTCAATATTTATTGTTCAATATTCAATATATAATTTAATTTCAATATTTAATGTTTAAAATAAAAATCAATGTATAATATTAAATTTTATATAATTCAATAACATGAAGAAAAAATTTTGCTCTTCCACTGAAAAATTCATAACATCGCCATTTATCCATGGATTTTTATCAACAGCAGCTTATTTTTTTTCTTTAAGTATAATCTATATCTATATATTTTACGTATACGTAAAATAAATCAAACTGGACATCTTTTCGATTTCTATCTTTTCCAGAAGGATATGTAAATTTTCGACCTCGATTTTTGTAAAAAAAAGGACTTTTTCAACTTCATGAAATCGCCAGTATCGAACTACTGAGCCGATACCAAAACTATACAAAAGAAAGTTGTAGAGGGCTCAATTACCTTTGATTTAAGTGCTTGTTTGGTCAAATCGATCAATTAGAACTCGAAGTATACTCTAAAACGTCAAAACACCTCAGAAAATTGAAAAACTAACAAGTGTTATTAATGTTTTAGTTTCTCCCTTAAACTTTATGTTTTTAAGTATTTTACTAACAATAAGCAAGTATTAGCGATATAATGAGGCAATCATTTTCAAATACATCCATAAATGTATGTTCTAAATGTACTAAATATTTTAATTGGCACTCGGACCCTTCGTAAGTTATACTCTTCAAATAATAATTATAACTAAGACAGTAAATTCTATTAAAGTTTTGATATTAAAATCGCTTGTCGAGATAACCGACAGTCGACCTCATTATACGACAAAAGGTCCATTGAGCTTATTGTCACTTTGAAGTGTGACTGGAAAATTTGTGCCAAAGTACTTACCTTCTTTGATGTACGGGCCACCGAACTCCCATTGAGAACTGACATCTGCTGGATGGTCTTGCATAAAAAATTTTAAATAAACTTGTCTCCTTTTCCCCGTCATGCTTGAATACATCAAACAAGATTAAGTAAAATGAGTATTTTATTTATTTTATAGCTTGGAATACAAATTTAAATATACAGGGTGTTATCAAGTGGAGACAATCGTTATAAAGCCAACTTTTTACTCTGTACTTTAAGTTATGAAAAATGTGATGAAATGTTTTATAACAAAGTTACACTAGTATATAATTTCTACCATATCATGATATTTTGACAAAGGCAATTTTTGCACGGAGTGATTTTGTTTACCTGCAAGTATTAGAATAAACAGCTAGATAACTAAATCGTGTGTTATAACATAAACATAGACCACAGCATAAATATACTTTTATCTTTATACCTATCTATAGGTATATTTATGCTGTGGTCTATGTTTATTTGTGTTCATAGAATAAAAAAAAATTCGATACAAAATATTTAAAACTTTTAATGTTTGCACCTCCCTGATATTTATGAAGGTTAACTTATTACTATCTAATTCTTATCTATGAACATTTTGAAATAAATGTATTTTTTAATTTACTTTATTAATGATATAGTATTAAAATAACGCATTTTTTAAAACCATATCTTACAGTATACAGGGTGTCCCGAAACTGGTGCTTTAAGGTTTTAAAAATTTGAACTTTTTTTGTTATTTTAGTGTTTTAATATTATTTATTTGTTTAATAGGATAGAAAACAATTTTCTAAATAGGTTCTAAAATAAACTTTTAAAACTTCGTAATAACAACATTTTTACATTTTTATGGCCTCATGAAGTTTTGGACTTTTATTGTAAATTGATGTAATCAAATAGAGTGACTGGCAAAAGTATGAAACAAATTTATTAAAAAAGTGCCTTTTTTCATAAAAAAAGTCCATAGTTACATACACTCACAGGCAAAATAATCGATCCACACAAATTTTCGATGAATTTTAATCGCAAATAACTTTTTTATTTGATGTCGGATTTAAACGAATATTAAAGAATATTGTAGATAAATTAATGGACAATCGCTCACATTTTAAAAAATTACTAAAAAATAGACGTACGTTTATAATATACAGGTTTAAACAAAAAGATGTTTTTTACCATAAGTTTAAGACACTCTGTAGAGTGGCAAAACAGTATATTGTCCTAAATTAAGTTTTATTTATCAAGTCACATCTATTCTAAACAGTTTTTTTATTGGTTCACCTCGTTATATTTATTTTTGTGGAAAATATGGATTTTTTAAAAAAACATTTCAATTTACAATATTTTTCTGTATGAAGAACTAAGGTTACTATGGTCCATCCATATGCTATGGAGAATGACAGTGACAGTTTTGTTGAATCATCCCATACTTGGACATGTCATACACGGCTTTCAAAAGCTATCAAATTGTTTTTTGCAAATTAATGTTTAAATTTTGAGGTGTCTTCTCACTTTAAAAATTAGATATGTCCCCGACTGATGTTGCCAGAGCCATTAATTTAATCCAGGATGGACGGTCACAGTATTACGTGGCAAGTGTTTTAAATCAGTCGAGGACATTTTTAAAAGTAAAAATTAACGCATTAATTTACAAAAAACAATTTGATAGCTTTTGAAAGCTGTATATGACATGTCCAAGTATGGGATGGTTCAACAAAACTGTCACTGCCATCCTCCGTAGGCTATGGATGGACCATAGCAACCTTAGTTCTTCATACAGGAAAAATATTGAAAATTGCAATGTTTTTAAAAAAAAATCCATATTTTCCACAAAAATAAATATATCAAGGTGAACCAAAAACAAAACTATTAAAAATAGACTTGATAATTAAAACTTAATTTAGAACAATTTACGGTTTTGCCACTCTACAGAGTGTCTTAAACTTATGGTTAAAAACATCTTTTTGTTTAAACCTGTATATTATAAACGTACGTGTATTTTTTAGTAATTTTTAAAATGTGAGCGATTCTCCATTAATGTATCTAAAATATTCTTTAATATTTGTTTAAATCCGAAATCAAATAAAAAAGTTATTTACGATTGAAATTCATCGAAAATTTGTGTGGATCGATTATTTTGCCTGTGAGTATATATAAAAAAATACATCTGTCAATCTTGTTAATTTTTGCTCTGTAAATACGTTGTTTATTTTGTCTCATAAATCGGCTTAGGAAAAACCGCTTCAATAATAAAAATGTCAAAAACTACTTGTACGAATTTTTTTGTCTTGTATGTGTTAAAACATTTAGTGCCATTTTTGGAACACACTGTATATGTTATACATTATTATTTATAAAAATTCTGGTTAGAAACAGTATCAAGGTCAATGGTACTTGGCGTACAAATTTATCATACGTAAATTTATTACAAATAAATGTAAAATTTAGTTTTTAAAAACATATTGTTAAGATGGACTCTAAATCCTATTTTGATCTGTCAAGTGGTTACAAAATTCCGGTGGTGGGTTTAGGGACATCAAAAGTAAGTACCTACACAAAATTTATTGCTAAAAAGTTTAACCAACCATCATTGTTTCGAGAAATTCTAACCCAGAAGTTATTTTTTTTTAGTGATATTAACATTTCTTCATTTTTAGTGTAAAGTAGAGGAACTGGAACAAGCCTTAAATGCAGCTCTAGAAATAGGCTACAGGCACATAGATACAGCCTCTGTGTATAATAATGAAAACACAATAGGCACTGTTTTAAAGCAATGGTTGGATTCCGGTAAAGTTAAAAGAGAACAATTGTTTGTAGCTACAAAATTAGCTTTCTTTAACCACAGTTTGAATGGGATTGAAGAAAATGTATTAAGATCTTTGGAAAAATTGAAACTTGATTATGTCGATTTGTATTTAATACATTTTCCTGTAAATATTGAAAAAAAGGAAGGACATGGAGAAGTTTGGAAAACATTGGAAACCGATCATATTGCCATGTGGAAAGTAATGTTTTTGTTATGTATATAATAAACCTTTTTTACATAAGTCATTTTAGGATCTTGAAGAACAAGTTGATAAAGGCAGAATCAAATCACTTGGTGTATCAAATTTCAATCAAAAACAAATACAAAAAATATTAGACTCAAACCCAAAGCATAAGATAACAAATCTACAAGTAGAGCTACACGTTTTCCTTCAACAACCGGAACTTGTTGAATTTTGCCATAAAAACAATATAACAATAACTGCATTTGGTCCTTTAGGATCTCCAGGATACAACGAACATTTATTAAAAGTTGGAGAAAAGTTTGTGGACAATATTTTATAGAACATTTTATAGCAAAAAATATTTTAGAGCGATAAATATTCCCCATATCCTAAGCAACGAGATAGTAAGGAAAATTTCAGAGAAACATAGTAAAACCCCAGCACAAGTTGTATTAAGATTTTTGCTTCAAAATGATGTTATTGTTATTCCCAAAAGTGTTAAACCTGAACGTTTAAGGGAGAATTTTGATTTGTTTGGTTTTGTTTTGGAAGAAAGTGATATGATGGAATTAAGGCGGTTGGATATGGGAGAAAAGGGAAGAATATTTAACTTTAGCATGATTAAAGGGTTTGTAAAATAACATTTTATAGCATATCTCATGAAAACATGTTATATTTTATAATTTAACAACAATATTTGATTTGCATTTTTTATTTTAGACTTTCATCACATCCAGAGTGGCCATTTGGTACAGATATTTATACCATTTAAATGTATTGATATAAAGATTTTTAATCATAAAATACATTGTATATAAAATATGTTTTTTGTTTTAGACCCTTTAAACTTTCTATTTTCATCTCGGAAAAGGAAACTCAACATTTTTCTCCAAACTAAAACAAAAATTTATATATTTATGCCACTTTTTAAGGACACCTTGTATATATTAGGGTGTGCCAAAAAAACTCGATATTTTTTTTTTCTTGCTCTCCACCCAAAATATCGTAAAATATGTCCGAACAAATATTCTGTTAAAAGCGGAGCTCATAATTTCAATTTTAAGAGGTCCCTCATCGAATCTGAAGTTTTGCCGCTTAAATAACACAGAAAACTGACTTTTTTACCTTATTTATTCTTGCAACCTAGGAAGATTTTTTTTTTTTCGTAAAATCCATGACTAATTCTTACAAAGCATTAAATTTGGACAAAAAAATCTTATTAAGCCGAATTTCTTTTTTCATTATTTAATTTTTTACATAGCTTTAAATTTAAAGATAATAATACAAAAATGATGACTTTATACGCCTGTAACTTTTAGAATATTGACGATATAAAAAATTCGTCTAAAACTTTTTTGTGGTCCATCAGACAAGCTAAAAAATTACCATTTGACTTTTTCGTCTAACTTCAATAGTTTAGCTGAAAAAGGCAAAAAACGTAAAATTTTAAATTTAAAGCTCTGTAAAAAATTAAATAATGAAAATAGAAATTCGGCTTAATAAGATTTTTTCGTCCAAGTTTAATGCTTTGTAAGATTTGGTCATGGATTTTATGAAAAAAAAATTTCTTCCTAGGTTGCAAGAATAAATAAGGTAAAAAGGTCAGTTTTCTGTGCTATTTAAGCGGCAAAACTTCAGATTCGATGAGGGACCTCTTAAAATTGAAATTATGAGCTCCGCTTTTAACAGAATATTTGTTTGGACATATTCTACGATATTTTGGGTGGAGAGCAAGAAAAAAACTATTTCGAGTTTTTTTGACACACCCTAGTACGTATATATATGTACCTATATATGGGTGAATCTCACGAAATGTCCCCCGATGGTATTACCCCGTGATATTTAATAAAACTAAATGAGTTTGACCTACACTTTTATTGTGTTTTGATCTTTCATAATTAAGTAGATATTACAGCTCAGGTTTCAGATTTTTAACCGCAATTAATTATTTTTACAATGTTTTAAAAGTCTAAAACCTATCCTCCGTGAATGTTACTCTTTCTAGGTTAACCTATATTTTTTCAAATATCTGAGGTAGTAAAATCATACTAAAAATATCAGTTCACTAAGTAAATTAAATACATCCAAAGCAATCGAATCAAATATAAAATATTATTAAAAATTAAAGGAAATAATTTTTATAACCGTTGTAACGTATGTAGGTGCTACAAAAATTGATTCTATCCTCCGTGAATCTGTTTTTGCTTTAAATATTATGCAACGGATGGCGCTTTAATCATTTTAAATAAGCGAAAACCTCTGTTTACGACATTATAGAAGCATGTGATTCCTTCAGTTAGAATTCATATGCAGATGAGAGTGTTGCTGTTTTTTAATTCAAAAGTTTAAGTTCATTAATTTGATATTTAGAAACCTATTCACCGTAAAGTGTAATATCTCAGAAAGTAGATTTTTTTATAAATATTTTATGTATGTACAATTGTATTTTTAAAAAATATTAAGGTGTCAAAAGATACAATAACTTATTTCAAATATACAAAGGGATGTTTAAAAAAAACTTACGAAATCCTCACCTCCGTGAAGCTATCTTGTTATGTTATTATTAGACCTAGTGGCTTCCCAAAACCCCATTCTAGACTAACAGTGAAACAACCAAAAATAAAAAATAATCATTTTACCTTGGGGGACATCTCAATATATTCACCCATATACATTTATAATTACCCAGGAAATAACATGCAGTCACACACACGAGCCGCTTCACCCACTTCCATATCATTAATAATTTTTACATCGTCTTCATCTAGGGAAAAATCAAAAACATCGAAATTCTCTTTTAATCTATTGGGGTTGATGCTTTTTGGTATAACCGCAACATTTCTTTGCATTGTGTATCTTAACAAAACTTGCGCGTTGGTCTTTTCATGTTTTTTCGCGATCTTCTTGATGGATAGGTCGTTGATTAAATCTGGAATCGGTTTGACCCTAAAAGAAGAATTCTACTGAAAGTACACTGTTCTCAAAAATCATATTCATTTTTATGTATTTTCTTATATTATGGTTACTTACGGTTTTCCAAAGGACTCCAAAAACTTATTATATCCTGGTGATCCCAAGGGAGAGTAAGCAGTAACTGATACACCATTATCTTGACAGAATTTCACCAATTCTCTTTGTTGAAGCTGAACATGGAGCTCAACTTGTAAATTTGCTGGCTTTATTTCAGAATTTTTCAGGATTCTATCTATCTGTCTTATATTGAAATTCGATACACCAATAGCTTTGGTACGACCTGCCCTTACTTGTTCTTCCATTTTCTACAATATATGTAAATTTACATTTAAATTCGTTAAAAATTGTCATAGCATACCTTCCAAACAGCTAGGTGATCAGTAACTTCGGTCTCATACGTTTTTTCACTCCTGCTAAATATTTCACCATCATTAAGCTTCATATAGACAGGAAAGTGTATTAAATACAAGTCGACATAATCTACATCAAGACTCTTCAACGATGCCTTTATCATTTCCTCGACTTTATCAGCCTTAATAGCGAATAAAGGCAGTTTCGTTGTTATAAATAAATCTTCTCTTTTTAGTTTTCCTGAATCGAACCATTTTTTAAGTACTTTACCAATTATTTGCTCGTTACCATAAGCATAGGCTGTATCTATGTGTCTGTAGCCTATTTCTAGAGCTACATCCAGGGCGTTTACAAGTTCTTCTTCGTTTGTACACTGAACAAAAAAATCACATTTTAGTAATTAATTAATACTTTGATTAATAATTAAAATGATTCGTACTTGCCAGGTTCCCAGACCAACAATAGGCATTTTGTTGCCTTCCTGGATATCAATGTATTTTTTTCCCGCCATATTTACTTGTGTGCTATCTACGCTGTTTTTAACAACACTAAATAATTATTCTACTTTTCACTTTATATATTTTTTAGATAAAAGAAAAAAGAGTTGAAGTGATTTAAAAACAAAATTTAATGCATAATATTGTGCAATACACTATAAATACTTTATTTTTTAAATTGTAGTGCTAAAATGTGTTCATAAACACTTACTGTTTTAACTTAATAATATCAAATATTATTTTTTAGTTTATAGGTAAATAATATATTTTTTCTACTCCCACCTTTAAAACGCCCTTTATCGTACATGTTTCCATGACACTAAGTAACCTTTTGACATTGACAAGTTGTGGCTTTATGGCGCTTTAGTCACGGGCCGAAGTTAGCAACATGTTTTTAGTCAAGGGCTGAAGTTAGTTTTAAGTTAGTTGGCAGTTGATCGTTAAAATAAAGTGCCTTTCTTGTAAAATAATACTAAATGTGAAAATTATTTTATTATCTCAATACAAAAATACAAAAATATTAAATAGTTTCTCAACGCCAATATTTGAAAAGTTTATATGAACATTGTACTGACCTTTTAATTTCGCCGGCAGTAAACTATAACTTAAATTCGGGCACGGACTCTACTGTAAAGTCCTCATAAAACATTTTCTTTACTTTCACTGTGAAAAACTGTCAATTTTCAAGAAATACATTTCGATTTATAATCTGTGTTTATAAAATACAAAAATGTGACATTTGACGGTGACACACAGATTCCCATGTTGTTGCATAGATGGCGCTCTATACAAATTTTTAATTTAAATCATATTAAGATAATAATAAGTATTTGTCGTAGAAAAAGTATGGTATGCTCCTCGTTTATAAACTTTTCTATACACTCAATAATTTAATTAAATTCGTGTATAAAATGGCGTTTATCAAACTCCTATATTGACGAGCTGTGACTTTATGGCATTTTAGTCACGGGCTGAAGTTAAAAACAGTAGCTTTTAAGTGAGGTTAAATTTGGTTGACAGTTGACAGATATCAAATTTTTAACAACTAAAATTGACTTTTAATTATGTTCATCGTAGATAAAGTATAGTATGCGTTTATAAACTTCTCTAGACACTCGTTTTTATTAAACACTCGCCCGCAAGCTTCGCTCTTTCTTAATTAAAACTAAAATGGAGTTTATAATGCTTGATACATATTATACTATTTATGTATATACTCTTACATTAATTTAAAATAAAAAAATCATTTTACCCAATCATAACCAAAAGAAATAAATGAATAAAACTTTATTAACACGTTTAAGAATGTATTATTTAATTGTTTTTTAAGCGTACACAATTTTTTATATTATAACACTTCGTACAGAAATAAAGCTTAAATGTCATCTTGTTAGTTAAACCTAACCCAAAAATGATGTGACAGAATCTTAAGAAATCATTTAATTAAATGCTTGATCAGTAAAAAGTTTATAAAACCCGACAGAGAAATCTATTATCGCCTCGCCTGGTCTATTAAGTACTATTTTCGATCAATTAAATACTAGAATACTGTGGTGCGATACAAACTATATGGAATTAAATATTAATAAATGTAAATGTATCAGTTTTTATAGAACTAAAAGTTATATAGTATATCCGTACTTTATAAATAATATCATTTTGGAAAATTTTAATTTAAATTAAAGAATTTAGGTGTTTACTTATTTGGCTACCATGTTGATTTTATTGTAAATGAAGCTTTAAAAATGTTAGGATTTGTAAAAAGAAGTACTTATGAAAGATTTTAATAATATTCAATTTGTTAAAAGTGTTTATATGTCCTTTGTACGTAGTATCCTGGAGTATTGTTGTGTAATTTGGTCCCCTTATTATTTTAATTCAAGTGCTAAAATTGATAAAGTTCAAAACAATTTTTTGCGATATTGTGGATTCAAATTAAACATTGAATGTAAATATAGTTTGGATTTAGTTAGAAAAGCAACACATTTAGATTTGTTAAGTAATAGTCTTATTTTTCTATATAAATTATTAAATAACTTAATTAATTGTCCAGAGTTGTTACAACAAATAAGTTTTAACGTAGGTACCAATGAGACGAACAAGACATCCTGAATTATTTTATATAAAAAGGCATAGAACCGAATATGCTAAATTCATGCCAATAAACAGAATGAGAATGTGTTCTAATGCAAACAACTTTGATTTGGATTTTTTCAATTCCTCATTGGCAGTATTTGAGAGATGTTGTAAGGATTTGTAAAGTGGATTTTCCGTTAAAAAAGTTATTATTATTAATATTATCACATAAACACATAAGTGTTTTGTAATAAAAAAAAAGTTCCTAACACGTAACGATATATAGTAAATTTAAAAGTAAACTACGTACACGTCATCAATAAAACAAAAATTTTACGCATTGGTACCAACACTAAATGACTAAATCGAAGTCTGTAATTGAATATTTGAATGCATTTTAAACATCTTCAGTTGGCAACAATTAAGATGTTGTCATATTTACATTCAAATATTTCATATTTAAATGACATATAAAAAAGAATTTGACGTTTCAGAATTTCGAAGCTGTCAGTTGTGTTTTTGAATATTTAGTTTAATTCGTGTATTATTTCGTTTATTTTGTTTGTTGTTTGTGTTATTTTATATCGTTTAAGTTTTCATTGCCGTTTTTGTGTTTGTTATATATCGTTTTTTTTTGTGTTTCCTATATTTAAAATGCCGAAGCATTTAAATAGTCGGAGTCAAGAGTTGGTGTCATCCTTAATACGCTATTTTGAGGCAGAACGGGATAATAATGGACCTTTGTTACCTTTAACAGCTGTTAGAGAGGTAAATAGGATTATTATTAATTATATATTGGAATATTTAACAAAATATATGTGGGATACATAAAATAATAATATATATACCAGAGACTGACTTTAGATGGCAAAATTTTTGGTTTTTATATCAGAAAATGTCTTTAAAAATGGCTAAAAAGTTTTTAGCCATTTTTAAAGACATTTTCTGATATAAAACCCAAAAACATACTTTTGGCGGTGCATCATATAGGTTATAAAAACTCACACTTTTGACATTTTGGTATTATTCATGTAAACGCCATCTATCGCCCTGTAGTTGCACTACCACTTTCCCTTGATGCAAGGATTTTAGCATCACATTGACAACCGATCAGCTGATTGATGACGTGTACGTAGTTTACTTTTAAATTTACTATATATTAGGTGTCAGTTCTAGGGACTTTTTTCTGAATCCTATAGGTTAGGTTGGTAACCGAACTCTTTTAGGAGTCAAATTTCCAACTCGTGTGCTATATAATGTTTTTTGAAAACCTTACCCAATTTATATTGTAATATATACATATGAAGAAAAAAGTGAAAATACAAATTCGTTTTTTCATGAAATAAAAAATCAAAATATTATAAAAATCTTTATTTAATAATATTTAAAAACATAAATCATTTGTAGTATTTTGTGGAGACTGACAAATAATTATTTTTACCATGGGAACTCCTCATGACCCTCAAGTCTAAAATTAAAAAACAAATGTTTCAAAATTGGTGTATCACATTTTTATAGGCTAAACAATACTGACGCAAATTAAGGCAGTTTTAATGTTTAAACAATTTTTAAAAATAAATACATACTTAAAGGCTGCCCAATCACAAATACGGCTCTTTTCACCAATATCCAAATCATTTAGAGCCTGCATTTCTTCATTAGTCAAGGACCAATCAAAGAGGTTATAATTTTCTGCAAGTCTGTTAACTGTGACCGTTTTCGGGATAACGATGATATCCCTTTGGATTTGGTATCTAAGCATGACTTGGGCATTTGATTTTTGATGATTATTTGCTATTTTCGATACAACTTTATCTTGAAGCATGTTACCGATGTCCGGTTTAGTACTAAAAAATACATAACTAAACTAAAACATGCATCTTAACAATTTTCTTACGGTAATCCATGGGCTACCGCAAACTTGTTATAGCCAGGATTTCCCAATGGTGAGTAAGCAGTAACTGTAATGCCGTTGTGTTGGCAATACTCTACCAACTCCCGTTGCTGAAGGTATACATGGTTTTCGATTTGCAAATTTGCTGGCTTAACTTTTGGATTCGAAGCTAGAAGTCTCTCGATTTGTTTTTTGTTGAAGTTTGAAAGACCTATGGCCCTGGCTCTTCCTAGTTCAACTTGTTTCTCAAGAATCTAGAATCAAATGATTTTAAATAGTAAGATTAGAAGTCTTAATATTTACCTTCCATAGTCCAATGTGATCTGTTGGCCCTCCATATGGTTTCTTCCCTTCCTTAAAAACCATACTAACTGGAAAATGAACCAAGTAGAGATCAACATAATCCATATCAAGGTTTTTCAAAGATTCCAGCAATTTTGATTCGGCTATTTCTTTGTTAGATCCCAAAAGTTTTGTTGTGATAAAAATATCCTCCCTTTTAAGTTTTCCCTGGGATATCCATTTTTTAATTACTTGTCCTATAACCTTTTCATTTCCATAGGCGTAGGCAGTGTCGATGTGCCTGTATCCCAGTTCCAAGGCTGCATCAAGAACTGTCTCCAATTGTTCAGGATCCTTGGCCTAAAATTAATTGGTCTTACAACCCTTGACAAAAATGGTTTCAATATAGTCTTACTTCCCAAGTCCCCAAACCAACCAAAGGCATTTGCCTTCCATTAACTAGTTTTAACGATTTTACTGACATTTTATAATAAACAATCCGCTCAAAATGCTATAACGAACCGAATAGATATAATGTTTTAATATAATACTGATACAATATTATTACATTCGCAAACAAAAGATAAGCTTATGCATAAGTGTTTTATTTGTTTTTTCAAATTGTTCAAAATGCTAACAATCATTTAGTAAATTGCGCAATATTAACAAACGAAATTTTAAAAAATTATATTATTTAAATTCCGACTATTCTTCTTTAACCTTTGAAAAACCTTTGATATAGAATATCAGGAACTTATTTATCTTTAAACCCACAAATGCAAAACCCAAATGATCTTCAACGTTGCACCGAGGTGTGCCGTCGTCGCTGCAAAATATCCCCTCCCTTTTAAGGCGTTCAAATGCTCTCGGTGCTGTATACCTTTATCGTGAAAATACGGTATTTTTATCTCAGTGTGCTTTAAATACAAAAACAAAAAAACATGTTATAAAATGTTAGTTACGTAAATTACACTTCAAAAAATTGAATAGGTACTTAAATATAATGTGTCTTATTAACATATATGTACATATACCTATAACAGTTCTTGAATAGTACCAAATTCACGTATGAATATGTTTTCTGGTATTGAAAAAGTTATCATCCTCATATATATTTTTACAATAATAAAATCTGATGTTTATTCTAAAGGTAAATAATTATACAAATATAAACATTATATATTTTTAAACAGAATCAAGACTTAAGTGCTGAATCCGAATTTGACATCAGAATTGCTTCATCAATAGAAATTTTTATTTGAATTTTTTTAGTATACTTTAGTTAAAAATTCCAAGGTTGAATTCTTATTTAGCGCATAAAAAACCTTTTAAAAAGGTATGGCCTAATTTCAAAAATATTAATAACTTTTTTATAGATACAAGTATAGGAACAAAAATAAAACGAAACTATTTTATGGGTTTCGAAGTATATGGATAGACTACAGACTACAATCACTTTAGATAGTACAACGACTAAAATATACACTACACCTTTAACTACAACTGACACTTTAAATGGTGCAACGAATAAAATATAAACTACACTTTTAACTACTACAGAAACAGAACTAAATAGAATCTTCACTCCAAACCCAACTCATTGTACTAAAAAGTACAGCAACTACAATGACTACTACAAAAAATAAAAACACGATAGAGAGATGAATGGGTTAGCGGTTGTTATCCTAACAGTGGAGGACTACTAAAATATTTTTTTAAATTAAATATTTTTTTACATTATACAGTACTAGGGATGTAAAATGACGGACATTTATTTATGTGACACGTGACATGTCATTTTTGTCATTTATGGTCATTTTTATTTCCTTATTTTTAATGTACATATATCTATAGATATAGAAGTATCAGACAAGTGGCAAGTGACTAAAACATTAATAGACATTAACTTAAATGTATTTGAAAAAAAAAATTAAACAAAATCAAAAAATTAAACAAAAATCCTAGTAGAATATAAAGATATCTAACTGGTTTAAGACTGCAGTTATAATCAAATTTTTTATATATATTTTTTTGACTGTCATATATTTTAATGACGGTCAGTTATTTTTTTGACAGTCAGAAATTTCAATTGTAAAAATTAATGACAAGGGTGTCATACAAATAAATGGCATGACTGTCATTTTCATTATGACCGTGACATGACATTGTCATAAAAATTACATCCCTATACAGTATACAGTACTAATGTGAATGCAATCTGAATAAATCACATTTTTCCTCTTCTTCAAGATAAACTGTTTTGATCATTAATTTAAAAAAAAAATTAAAAGGATTTTAAATAAGATAAGTAGATGCCATAACGGGAAATTATGTGGGAAAAAATATTTCGTGATAGCTCAAAATTTTCCAAACCTGGGTTATTTTAATTTAATGTTTGATATAAATATTTTTGTATTATAATATTTTAAATAATATAAAGTAATTAAGCTCCTAAAAATTTCAAACCCAAATTATTCTGCAAAATATATTATTGGTACCTAATGTAACAATATATGTTATTAAGAAATTTGTTTGTTTTATTTTGATAATAAATTATTAATAATAACTTTATTTTATTTAATTACACACCTTTAAATTTTGACTAAAAAAGGATTTTTCAAGTCTTACATCCCAAGTCTCCAAATCAACAATGGCATTTTCCTTCCATTAACTAATTTTAATGATTTTACCAACGTTATTTTAAACATCTGCTTAAAATGCTATAACTTACTAAATGTGCACTAGCATTTTTTGCAATATATTTGATGTTTTTATTTTACATTTTATTATCAACAAATTCACAGGCAAAAGTTAAGCTTATGCTTGAGTGTTTTTTTTTTGTTATACTCGTACAATTTGTTCAAAATTAATAAAATTACACAAATTAATTCAGTCAGTATATATTTAAAGGCTGTGTCTGGGATTCTATATAGCTTTTTAGGCATTCTATATACTGTATGTTCACGCTAAAAGTGACTATCCCAAAATGAACAATTTTTTTTTAACCTTTGGATAACCTTTGATATAGAATAACAGAAACTTATTTATCTTAACACGCCACAAATGCAAAACCCAAATGATGCTCGGTGCAAAATATTCCCACTTTCTTTCTAGGCGTTTGGATGCACACATCACCTTTAGAGTGGTATTTTTATCTCAGTGTACTTAAAAACTCAAAAATATGTTATACAATTTTATTAACGTAAATTACACTTAAAAAAAATTGAATAGGTACTTAAATATAATGTGTCTTAATAACGTATGTATGTATATTATACATATATATGTATATACATATATATATAATAGTTCCTGGATGGTTTTAAATACACGTAAAAATATGTTTTCTTGTATTGAGAAGGTTATCATCCTTGTATATGTTATCACTATAATAAAATGTGATGTTTATTGTAAAGGTAAATAAATATAGACATTTTTAATAATACTAAATATTTTTAAACAGAAACAATACTTTAGTGCTGAACTCGCGAATTTGACATCAGAGTTGCTTTATCAAATCAATTTTTTTTAAATCTTTTCTACTTTACTAGAAATTGTTACTTAAAATTTGTTAGTTTAATTTGGGTAAAAATTTGATTTATTATACATTTTAACTAAAGATGTTTCGTGGAGGAAAATTTAAAAGGGTTTTAAATAGTTGTTCATGTCATAACTAGTTATGTGGAAAACATAATTTCGTAATGTAACATGTACATTTAGGTTATAATTTCTTTGGTGGAGCCATTCCGAGGTCGAATTCTAATTTAGCGCATCAAAATTTCAACAATATTGATAGCATTAATAAATAATATTTTTATAGATACAAACTTAGGAACAAGAATTAAACGAAACTATTTTATGGGACATTATGGAGGATCAATGTATATGGGCGGGTTTGGTGGTCATCTTAGACCCATTTACCCGAATTTTCCTATATACAGGAGACGATGTTGGCCGAGAAGACGAATAGTTCCGCCTCGTACATTAATGGATAGAAAGACTAAAAGATACGGAATACCTACAACTACTACAAAAACTTTAGATGAGCCAACGGCTAAAATATACGCCACTCCTTCAACTACAACAGAAACTTTGGATGATGCAACAACTAAAATTTACGCTACTACAACTACTACAGAAACTTTAGATGATTCGGGGACTAAATTATACACTACACCTTCAACTACTACAGAAATTTTAGATGATGCAAGGACTAAAATATACACTCACCCTTCAACTACTACAGAAATTTTAGATGGTGCAAGGACTAAAATATACACTACACCTTCAACTACTACAGAAATTTTAGATGTTGCAAGGACTAAAATATACACTCAACCTTCAACTCCTCCAGAAACTTTAAATAATGCAAGGACTAAAATAAACACTACACCTTTAACTAATACAGAAACTTTAGTTGATGCAAGGACTAAAATATACACTACACCTTCAACTACAGAAATTTTAGCTGGTGCAAGGACTAAAATAAACACTCAACCTTCAACTACCAAAAAAACCTTGGATGGTTCAAAGACTAAAATATACACTATACCTTCAACTACTACAGAAGCTTTAGATGATGCAACTAATAGTATAACTAAAATATACACTACACCTTCAACAACTACAGAAACTTTAAATGATGCAACTAAGGATGATATGACTAAAATATACACTACGCCTTTAGCTACTACAGAAACCTTAGATGATGCAACTACACCTTTAACAACTACAGAAACTTTAGATGATGCAACTACACCTTTAACAACTACAGAAACTTTAGATGATGCAACTAAGGATGATATGACTAAAATATACACTACGCCTTTAGCTATTACAGAAACTTCAGATGATGCAACAACTATGGAGGAGATCACTGAAATATTTACCACACCTTCAACTTCTACAGAAACTTTAGATGATGCAACTAAGGATGATTTGACTAAAATATACACTACTCCTTTAGCTACAACAGAAACTTTAGATGATGCAACTATGGAGGAGATCACTGAAATATTTACCACACTTTCAACTACTGCAAAAACAGAACTAGATAGAATCTACACTTCAAAACCAAATCACACTACTATAAAAATTGATGACAAAAATAAGGTTTTATCTTCTACACAATCATCATTATAACCTGAAAATAAAGTTGCAACTACTACAAAAAAAGTAAAAAAATTAATGGGTTAGCTCTTGTGCTCCTAACGGTGGAGGATCTAATTTAAAAATGAAAACAGTTTATTAGTAAAGTATTTTATTAACCTGTGTTATTTTAATTCAAATGTTTACTATAAAAAAAATTATTATTAAGCCAGTTTAACTGTCTACTAAAAAAGTACAAAGTTGTATTTATTTTTATTTTTTAAATAACATGTAATTAATTTAATTATTTTAACCAAAAATCTAAACATTACAATTAAATATTTAATTATACAGTGTCAGAATTATATGAATAGACTGAACTGGTATAATAAACTATTTTTTTTATATTTCGGAGTTTGATTGTTTTATAAAACTCTTGCCAAATTTCAATGCATGATATACCTACAACCTTTTCCAAAAATAACAGAATTAAAAAAAAATCGAAGCAGACTATAATAATTAACTAAACAATACAATGTTGCTAAGATTGTTTTAATAATTAAAATTTAATTTATTTAAAATACCTAAATAAAATAATTAAAAACTGCATATTGGTATGAATTCCATTTTAAACAAGCTTTGAAATAATGCATTCCATACCTTTGCATTTGAAAAAAATAGTGTTGGTTACACCCTTAGGAGGTGATTTAAAAAAAGTATTATCATAATTTAGGCCAAAAAAATTAGTTGACATGTTTTTGGATTAAAAAAAAATAGTATTTATTAAGATGTACAGAATGTTTTCCAGATAAGGTTTTTACCCTGTGTATATTATATTTGTAATTGAATTTTTATTTAAATAATTAATAATGATTTAATCTGTTAATGTCATTATTTTTATGTAACCGATAAGAAAAAATAAAGAATGGGTACTTAAGAACAATTGTTTAAATGTTTACCATTCACAGTGGGTATATATTCTCTGTTCATGATGCATTATTAAAGAAAATTTTAAGAAAAGTTTTTAAAATGTTCATCAAAGTAATAATTATTTTTATTTGCGTATGCTTCTTTACAATAAGCCATGTAATTTCTGAAGGTAAATAAATAGAATAATAATATTTGTTAATATACTTATACATTTCTATAACATTCCAGATGCAAAAAACTTTATAATGTATAAAGTTGTACCATACCATAAAAGCCCAATAAATAAGAGTGATAATATAATTAATAAACAGGAAATAGACCTAAACAATTCTACAAATGGAGATTCACAAAAACGTATGGAACTAAAAGCTAATATACACAGTAAGAACCAAACAAATGCTATGGTTAACGAAAAAACTACAATACCAAATATGACCACATTTAAAACTAATATAACTGCTTTTAATGAAAATAGGAAACAAACAACTTTAGAAACGTCGACTATGACTACAGAAGCAACCACTTTAAAAGATACAACTACAAGAACTACATTAAAGAAATTGACCACTCCAACCAGTAAGAAAACTACATTAACTGCAAATAAAAGGAAAACAACAAAAAGATGGAAAAATGAATTGGTTAGCGATTGTCATCCCAGAGGTGGAGGGTGTTTTTTAAAAATGGAAACAGTTTATTACTAAAATATTGTATTTAATAGCAAAGGTCTACTGAAACTGAATTCATGAATTCAGGTTGCAACCGTAGAATCCATCACATCAGGTTTTGAGAAAATTATTTTATTTAATTATAAAATAAAATATTTTTGAATATTAAAAAAGAGAATAAAAAAAGTTTTTCATGATGTAACAAACATTTTTTTGTAGACCTGTATAATTTTAATTACTAACAAAAAAAACTTGTGTTTTGAATTTGATGTTTAATATAAATATTTTATATTACTATATTTCTAATTAATTTGAATAAATAAATGTAAAAGTACAAAATTGTGTTTTGTTAATTTGTTAATAAATGATCATTGCAAAAATTTTAGGAATATTTGAAAATTTTGAAAAATCCAAAAATTCCATAAAAAATCCATGATTTATTGTATTAAATGTCATGTATTTTTTCATATCTGTGAAAATGTTAAAAACTAGTATATTATGGATCAAGTTTTATAAATGCCATTTTAGTTACGAGTTTTATTAGGCACGAGCGAAGCTTGCGAGCGAGTGTTCGATGAAAACGAGTGTCTAGAGAAGTTTATAAAACGAGTAGCATACTATACTATGTACGACGAACATAAATAAGAATATAAAGCCAATTTTAATTCATTTGACAAATTTAACCTTACTTTTTCGCAATTTCTTATAAAGATAACTTTAGCTCGTGACTAAAACGCCATAAAGTCACAGTTTGTCAATGTACGAGTAGATAAAAAATATTTAATGCAATTATTGATAAGGGTTTAAATAAAAATTTTGAAAAAATTTATTAGTTTTTCTTTACAATTTTTTAAAATTTGTTTTTGTTTACTTTTCCCAATGTTAGAATATCAGCATCTTTTGCAAACACAAAAAATATAACAAATACTTGCTTGACAGAGCAGAATCACCTCTCTCTCATTGGTGGCTTTAAAAATGAAATAACTCCTGCTATTCTAAGAATCTTCTAAGAAGATTTGACCCGGAATAATGGAATATTCTTAGAACCTTCCCTTATTGCCAAGAATGTTCTTAGGGACTTTTAAAACATTCAATAGATACCCTTTTAATGGTGCAATTAGAAGCTTCTTAAAACCTTCCTAAAAAGCATTCTAAGAACATTTTAAGTATACGTTTTTGGAATGTTCTTAGAAGGTTTCTTATGGAGCTTCTAGGAAGCTTCTGAGAATATTTCCAAATATGTCAGATACCCACGTTCTAATATGTTGGATTCTACATTCGTAAAATTTTTCAGGAGGCGACAAATACACTATCATAATATGAAATGTGTTTGTCGTCCATTTAAAAAAATTTGCGACATATTAATATATATTTATTTAAAAATATTAAATAAACAATTTGACCTTTAAACCATAAGTTGTATGACATTATTTTATAAAAAGTTGGAAAAAATTGGAAAATTTTGTGGGATAAGTCAGATTAAATTGAAGTTAACTATCTTTAATTGAAGATAGTTAGGATTATTATACATAAAAATGTTAATTCAGATATAAAAAATCGGTATACAAATTAATAAATATTTATTTTTACCATAAAATAAAATATAAAAAAACAAAATATTTCCTTATAAAATAATTCTTCATAAAAAAAAGCCAAATAGATCTTAATAAAAAAACATTTTTCATTGTATTTAAGTTGGATAGAAGATTTTATGTAAAAGCCGGATAATTTAGATACCTATAGTAAAAGTATTTTTGTTATCGAATATTGTTTTAATTTGACAAATAACTATAAAAAAATATTTTGGGTTAGGTTTTACATAGTATTATATAGGTACCTAACTGAACTGAATATGCTTAACAGAATGTTCCAGGAATATTCCTAAATGAACTTTCTATAGCAATTACCTACTTTCTCAACATTCTAAGCATATGTTTAGAGTGGATTAATTTTTACCACTAAACTTTGCACCTTCTAAGAACCTGCCTATAGGCCAGTGAGAATATTCTTAGGATTATGCTATATTTCTTTTAAGCATGTTCTTTAGAAGAAATATAGCATGATCCTAAGAATATTCTCACTGGAAGGTTTAAAAAACATTCTTAGAACATGACTAGAAGAAATATAGCATGATCCAAGAATATTCTCACTGGAAGGTTTAAAAAACATTCTTAGAACATGACTAGAAGAAATATAGCATGATCCTAAGAATATTCCCACTGAAAGGTTTAAAAAACATTCTTAGAATAAACTGTGCTATCAGGGTTACAATGACACATGTACCCCTTAAAGTATATCGTGTTCTATGCTTGTGTTTAAGTCAACAAAATTAACAAATATTCATTTTAGTGTATTGTTTTTAAGCAATTTAAATATTAGGAAAATTATATTTCATGCAAAAAACAATGCCTAATAAATCAATTGAATGGGTAAATAAATAATAAATCAATTTATAATTTCAAACATTGATTGTGTTAATATAATTTCATGTATTATTTGCATATTATGCTAACAAATATGTTTATTAAATTAGTATTTTTTCTGATATATTTTTGTGCTTTGTCCGACGTTTCTTCTAAAGGTAAATACATTTAATACTAAAATTTGATTTTTTTTCCTCCCATGAAAATTTGTTATAGATTTTGAAAATAGACTTAATAAAATGATACCTCTCGGTGTTTTTTCAGATCACGTATTTTTTTTTAAGTGTGATTAAATAAAATGTTATCCACGGTATTCGGCACACTCGTAATACAACAGCTTCGATAACAGCTTTAGACAGTATATTTTTATGAAAAATTTATTCACTGAATAAATGGACAACCATTAAAATTATTTATTTATTTTAAAATTATTTTTATTATATATATATACAGGTTTTTGCACATTTACGAAGTACGGGTGTTTCACGTTCGTGGTCCATTGAGAGTTTCTGAGGAACGGCAAAAGATATCGATTTGAAATTTTTAAAGCGTTTATAATCCAATTAAGCCTATTTTTCTAAAATATTTTAAACAAAATTCAACTTCCGGTTTGACCGGAAGTGACATCAACTTTGTTATTTTAAATAGAACCCCCTATATATTTTTACATTTTTAAATTCTACATAAAATTTTGTGTAAAATTACTGTACCATGTACCTACTATACCTAAAGTGAATAGTTTTTGAGTTAATTTTTTCCGTTAAAATATGACAAATGCGCGTCAATTAAAAATAGCATATAACTTTCTTGCTATTAGGTTTGCGGAAATAGGGGTGGAATTTTTGGAATCTTAAAACATTGTCATTGACATTCCATATCAATTCCTTAACATATCGGGTGTTACATTTAAAATAAAAAAGTTATTAACGTTTCAAGTTAGCCCAATTTGCCCTGGGTTTTCTTGTAATTTGTTGAAAAATGTTAAAGAATTGACCTGTAAATTTTTTAAACAATCTTTTAAGATTCCAAACATTTTACCACCATATCCGTAAATCTAATAGCAAACATCTATAGATGTTTATATAGAAAAATATTGACTTTAGGTATTGTATAGTAACTTTAAGTAGAATCCGGTCAAACCGGAAGTAGCATTTTGTTCAAAATATTTAAAAAAAAATAGACTTAATGGATTATGAACGCTTTTAAATTTCAAATCGATATTTTTTCCGTTCCCCAGAAACTTCCAATGGACCAGAAATGTAAAACACCCTGTATATCAAGTTGAGTTTTTAGGTTGTGATACCACTATAGATTCGAAAGCAATTTATAATCGTCAAACTAAAAGATCAAGATTTGTTTCCAACATATATTTAATATAAGATAAATACAAATCTGTTGTTTTATTTAAAAAAAAAATCAAAAATTAAAACTAGAAATATTTTTTACTTAAAAAAAAATTGTTATTATCTTTAAGTATAATTGTTGTAGGTATTATGTAAAAACATAAAATATTTGAAGAAAAAAAATGATTTATAACAAAATAGAGAATTAAAAATCTGTTTAGGTTAAAATAATGAGAATGGCTGTACACTGATAAAACGGATTTGTAAATTTACACAACGTATCGTTGGTAATTTTGTGGCCATAACATATTCGGGAAAATTACAAAAAAATTGTAAAAAGTAATTTACATAATATATTATGTATTTTTTTAAATTAATTAAAACCATAATTTTACAAATTTTATATTGTAAATTTCAGAAATAAAAATGGAAATTTTATTGTTTTTGTAATATAATATTTCAAAAAAATTGTAAAAATTAATTTACATAATATATTGTGTATTTTTTTATTAATAGAATCCTCAATTTTACAAGTTTTACTTTGTAAGTTTCAGAAATAAAAACGATTTTTTTTTTAATATACAATAATATAACAATAACTCGCGGATTACCTTTGAACCAGTTCGGAAACAATTCAGAACTATTTTGCATGCGCAGTCTTTATAGCGACTAGGCATATTATTAGTTCCGAATTGGTTCCGAACTGGTTCAAAGGTGAAAAAGGCTATTATCTATTAAAAAAGGAATCTAATTTTGTTAGAATTATTATTAAATGAATTTAGTAAACATTAGTAGAATTTACTCATTTACTGCAAAAATGTCACAAATCAAAAAATATATATTTCCCAATTATTAGCAAATTAAATTAAATAATATCATAAAAGTAGGTATGTATTCTAGTAAATAAAACAATGTATACCATTTTTAACAAAGGTTTAATATAGAAACAAATAGTAAAATAATATTTGAAAACTTAAAAAAATCTTTTAATTATTTTCATTAGAGTGAATACCTTCTTTTTCGATGAGCTAACTTTTTTGTTTTGTTGCCTTGGTCGGGATGAATTTTGAGAAAATATTTAGCAAAGGCAACTTTAAACCCCATCAAAAGATAATTGTAGCCTTCCATTTTGACAATTTCACGTTCTACAAATATATATATACGTAGTATAATCCGGTAGTTTCTAAAAAAATTATAAAGTTTTTTTCAATAATTAATAAAAAGTTTATTATATTAGAACTTACTACATTTTAAGAGAAATGGGCTTAAGGGAAGCTTATCTTTAATTACTTCAATATCGATTGTCTGAAAAAAATGTTTTTTTAATAACCATTAAATCTTAAGATTTAGGTTTAAGAAATGTTATATTTCTTACCTCATTCTCTACATAGAATAAATTAATATCCTCTTTAAAATGTTCAGACAATCTAACAAGAATTTCTAGTTCTGGACCAATGCGTTCACACAAAATATCCTTTTCCTTGTCATACTTTATTGTTTTAAGGATTTTTGATGAATTTTCCTTTAATTGGTCTAAAAAATGTATACTTGTCCCTGTGAGTTTTTAAAAATGCCAAAACATGGAATAAGAAGAGAACAAAATAAATTTTCTAATGATTTGATGTTTACATTACAAATTATACATACAAACATGTTTACTTACCTTTAATTTGGTAGGTATTAACACAACTCGCTATAATCACAATAAAAAAAATTGGATTTTTATTATTTTAGATATTTTAGGAGGTTATAAACCGAAAAACGTCGCGTTCTGTTGGAATGATACCATTTAATAAGACACAGAAGAGACGCCACAATTTATACGGGTGGGGGTACCAAATTCCCAAATATGTTTTGTAAAATAACAATATTACGTAGTAAAATCTCTGTGATTTTAAATTTAAAAAATTAAATTTAAATTTACAGTATTGATATCTAAAAAATACAAAGTTTATTAGTAATATTACAGATTTTCTGTGCATTTACAAAAAATAGGTTAAAATACAACAAAAAAGTAAAATTTTCTAATAAGTTATGTATATTTTACAAAACTAATATTGTAATTTTAAGTGCTTTTTTATCAGTGTATAAAAAATTTAAATGACGTGATTTCCTAAAATGGTGAGACATGGGTACGTTTTTTTAACCTTTATTTTTAAAATCTGTTAATATTTTTCATGGGAGGAAAATCGTGTTGTACTGTGTTATTAATATCTTTATATTGTTTTTATGTTTTAGAAACAAAAAATGTTTATAACATAATTTTTCCCAGGTATAACCGTCCAAAATTTGATAAAGATTATAAAATTGCAACAAATAAAGATGAAGATACAATTATAATAAGAAATAAACAGAAAACACTCCATGAAACTGCATTGTTACCTCAAATGTATACTACACAATTTACTACTACCACTACAGAAAATCCTATAGAAATTCAAACCCCATCAAAACAACATGCAGAAGATGAAAATGAATGGGAAGAACCAATTATTAACATGAGTGTTTTTTTAGAAAAAATATTCAATACTATTACTAAAAATATTGTATTTAATTATTTAAATTCAGATTAATTATCAAATTAAATAAATATTAGCAAATAATAATAATAATAAATGGTTAATTATTTTATTTTTATCTACAACAAACAATTTAAGATAAGCTAGTTTAAAGAAAAATGTACTTAGGTACAGGTACCTGGTACATGTTTCTTAAAACTTATGATGTCTCAAGGAGAATAGGTCTTCATATCAGACATATGTATGAGTCATATAAACCTTGAACACATTATTTGTGTCATGCGCATTGAAGCTTCCTATATTTTTAAGCATTAGGTTGCTATTACCGGCTAATTTTCTTATGCATGCACGCGACTGTCAGTTTTAATTTGTTACTCGTTATACCTATCAGTGTTTAAAGTAAGCGCAAACATGGCTAAAATTTACATGGACTTGCCAAACGGAGCGAAAATGCCTGCTGTTGGACTGGGAACTTGGCAGGTATAATTATACTTAAGACTCATATAATATATCATGTTTTTTAGATTATGCACAATGCACTTTTAAAATTAAACTAGGTTTGACTGATTTAATTCAAAACATATTTTACTGTCAGTTTAACCAACTGGTTTTTTATGATATATTAACTTAATACAAGCCTTGTATACTTAGTATTAATATTAATTTTTTAATTTATCCCCGTTCATTTGCCATTTTCTAAAATTTTGTCAAATATTTTTAAATGTTTTTTATAATATTTCACGGTTTTAAAGAAGGTATAAATATAATTTCCAAGGTGCATAACTGTAAACCGATAAGCAATTACAAATGTGGTATCCTTATTTTTAAAGTGTTTATAATCAAGCTCTTGAAAGGTACCTACATATGTATTTTTATACTCTTGAAAAAAAAATTAGATAATGTGTAAAGGACAAAGTTAAATGTTCATTTTTGTTTTTATTAAAAATATTTTGTATGATTTAACTGCTAAGAACATTCATTTATTTAATTTTTATTATTTTTTTTTATTTAGAAGGACAAAATACATCAGCACAATATCTGTGGAATATTCATGGGGTTTTTCCCATGGTAATAAAATTGATAAAAACTTGTTACATTATGTACCTATTGGGTTGCCTAATAGTATATATTATTAGGCAACCCAGTAAGCAAGGATTTAAAATCCTTGCCCAGTAAGTACTGAGAAAAAAATGGGACAAATAAACTGTGTAGCTAATACTTTTATTAATAGTGAATATATTGTTTATTACCTCTAAATAGTCGAACTAATAACGATAAATATACTTTAGTAAAACTTTATGTGTCGGGAATAAAAATATATTTAGGATAAATAAACTGTACCCTTGTCCCATATTTAAATATTTTTTTATTTGGGAGCAATAAACTTTTTTCTCAGTGTACCCACTTAATGTTAAGTTTTTACCGATTTTTATTATCATGGAAAAAACCCAATGATCACCACAAATAACGAATTTTAACTCTAGTTGTTTAATTTAAACTTTCTATAGATATTATAATCTTTATTTACTTTATCACTTTGTTTTTCAAAATATGATGGCCTGAGATTGTTTGCAGGATCCACCTTTAATTAAAAATGTGATAAGATTATATAAATTGTGCTGAGTATACTTATAAGCAAAGTTACTTTAGTTTAATTAATTAAAGTACCTAGGTTAACTAGGCTAGGTATTACCTACTTTAAAATTTATATATAATATGTCGACCTTCATCATGATTGCAATCATATGAATTTCATTTTACTGTATGTAAGATATTATTGAATATAAATATTACCTCGAGGTAAATACCGAATTAAAGATTCAATTTTCGTTTTGGCGCGTAAACGACTATTAAAACAATCATGTTTGATCAAACATGATTGTTTTAATAGTCGTTTACGCGCCAAAACGAAAATTGAATCTTTAATTCGGTATTTATTTAAAAATGCACCGATTTAAAAAATATATATTTTTAGTTTCTAGTACCCACTCGAGAAGCTATCTTTTCAAAGACAAATTGTCATATATGTCGTTTCCATGGCCCTCTATGATTAATAGAAGGTCTCCAAAAACGTTATTAGGATTTTTTAAATTGAAAAACAGATAACATTTCCAAAGTTAGCATACCCAAAAAACCCTAAAAGGATAATAAATAATTTTGAATAAAATTTTACACAGGAAGGACAAAAAGAAAGGTCAAATTTGGAAGAAAAAAACAATAAATATAACTACACTGTATAAATAGTAATATTAATCTAATTAGAGACAAAATATTAATGATGAACTTATTAAAAGTAATATTTTAGGTACCATGGTACTGGTACTGCAGTACACATTTGTTTATTTATTAATATTATGCCTCTAATTAAATTAACATTTATATTTAAAATACCATTATTAGCAAATGTTGTTATAATTTTTGACCTTAATTAAGTTTTGTCAAAATATTTGCTAGAATTTATACATTTATATATTTTTATATACAAATTTATATATTTTTATATACAAATTGCTTAAAAAATTGATTTTTTTCCAAATTTAAGCATCCTGTTTAAAATTTTTTTACAAAATTATTGTTTTAGGGGTTATTAGGTATGCCAAATTTAGAAATGCTATCTGTTTTTAAATTTAAAAAATGCCTAAAAACTTTAAAAGTTTTTGGAGTTTATTAATTATAGAAAGCAATGGTAATGACATGACATTTTTTTTCTTTAAACGATAGAGCTTTACGAGTTGGTACTAAAAAATAAAAACAATTATGTTTGACCCCAAAGCAGTAGGGGAGCGCCGGGAGGGTTTGGACAATATTTAAATAAATAATTATGGAGTGGACATGTATAAAAAATAACTAAAATTTTGTAGTCAGACTGGTTGATACATGTCTCTTACATACACTTTTTTTGTTTTTTGAAAAAGCATGACATAAGTCAAAAACAAATAAAATATTTAGTAAAAAATTGTTTATTAATCAATAACTTTAGCATTAACGTAAGCTGTACTCGGTAACATCAACATTAAAATATATCATGTCCATATCTGATAAAGGATTTGATAGTTTCAAAATCACTTCCTCATATGACACAAATGCTGTGGTTGGAAGCCACTTGTTTTTTTTAAAAATTCACGTTATAGCTATCAGATAGTTGCTATCTACAACGACTTCTTTGGACGGTCGTCCATACCCTCCCGCAACGTAGTTCGATTAATAAAACTCAAAATATTATAAATTATGTCTATACATTTTCAAAGTAACAATACCCTATAATTTTTAAAGTTTTCCTTAAACTGGTAATCAATCAAGCAACCAAAAAATCTCAAAATTAGTTTGTTAAAAGCAGAGTTTACAACTGGTAATATTGGAATGAACACGTGGATAAATAGGAAAATGGCACGTGATTGCTTCGCTTCTAGACAGATATCAGGGACGTTCAAATGCGCTTTTAGTTACGTTTCTGTTTCCACCCCTTCTTTAATTAGGCGGTAATTATGAATGTGTCCAATGCCTCCCAGTGTCCAAGCCCTCCCGGCGCTCCCCTATAACCTAGTTAGGTAAAAACTCTGACCAATCAATATCCAACACGATAATTATTGCTTTTAAACTTTTTCATAGCTAACGTAAATTTTTAATTTTTTCAGGCCAAGGATGCATCCGAATTAACAACAGCCCTTGAAGCTGCCCTGGAGTTGGGCTACCGCCACATCGACACGGCATTGGTTTATGAAAACGAGGCCATAATAGGAAAAGTTTTGAAAAAATGGTTTGATGCCGGCAAACTTAAACGGGAAGACCTGTTTATAACGACCAAACTGCCGATGTTCGCCGTCCACCCCGATAGAGTGGAAGATTTTATGAAAACCTCCCTTAAAAACCTCGACTTGGACTACGTTGATTTATATTTGATCCACTTTCCAGCTTGTGTTAACGTGAAAAATGGTAACTTTTTGGAAGGCTTTGAAATCGAACCAACTGATCACGTAGCTGTTTGGAAAGTAAGATGTAAATTTTTTAATGATTACGCGATACGTTAGGTGCCTATTTTTAGAAAATGGAGGAACAAGTCGACGCCGGTCGTACCAAAGCAATCGGCATTTCAAACTTCAACAAATCCCAAATCGAAAACCTTCTCAAATCAAATCCCCGCATTAAACCCGCAAATTTGCAAGTGGAACTTCACGTTCACCTGCAACAGCAAGAACTTGTCAAGTACTGTCTTGAAAATGGCATCACTGTAACAGCTTACTCACCACTTGGCAACCCTGGAATAAACAAGTTTTTGGGCTCCATTGGGCAAGAGTAAGTATAATCCACTTACCTAGGCTAATACGTTATTTTTATTATTATGTTTTAGGGCAAGGCAATTGCCAAACGTTTTGACAGATGAGAACATTAAGAAGATAGCAACAAAACACAATAAGACGAGTGCGCAGGTCATGTTACGTTATTTGTTACAAAGAAGTGTAATTGTTATCCCAAAAAGCGTAACACCGTCAAGATTGAAGGAAAACATTGATATTTTCGATTTTGCGCTCGATAATACCGACATGCAAACTCTTAACGGCCTTGAGGTTGGCGAACCTGCTCGCGTTTGCGATTTTAAAATCTTTAAAGGGTACCTAAACATCAGAATTTTGTATTATTTTAATCATTAATTGTAATATGTCTTGTTTACAGGTTGGACAAACATCCCCAATGGCCTTTCACCAATTAAAATAAGAGATTATTTTTAAGTTGGCACGCCTGGTTTATAGAACAGGGGATTCACACAAACACCAAAAATAGAAGAATTTTGCACAAATTGTGACAATTTTTGAGAAATTTTCGTCCCAAATAGGTACCTCACACAAACAGTTTTATATTTAAGTTGCACATTTTTAAATAAAATAAGTCATCCCTGTTCTATGCTTTCATCGAAATAAAATAAATATTTTAATTCATTGTTTTTTTTCCTTAATAAATTTTTTAATAAGAAAATTTAAATTTTGAATTTTTTTGATTTTCCATTATTTTTATAAATACTTTTTTATTATATTGATATTATATTCTTAATTAGGTATATAACAAATTAAATGATAAACTTATTATTAATAAGTTATTTAACGACGTTTTTTGGAATATTTGTCTTCATCACTGCTGGATTTTCTTTTTCTTTGCCTTCCTTCTTCACTCCTTGATCTTTCCTCTCTTTCATGCCTATAACTTCTATCTCTATCTTCATTTCTGTATCTTTCTTCTCTGTAACCATTTCTGTGACCCCTTTTATGATCCTCATCCCTGTTTCTTCTGTTTTTATCATCATTGTACTGCTTTTTGTTCTTTTTTCTTGAGTCTTCATTTGAATCAAAACCATTATGTTTTCTTTCCTTATTTTTCCTTATTATTTTCTTCTCTTCATTATCTGAATCGTCACTGTCAGTGTTATATTTTTTCTTGGGGTTCTCATTCTTCATTTCTTTCTCAATTTTTTCCAACTTCTTTAAAAGTGCCTTCTTCTGTTTCTTGTTTAAAGACTTCAAAAATGATGCTTCAGAATTCTCATTTTCATCATCATTGATAAGCAAATGCTTGTTAACCTCACTTGTGCTTAAATGCTGTTTCTTAATGGCCAAACCATCTTCCAACATTTGGGCTACAAGCGAGTTTTGATCCAGGACAGTAGCGTTTTCCAAAGACCTGGCGGCACTCATCGACAGACTATACATAGGGCACTCTTTATCAGTATTTATGTGCCCCCATTTGTGGCACTTTATGCACCTCACATTCCTGACTTGAATACCAAATGGTTGATCGCGAATTTCCTGGTCACCCTTACAATAACTCTCACGGGGGGCATTGTACTTTCTCTGCCACTCAAATTTGTATTCGGGCTCGTCATCTTCACGTTCGCGTTCCTTTTTGGCGCCCGGGGGCGGTTCGTACATAAAATTAATGCTTAGTTTGTCTTTGCTTTCTTTGCTAAGCATTGCCTTGTTATCGTGCAAGTCCTGTTCTTTTTCGTATTGCTGGCGAAGTTCTTCCTGCTTTTTTTTGTATGCCTCGGTCTTTTGTTCTGCCATCCATACCTTTAAAAAGAACAAATTGTTAAAATATTGAACTCTGTACGGAAATTATTGTACTTACTCGTTTGAGATTGTCCCGAGACGCTGGATGGAAGAACTTTTTACACATGTAATTATTGAAACCCTTACCCATGGTTGATAGTTTAAATTACAACTAAAGGAGTTATTTTAACTGATTTTAAGCAAAATTTGTAAACAATCGTGCCACAAACGTCATACGATTACAAACTGTCACTCGGTTAATATATAAAAGTCCTACTTTACCCACCAAAAACGAGTGCGACGTTGCCGTATTGTATTAATAACCTCAAAATAATCTTGTAAACAACAAATGTCATGAAAAATGGGCACCCGCGAAATTCTTACGTTGCAATTCGGACAATACTCGAATTTTATCGGAACGCATTGGTGGAACCTTCAGGAGGCAGGTTTCACGTACAAATCCGACGATATATCGGAAATAAACCATGACACTTTGTACAGAGAGGGTGTAAGTCCCCGTAGAGAAGTCACTTTTACACCTAGGCTTTTGAGCGTTGATTTGAGGGACGGTTTGAAGGCTTTACCGGAGGTGGGGGAGTTATATGGGGGTTTGCAGTTGCCGTCTACATCGGAATTGAATTGGAACGAGAATGCAGTTGAAGTAAAGAAAGAGGATTGTGATGATAAAAGTCAGTTTTTAAAGGATTTGGCTGGTGCTAGTAACGTAGAGGAAGTGTTGAATAAAGATTATGATTTTGAGAGGGATGTCACTGTGTGGTCTGATTATTTATACAGTAGGTTTCATCCGAGGACGGTAAATGTTGTTAAACAGTTCGAGTATGGGAATGTTAATACACCTTTTGATGTTTTTCCTTTGGGTAAAGAGGTCTGGAAGACTGAGCAATTCGAGGAGGATTTCACCGATAAAATACGGAATTATGTGGAGGAGTGTGATAGTTTTCAGGGGTTTCACATGTTAACTGATTGTACAAATGCTTTTGCTGGGATGTCTTCATCATGTTTGGAGTATTTACAGGATGAGTATGAAAGAAAAAGCGTGTTAGTTTTCCCGGTAATCCCATCTCACTTCCCTGATAATGATTATGAGACTGAAAAAGAACGCCAGGACTCCTTAATGAGTGACTCCATAAGACTAATGAATTTAGCTCTCAGTTACAATGCGTACAATGAATTTAGCTCCCTATTTATACCTTTATGCACGAGCGAAAAAGGATTTAGGCAACCAGGCCTCAAAAGATCATTCCACAACACAGAATACAATCACAAACTCCCCTACCACTCCAGCGCCATCTTGGCGTCAGCTTTAGACACGTTCACACTAAAGCATCGCCTAAAAACGAGCGGTTTCAATCTTGTGGACCTCTGTGTGGATTTAAATATGGTGGGGAGAAAATGCGCCAGCGCCAGCCTTTGTTTTCCCTTTTGCATCAATAAAAATGTGGATTTGATTGATTGTTTGGATCAATGGGACGGACCCCTCACCAAAAGTATTACTCCCAGTTGTGAGATTGGAACTGACAGACAAATGCAACATATTACTATAAGGGGTAAGTACATCATTTTAAACATGTGCCAGTCGTGAAACTTCTATACACGCGTCAAACCCACAGACCACCAAAACATTGCCATTCAATAACAATGCTTTGTTTGCGGTCAACGAACAGTCTAAGCGTTAAATTGGCTATAGAATTTTATGTTTTCTTCCAGTGACGTATTGCGTACTCCAAAACAGCTGACATATAACAAATATGACAGCTGACTGCAACCAGTGCCGTGGTGTTAAATAGGGATAATTTAAAAATAGTTTAATTTAATTGTGATTACTTACCTATGAAAGAATAGATTTAGATTTCTTTGGTTTGTTTTTTTTACAAACAGTACACTGTCGCACCATTTTTAGTAAAAAATAATGTATTTAAACTCGATAGAAATACACAAACGAAAACACAAAACCACAAGCTGTCAACCTTTTTCTATGGTGTCAATCACAATCCACTGAACGCAAATATGACGAATTTGCCAACGTTGTTAATATTTAATTTTAATAATTATTAAATGATTTACTTTCTTTAAATAGAGAAAAATATCTAAAGAAAATGATGAACAAATCCTTTTTACAATTTTTTTATTATTCAAACGAATTACTGGTAATTTTTAATGTTCATTATGTTATGATGAACGCAGTAGCGTGCCGTATAGGGGGCCAGGGGGGGCGATCGCCCCCCCCCGCCCCTCTGCCCAGAGCGCCCTTTCCAACGATCTTTCCAAGTAATTATTTACTATACAAATTATAGGCAGGCTATTTATTTTTTTCTTCCATCAGTAGCACCACTGTCGCTGGTCCACCTGCCGTCTGTTATTAAAAATCAGTGCTACCCTGTTGTAAAAAATCAGACATTAATAGATAGCAGATGTATCTAATAGATGGCAATACTGCTGACTTTCATCCACATACTTCCTGGTGACTTTCATTCACGCGCATGTTCAAAACCAACTAATTAAATAAATTAATAATTTTATTATTAAAAACAAAATATTGTTCAATTAAATATTACATAACATATTTAATTTTTTTCAATTTAAATTTCTAAAAAATAATAATAAGGTATTAAATAAAAAAATTGCCGCCCTTAAGATAGCTCGCCCCTCCCGCCCTTAGACCCACGGCACGCTACTGGATGAACGTCCAAAAAGGCGTGTAATCTATACTTCTCGCTTTTTAAACGTAAACAAATCCATCCATTTGTTTTGGTGGTCTGTGGTCAAACCCTTTAATTTGATCCCATGTCAAGAAGTTTAAAATGATATGACAGATGTCAAAAATCACAGGTGACAAAAAATACTGTTTGTATTTGTGGAGCAAGCAGATAAAACCAGTTTTGTGAAAAAATAAGTTAAATATGAAGTAACAGTAAATAAGGTAGAGGTGTCCCTCTATAAACTATCTTTTATATGTTTTTTTGGGACGAATAAAGATTTTTTTTTATTTAAGGTCAAATTAATCCATCTACCAAGTAAAAGATATAAAATAACGGTCTCAAAATTTATCAAATCAAGCAAAAGCAGATAATTCTAATTAATGCACTTTGAATTATACGCTAAAGAAGTATCGGGTTTTCGCAACGCGCGCGCCATCTGGTGGACTTCAAAAGCATTGCGTGAATTTAAGAATTGTCAACAATACATTTAAACATACGAACTGTACATCATTTTTAAATAAATATGTAGTTTTTTCACAAAAGAGAGGAAGGCAGAAGTCTTACTCGACAAATTTTTTTCAATTGCACAGCTAAATCGCGCACGTTATTTGTGTTTTACGTTGAAAGGAAAAAACTAAACAACTGGTTTAGTACTCAATTTCGATTGATTATTTTTTATATCATTAAGAAACTCAACGCGTAAATGCTTATATAGTTAAGTTAGAGTGTGTATTTTATCTAAGGGATCATGGTGAATTATTGTGTTTTTAATTGTAAATAAAATTCAAGAAGTAAATCGTTGCATTTTCATGTTTTGCCAAAGATCCAATTCGGTAAGTACTAGGGATGCACCGGAATTCCGGCGGTACCACTAAATCCGGCCGATCCGGCCAGTTGGCCGGAACTACCGTTCCGGCCGGATCGCTACGGCCGGATCGCTTTCCGGCCGGAATTTTGGAACTTTTTGGAAATGTTTAAGTTTTAAATTTTTAATATAATTTAAATTCAAATATATGCAAAAATAAAGAAAATTATTTTAAATGAATAATGAAATGACCTGCAGCCCTGTGCTTATGATTAGCAGGCGTCTGGGATTTCCCGACTTTCGCGTCTGTGATTCCCCGACTTTCGCGTCTGGGATGCCCCGACTTTCGACCAGATATATTTTATAATTGGTCAACAGTGAAGGGTGTGCGTGTTTCCTTGCCTATGATAGACCGGCGGCTGGGGTTCCTCGACTTCTTTTTAATTTTTTTATTATTGGCAGGTGGCTGCTATTCTCCAATTGAATGAGTAGAATTGTTTTAATTTTGTTAACGCTAATTAAAAATTAATATTTAAATAAACAGTAATTTCTATCTAGGTAAAATTAATAGTAATAAACACTCTGCATACTGTAGTTAGTTTTAAAAAAAGTAAAAATAAATCAGCCTCAATGTTTTACGTATAAAAATAGGCATGCACATACATTTTAAATTTAGGTCCAGATCCGGCCGGAATTCCGGCGATCCGGTCCGGCCAGCGGCCGAAATTCCGGTTCCGGCCGGATCGGCGAAATACCCGATCCGGTGCATCCCTAGTAAGTACAATTGTTGGTGCAGAATTAACTTTACCTAATATAATTTATATTTAAGTTTTGACATTTTTAAGAAATAATTATTAGTAAAACATAATTTTTGCACAAAAATAACCTTAAAATCAACCATTTTTATATTTGAGTTCTCTAAAAAACGCCGACAACTGCATTTTAAACAACAAAATATACCTATATACCTTCATGGCAACATAATATAATAATACTTAATATAATGGTATTTTACCGTTGAGTGGAGACTTTAAAGAATTCTTAATCAACGCTTTTAATAATGCTAAATGCTGTTTAAATTTAGACACACTTTTTACGTTAATCATTACTAAAATGTGTATTTATTGTATCTAATATATACAATTTATATTTACAGGTTTACATGTATGAAATTTATTTCTTCATTCGGGTTAACACTCTTTGTTGTAAATCCGATAAAAACTCAAACCAGGATTTCCTCTCGAAATACACCCAACAACACAACAAATCGTGGCACGGTTTTTTTTCTCGATATTTTTTAACATTTTCCGGCTATATTCTCAAAAACACTCGTTTGTAACACACGCGTTTGACAGCTGATTATCAAAAGTTGTACTTTTGTTACGATGATAACAGCCGAGTGGTGGCGCTACTAGCGTATAGTCTAGTCTTGTTTTTTGCTGATAATTTGATACTGCGCAAAACGGACTAATCTGCTTTGTCCACATTTGCTATTGCATTAAATTTCCAAATTTTGGACATTGAATTTCTGCCATATAAAATCTGGTTAGACTTTCGTTTTTAAGGTTAGACTGTCAATATTCTTCAACTTGACACATGTCAAAGTGTTGCTTGATATTATGTAACGCGTTACGAAAATTTGTGCACAAATAAGTTTAACTTTAATGAAGGTATTTGATTATTTTTTATTTATTTTAGGTATACCTGAATCTCGTTTAAAAGGTCCACCTCATAATGTAACACACGCGTTTGACAGCTGATTATCAAAAGTTGTACTTTTATTACGATGATAACAGCCGAGTGGTGGCGCTACTAGCGTATAGTCTAGTCTTGTTTTTTGCTGATAATTTGATACTGCGCAAAACGGACTAATCTGCTTTGTCCACATTTGCTATTGCATTAAATTTCCAAATTTTGGACATTGAATTTCTGCCATATAAAATCTGGTTAGACTTTCGTTTTTAAGGTTAGACTGTCAATATTCTTCAACTTGACACATGTCAAAGTGTTGCTTGATATTATGTAACGCGTTACGAAAATTTGTGCACAAATAAGTTTAATTTTAATGAAGGTATTTGATTATTTTTTATTTATTTTAGGTATACCTGAATCTCGTTTAAAAGGTCCACCTCATAATGCAGAAAAACAGAGAGATCTCCCTGCTTTTAAGTGCAAAACGGTCTCTGAAATGCTGACTTTTTATTACCAATGTACTCAGTATGCATCTGCGACAAATGTCACTTCAGTACAAAAAGCACTCCCTGTAAAAACCCCGTTCCCAAAATTTTTCAACCAAAAACTGGACTTCACAGGAAATTTCACAAATTCAGAACAATTATCAAAACCTGAAAGCATTCCAGTTTTGGCTGGTTTACATACAGGAGCTGAGATTGGGGTTATGTTGGAAAAATTACACACTGAGACGAGAAAAATTAAGTTTAAAAGATTTAACGCTTTTATTTCTGGTGGGATTGAGAACGACGATTTTGAGGAATGTCTGGATAATATATTTACTTTAAGAGAAAACTACGAAGATAACTATTTTTTGTAGTACAATGCTTTATTTTTTGTAATTATTTAACAATAAAAAATCTATTTTGTTTTTGGCTTTACTAAATTTTAACGATTTATTAAAATATTTATTGTAAACTGCATACAAATCCGTCTTAAAATTGATTTGCTTACAAGTCCGACCGCGAATAACTGCATAAATATTCTGTCAAAACTCCCATGTGTCAGAGAATATTTTTATAGGTTATGTTTAGATTTTTTAGCATTTTTATGATTTAGCACGTTTATTAAATATTCCGCGTATTAATTTAAACTTAAACTATGTCTACTAAGGATTTCGAAGTGGAATATGTATCGACAAACTGTAATCAAACCCCTGAAGCGGCAGATTGGGGTAAAAACAACTTAATATGTTACGCTGCTAGTGATACGGTTATTGTTTTTAATCCAAATGTAAGTGATTTATGTTTAAAACTACAAATAATAACTGATAAATCATTTTTTCGCAGGATGGTTCAGGGGGTAGAGTTACTGACACTCTTATTCATACCAAACGGGTTAATTCAGTGAAATGGGTCTCAAAATTTAATTCTGCTGATGAAATTGAAACTGAATTGGTGTCTGGTGTAGCTGATGGTCATGTCTATCTCTGGACATACAGTGATAAGGAGAAATGTTATAGAGAGACTTCTTTTGATTATAAATCGAACACAAATATTGTAGATGCTATTTATAGGGATAATAATAAAGAAAATGTTTATATTGTTTCTGCTCATATGGATAGCTGTGTAAGGATTCATCATAGAGAGAAACTTGAAGGTAATATATTTTATTTTTTGAATTGAGGTTAGAGAACCCATCAATCCGCCTGGAAGGCGGCAATACAGAATACACCAACGTTTACAAATTGCCGCCTTACAGGCAAATTGTTTGACATTCAACATAATGGGGTAGTTAAATTTTTTCTGACTTATACTTTTTATGGTTTTATTCAAGGCGTTTTGTAATTTTAAACATTTCTGTGAAATCGGAATTTCAATTGAGTTTACCGTTTTCGAGATATTTACAAAAAAAAATCTCCTAATTACGTCACTAGGCTATTGACAACGTTGCCAGCTTTTTCTATGGTTGCCAGTGTGTTTAGTTTAAGATTCTTACGATAGATGGCGCCACGTTATAATATTTTAGTTTTAAAACCACTTGATCTATAATTTTACTTGAGAAGAAGAAGAATTGATTTTTTGACGTTTCTTTTTTTCGGATTATGTATTTTTTTAATTTAGATTATTGAAAATCAATGTTATTGTTATGTTATTTGTAATTGATATTAGATAAGTGATTTATTAATAACGGACTCCAAAGCAGAGGAATCTTGTGGAATGGTTGGTTACATTGAACATTGGAGCTTTTAAACAAATAAAGTAAGTACCTATAATTATAATCATATTTTGTCGTAAATGCATTTCATTAGTATAATGCCTAGTTCTTTATATTCTTTTTCTTGGACTCTAAAATATCAAACAGTAATATGATACCTCGTAATAAGGAAGATAGGTACTTAATGAATTTGGTGACCATCTTTCACTCAACTGACAGTGACAGTATTTGTACATAACCTCTTCGGGTATTTTCTGACATAACCGAATGAAATCATTAACAAGACAACTTGACAACAGGGTAATTTTCAACCAATAGAAATCTTAGAATGTTGGTCACATGGCGAGGTTTGTGACGTCATAAAAATTTATATTTTTTGTAAATATCTCGAAAACGGTAAACTCAATTGATATTCTGATTTCACAGAAATGTTTAATATTACAAAACGCCTTGAATAAAACCATAAAAAGTATAGGTCAGAAAAAATTTAACTACCCCATTATTGCAAACTTCTTCAGGCATAATTGCATATAAAAATCGTTTATTGTCATGTTTTAAAATTTCCGTAAAAATTAAGCCGTTTTTTTCCGGAAAATAAACGGAAAAACTGGGAAATTTTTAGAAAATTTAACTTTTGCATTTTTTTATTTTATTTAATACGAAAAAAATGCAAAGTCAATTTTTCTGAAAATGTACAAATCCCTTACACTGATATTGAGAAAAAAGTTTATTTCCGACGCTGAATTTAATCATAATATTATGATTATAATAATTATCCCTTTTATTTTAATTCAGTAAAAAATTTCTACCGGGTCGCCAAAAGAACATACAGTGTGACCCATTTGTTTGCAAATCACCCCTGTAAAATTTTTATTTATTGTGCGATTTTAACCGGATTTATTTTAAAGTTTAGATCTTGATAAACTGCATTTTTGGAGCAAAAAACACCATATTTTTACAAAATACAAGGCCTACTATGTCAATTTTTAAGAGTAAATTTTTAAGAATTCATATAAGGGATTTTTTAAACAAAATCTAAGCACAGCTCTGGATTCACCACACCTTAAAACGACCATATACTAAATTTTATTGAAAAATTTTAAGTAGAATAATGGACAATAATAACTACAAAAATTTATTCTGTCAAGTTACCTATCCATGAAAAAAACATTGAAATAAAATTAAACTAATAGTAACATGGTACTATTACTACAAGTTTAATAATAATAATAAGTTTATTTTCTTAAATCAATTTAATTTAATTCAATATTTAGTTTTATTTTTTTTTCTGTAAGGATATTTTTTTTAATTAAAATAATTCTAATAATTTTAAGTTGTTGAGTGGTACTTTTTTTCAAATGTGTATATTTTCCAAGAAAAAATCCATTTTCCCAAAATAAGCCATTTTTTCCAAGGCCTGGGAAATATTTAATTACATGATTTATACATGTAATGGCAATAATAGCAATTTTAACCTTTTTACTCCAAAACCTAACTCACATTTTTTCATCATTTTCTTATCATCCAAACCTTTCTAAATTTGTCTTTTCATAGTAGTAAAAACACTTTTTCTCCTTAGGAAATCTTGCCCTATTACATACATTAAATTTCGGATATCATGTTTGTACAGCCATGAGACTGGCTGTTATACCCAATACCAGAGAATTAATTCTTGCTCTGGCGTTGGACAACTCAAAAATAAACATTTATAAAGAACATAACAACGAATTCGTATTACAATGTGTTATAACTGGACATGATGACTGGGTGAGGGGTCTAGATTTCACTGTCAATAAAAACGATTTAGTCCTTGCCTCATCCTCACAAGATGCCTTTATAAGACTTTGGCGCATAACACCGCACTCCCCAAAGGAAGCCGAATACATCCCTTTAAAAATACAGACTAAAGACTCATTGTACAGGATAAATTTGGAATGCGTTTTAACGGGACACGAAGGCTGGATTTACTCGGTAAGATGGAGCCCAAACGGGCTGCAACTCCTCTCGGCCTCCATCGACAAGACCATGATTCTGTGGGAGTTCGATCCCGCGACGAACCTTTGGCTCGACAAAGTGAGGTTGGGCGAGGTCGGGGGAAACACCCTGGGTTTTTACGGCGGGTTTTTCTCGCCAGACGGCGCCACCATACTGGCGTACAGTTACCACGGCGCTTTCCACATGTGGAGGTTGAATGGGGACACCAGCTGGGAGCCCATGGTTACAGTTGGGGGGCATTTCGATGAGGTTGTTGATTTAAGTTGGGACCCCAAAGGAGAGTTTATTGTTACTGCTTCTAGCGATCAGACCACTAGAATTCATGCGCCTTGGTCGAAAGATGGAAAGAAGGTGAGTTTTGGTATTTAAATCATGAAAAGGTGGTAAAAAAATTATTTTATAAAGTTTTGCATTTTTAGTTTGATTTTAAGAGGATTGTTTTATTTTTTATTTATTATTATTACATATACCTACATGGAAAACTTTTTTATTATTAATTTTAAGAAAAAAAGTTTCTTCATAAAAAGTTCTGCATGTTCTAAAATTTAAAACAGTGTTAATCCGAATGAAGAAATAAATTTCATAGAGTCCCTGTAAATATAAATTGTATCTATTAGATACAATAAATACACATTTTAGTAATGATTAACGTGAAAAGTGTAAACATTTCAACTCAGTAAAAATTGTCCAACAAATAAGTCGTCTAAATTTAAAGAGCATTTAGCATTATTAAAAACGTTGATTAAGAATTCTTTAAAGTCTCCACTTAACGGTAAAATACCATTATATATAAAATTATGTTGCCATGAATTCGTAGGTATATTTTGTTATTTAAAATGCAGTTGTCGGCAATTTTTAGAGAACTCAAATATAAAAATGGTTGATTTTAAGGTTATGTTTGTGCAAAAATTATTTTTTACCAATTTATTAAAAATGTCCAAACTTAAATATAAATTATATTAGGTAAAGTTATCATTAGTTAATGCTGCTCCAACAAATGCACTTACCGAATCGGATCCTTTGGCAAAACATGAAAATGCAACGATTTAGTTCTTGAATTTTATTTACAATTAAAAACACAATAATTCACCACGATCCCTTAGATAAAATACACACACTAACGTAACTAAGCATTTAAGCGTTGAGTTTCTTAATCAATGATATAAAGAATAATCAATTGAAATCGAGTACTAAACCAGTTTTTTAATTTTAATAATTCCTCTCCTATTTATTTAAAAATATTGTACAGTTCGTATGCTTTAAATGTATTGTTGACAATTCTTAAATTCACACAATGCTTTTGAAATCCACCAGATGGCGCGCGCTTTGCGAAAACCCTCATGTTCAAAATCATGTTTGTAATAAATATCGGTATCGGTAAGTAATTGAGAAAAATTTGTAAAAAAAAATGTTTAAGTAGAAGGATGTAATTGCATATTAAAACATAGTTTTTCATTCCAGACAAGTTTTCATAATTAGAGTTTTTCATATTGTCACAAATAAAGGTACTTTACTCTTGTACCAAATTCATATTTTTTTGTCAAACCTCAGATATGACTGAAACAATTTGATATCTGATGATTGTATTTTAGATTTTAGAAAATGCAGAACATTTATGAAGAATAACTTTTTTCTTAATATTAGACACACATAAGTAGACAAACTTTATATACCTACATTCCAATAAGCTTATAGCTTATGTTTAAACGTTTTAATAAGAAAACACTTTTTAGATAAATAAATATACAAAACAAATAATGATTTTATTAGACTAAATTAATAATTTACTGTTAAAAGTGACTAGGTTACATTTGTTATATTAACATCCCAAAATGTCTTATAAGAATCCAAAATAAAGCTTAAATAACGATCTTGTGAATGTACATTAAGTTTAGAATATAACTCTTAAGAATGTTATATACAACTGTCTTAGAAATGTAAACAAAAGCTATAAGTAACTGTCTTAGGAATTTCAACTTAAGCTAGATCATAGATGTAACTGTCATTAACTTTTCGTTGTCGCGTTATAAGATATGCATTAATTAAATACATGGGCTGTATGGGAGGTGTATTTAATATACGCATATCTTATAAGTTATTGTAAGCACTTATACCTGTAAAAGTGACATATAAATTTTTATTAAAATTCACAACACAGTTTAGCAATAATAAACGATAACATCCCGTGTACTTAGCAACTTTAATAATTTTTTACTCGGTAAACGGACGGCCAATCCGTCTAAAACTTTGTAAATGTCTTTTAGGTAGACTACCACAATCTATCTCAGACTTAAGAATGTTAATTTAGGCTGGATATAACCGTTAATTTAAGCTGTAAAATGATAATTTTTCGTGAGTAAAAATGTTGACAATTTTTTTTCGCACTAGGTGACATGGCACGAAATAGCAAGACCCCAAGTGCATGGACACAACCTATTTTGTTTATCAATGTTATCCAGGTATAAATTCGCTTCGGGAGCGGAGGAAAAAGTGGTTAGAATTTTCGAAGCACCTCGTAACTTTATCGAGAATTTCCGAAGGATTTGTAAAATTACCGATGACAAGGAAGGAGATGATCTACTGAATTGTAGCAATAAAATATTATGGTGTAATTTATTTTTTGATTGTTAATATTTTAGCTGGACTATTGGAGGCTAAAGGTGCTTCAGTGCCTTCGTTGGGGCTCTCAAATAAGGCCGTTTTCACTGATGATAATACAGAAGAGGCCACACCAGATAGTAAAAATCCCTATGAATCTGAATCGCATTTTACAGCCACAGAGTTACACAGTAAGTACATCTACTAAAAACCAATTAAATCAATTAAAAACTCTTTTGTCTTAAGATCCACCTACTGAGGAAACTCTGTTAGAAAACACCTTATGGCCTGAAGTCCAGAAACTATATGGACATGGATATGAAGTCTATTCTTTAGCTTCCTCCCCTGATGGACAACTATTGGCTTCCTCTTGCAAGTCCACATCTCAAGAACATGCAGCAATAATAATCTGGTAGAGTAAAAAACTGGAACCAAACTTAAACTCAATATTTTTTCATGTAGGAATTCCTCCAACTGGAAAATGGTGCAAAAACTGATATCTCACAACTTGACAGTGGTACAAATGGAATTTTCACCGGATTCAAAGTATTTATTGTCCGTTTCAAGAGACAGGAGGTGGAGTTTATTCGATAGAACTCAAAACGGCGAGTTTGAATTAATTTCAACGACAGATAAAAAACTCGGTGTCCACGCTAGAATTATATGGGCATGCAGTTGGAGCCACGATTCCCAATATTTCGCCACTGGATCCAGGGATAACAAAGTCGTTGTTTGGACTATAAACAAAAATAAGGAAAAAGTTAATTGCCTTGGTAAGTTTGGTTTTTAAAACGAAGTTAATTCCTAATATAACTTTTTTTAGGGCAATGCCAAGCAGTTCATGTTATTAAACCAATGAAAGATGGTTCTGTAACTGCCTTAGCTTTTGCACCTACTTTTGTTGAGGGAGAATACTTATTGGCTGTGGGTTTGGAAAGAGGGTGCATTATTTTATACAGATTGAAGGAGAATTGCCAAAAAGCCTTGGATATTCTTTACCAGTAAGTATAACGTCAAATTACGTAATTTTTAGTACTATTTGTTTTTTTTAGTTTTGGTCATTCTTTGACAGTAAAAAAATTAAAATTCAGACCGGTTTGTGGAAAAACCGGTGAGAAAGGAAATGATAAAAATGTTCTACAACTGGCCAGTTGTAGTTCTAATAATCAAGTGAAGGTTTTCAATATATTTTTAGATAAGCTTAAAAATGTGGAATTGGCCAATGAAGAATATGAAAGAATTGTAAATAAATAAATAAAAATAAATAACAAAACATTTATTTTTTTAAACCCTGTATACAATGTAATTGTTTGACATGGATTGTCATTAAATATTTTAAGAATTTTCGGTTTATTCATAGATAAATTATTTTATCATACTTATAAATTCCAGTTAAATATGTCGGTAAGTTTATTTTCGTTTAATGTTTGGTACGTTTGTAAAAATAATGAATTTAGGATCAAAAAAACTTTCAAGTAAGAACTGCATTGCCTGATGCAAGGTATAGATATCAAAATTGTACAAGATGGTGTTATATAACGTTTCTGGATTTCCATAGATGTACAAGACTTCTAGGAGAAGGGTATATATTTTAGTTACCTATTTTTAAGACAAAATAATCTTACAGTCCTTTCTGGACAATTTATCTTTAATTTTGGAAATTTGTAAAATAGTCGGTTTTCTCACAAAATTGTGAGTACATTTTTACTATAAAATTGAAATTAAAAAGAGATAGTAAAAAATTAAAGAACATAAATGTTCTTTAAAGTGTGGTTAAAAATTAAAAATAGTTTTGTGTGTAAATCCAATTTAGGCGTTTTGGTTTTCTGAACAGATTTTTTTGCCCGGTTTGGTCGTTTTTTTCAAAGAACACCAAAGAAGCAAAACCGAAATAGGGCGAGAGGAAACAGCCGAAGGTACCCGAACAAGAGATGCACTGGATCACGTCGTTGCCAACTTTAAATAAACAAAAACGTTTCTAACTTCACATTTATTATTATGTTTTTAAATCCATATGAAACGGGTTTTTTGAATGAAATTAGCGAAATTTTTTTCTGTTATTCGCAGAAATATGCTCCGGTGTTTTAATTAACCCATTGCCCATTTCTAAAAGCATACGCGTAATTAGGTATATAGGTAAATTGCGGGGTGGGGGAAGCCAGTTTTTCAACGGACATATGAAGAGATGCTGTCAAATTTTGTTCGTATTGGAAAGTGCTGTAAAAAGTGAAAAAAAACAAAGTTAGGTAAGCAAAAAGTGATTATTAATTCTTCGCATGTTCGTTCAGTTATTAAAAACAAGTTTTAAGAATCTAATTGGTTTTTACTGGCTTTATAAAATCAGCTGTTTTATAAAGCCAGTGGCTTTAAGCCACGCCCATCGTCTAAAAACAACAATTCTTAAAATTGCTAGGTACAATTAAATGATTTTTATATTATTATACTGTTTATTATTGTATACTTGTACTGTTTAATATTAGTTTATTTATTAAATTTTATTTATAAAAACTTTCTAGTTTTATTTATTCTTATATTAAATGCATTATACCTGTACATTACATTTAAAATTCCCGCCTAAAGAAAGAAAGGAAAAATAATCAGCGCCATCTATGCATTTTTATCTAAAACATAATAGACATGAAGCTCGTACGTAACATTATGTTGTGTAAGTTGGTAGCCTTGTGGCCTGTGTCAAGCGCATCTCAGACTTTCGGGCGATTATTGTGTTGCCAACTTTTAACCAGGAACTTTTGCTTCTTTGGTGTTCTTTGGTTTTTTTAAGCTTTAAAACATTTTTGCAATACAACTCTTATTACAACATGTTTAGATATGCATCATAAAATTACTTTTTGCGGTTCAACAATGCATTTTAGTTAGAAGTTATCGACTATTTCACAACTTTAAATTCCCAAAATTAAAGGAAAAAATTGGCCAGGGACTGATAAATGTTTTTTTAATGATAGAAACCCTGCTTGTGAGGAGTTTGCAAAAATCTACAAGTCCATATGTCCAAACAGTTGGGTCTCAAAATGGGAGGACCAAATGGCCGACGGAACGTTCCCTGTGGACCTCCCGGAAAAGGAAGAGGATTGTAATAAATAACGTTTTTGAACTAATTAAATGCTTTTTTAATAAAATAAACATACGACATAAAAATATGTCTTAAATATGAAGTTCATTACAAAAAGACTCAATATAAAGAGTAAAATAGCAATTACTTAAACAAATACAGCACATAACTTTTAAATATATAAATATACATATAATATTTTTTTTACAAACAACAATTCTAACCCATCCATTTTAAACATATAAAGAAAAAGTTCAATAAAAGGAATGATTAACATCTATAAAAAATATATACAAAATAGGCACCATTGATCAGCTGCTGTTGACAAGTCAACACTGGTCCACTTAATTTATTATTATTATTTAATATTTATTTATTCGTTAGTAAATTTGGTCAAAAATATGTCAGAAAGTGTCGTCTTTTTAATTTTGGATCGTCAACACAAGTAGTATAAATATATTAGTTTAATTAAATAAAATATATCTAGGCATCGATTTATAGATTAACTCCATACATCTGCGGATAAACGCTTCTGCGTCTCCATTTTCTTCAAATATTCCTGCGCCTTTTGTTCCGTCATCTCACCCTTCTCCTGCAAGATTTTCAGGATGATGTTTCTCACGTCAGCGGCCATGTTTTTGGCATCACTGCAAAGAAGAAAGAAAACGTTAAATAATAGTAGGTACATTATTTTTTTTTCAAGCGGCCATGATATACAACCTTATATGCATGTATAGAGATAGTTGAAGTGTGTCTTTTTCATTAGCGGTTGACAAAAAACTCAAAAAAGCCTAGGGATAGAAGTAAATCCATAGGTGACTCAATAGACGTCAAAAATTAAAATTAATTTAGCATTTCATACAAAGCAATCACGATGTATTAATTATATTAATTATAACCGCACGGCATATTTAGTGATTATTTATTAAATTTTAATTGAACGAAATAAAGAACTAGATTATTAGCTAATATAGGTACTAGTATAATATTATGATGATAGACGAGTCGCCAATGTCGGAACTCCAAACAAATGTCAGTACGTCAAAATTAATTCAAACGCAGCATTTTGACATATTTAAATACTAAAAAATTTAACTTTACCAATTTATTCTAAATAATTATATTAAATATTTATTTCAGATTTTCAAAATTCTGACCAAATAAATTATACTTAAGAAATAATTTTTACGAGTCGCCAATGTCGGAACTCCAAACAAATGTCAGTACGTCAAAATTAATTCAAACGCAGCATTTTGACATATTTAAATACTAAAAAATTTAACTTTACCAATTTATTCTAAATAATTATATTAAATATTTATTTAAGATTTTCAAAATTCTGACCAAATAAATTATACTTAAGAAATAATTTTTATTAAAAAATGATCCTTTGAAATTTTTGCAAAAAATTGATTGGAAATAATATTATTTAATACAGAAGTTATCTGTTAGTAAATTTTGTCTTTCAATGCATAGTTAAAGATATTTTAAATTTATAAATGAAAACCTAAAATTTTAAATTAAAAAAATATTTAATAAATGTTAAAACGGCGTGCCACAAAAACGTACTTTTATTTGAAATCGGCAGTAAAGTAGTACTTTACTGCCGATTTAATACGAGTATTGTATGCAACCCTTTATACATTTTAAGATGTGTCTATTGCTCCTCAGCAGCAACTAAATAATATTTAAAAAAAAAGTACCGTCGCGGAGGTAGGTCGATTGGACCCTTTCATAAAATGTTGTTTAATGAAAATAATAAGTTAATTTTATTAATTAGATTAAAAAATCGCCGCGGCGGGCTAATATATTATATAACCTTCGCAACAAAAAGTATATGTAGACACTTCCTACATTCAAATGACATTTGATTTGATCATCAAATGACATTTAATTTAATCATTAATATTAATTATTAGTGTATTATTCAATGTGATTTCGGATAAAATTTAATATGCACCTCGGCATTAAAGTTTTTTTATTACTCGTGTAGGGTTTTAAGATTTCCTGAAAAATTGAGCCGGCGGAAAATTTCCAAATTTTTACGGATAGTATCCGTGAATTTTCGACGCTGATTATAATCATATAATATGATTATAATAATTATTTCTTTTACTTTAATTCAGTAAGAATTTTCTACCGGGCCGCAAAAACATATTCGGTGCTATATTAACATAACTTTTATTTAACACTTCAATTTATAAAATTATAATTTTGTAAGTTAACTTTATAAATCATTCATTATTTTGTAGTTAGATATTTTTAATGGACTCCTTTTTGCAACAAAAAAACCAAACACGTTTACGTTTATTTTCTTAAATTTAATTTTATGTTTAGTTTAATTTTTTTTGTAATAAATGATTTTTTATTACATATTTAAAATAATGTTAAGTTGTTGATTGCTACTTTTTTCAAATGTGTATAGGTATTTCTAAAAAAAAACAATTTTTCCCAAAAAAGCCAATTTTTCCAAGGCCTGGAAAAAAACAGGTTTTTTCCCCAATTTTTCCGTTTTTTTCCAAAACTTTAAAACCCTACTCAGGTGGGTATTTGCCGAGGCGAAAGCAACATTCGTGATAAAAAATACGACTTTACTTCCTTGATACATAAATAACTACCGTAAACACGGGTGGCTTTAGCTCACTTTCAAACTTAATCTTAACATTTTTGTAGTTTTAACAATCATAAACATTAAATATTGTATACCAAAATTTGAGTTTTGAGTTGCTCTTTCATAATAACTATGTTATAATATTACATAGGACTGAGTTTCAAAAATAAAAATTAAAAACTGGGTGTGCAAAGTTACCCCCTGGTTGCGGGTTACTTTGTCTCACAGTGTATTTTCTGTATAAAATTAACTCAATATGTTATTTTATTTTTATTAGACATAATATGTTAGCAGCGACATATAGCAATTGCAAGGGATCACCGATAAAAACAATAAAAAATCGACCTGTAGTTAACCAAGGATCATCATTCCAAAGAATTGCGCATAATATAGAAATTAAAACGCATGTGTTTTTAAGAGTTTTGCACTAATGCAATATATACAATTTTAAAGTGTAATAAATCCCATTTATTTTTTTAAAACACTGATTTTCCTGTAATATAAACTCAATAGAATCGCTCAATTGACAGCCCTATTGAAAATGCCATATAGAACCATATAAAAAACACGTATCTGGATTCTATATGGTTTCTATCTGGTTCAATATAGGTATTTGAAACAGGCATTTCACTATAGAACCAGATAGAAGATTACATTATAGAACCAGATAAAAACACTCTAAAACACTATAGAACCAGATAGGGAAACCTATCTGAAAATACATATAGAACAGAAACCAGATAAATCCATATACATCCATATACATGTCTTTTTAAAGACATGTACCTATATGGTTGTATATGGATTTATCTGGTTTCTGTTCTATATGTATTTCCAGATAGGTTTCCCTATATGGTTGAATATGAAAATTTTTAAAATGGAAATCCATATTCAACCATATAGAATCCGTAATGTAAACCAGGACTTTCCATATAGGACCTATAAAACCATATAGAACCAGATAAGTTTCCTTATCGGATTCAATATGGGTTCTATATGGCATTTTCAATAGGGAGGTTTAGACCAACAAATTATAAATGTTAATTTTATCGAGCGTGAAAAAAATTTTCATAAAAGGGCTAAAGTCACCCGCGGGGTGCAAAGTCACCCGTGTTTACGGTATTGGTATTATCTTTAAGCCGCAGTAAAAGTACTTCTACTGCCAAGGCAATGACATTCTGCGAAATGTCAAAAAAGTGTCATGTTTAAAAAAAAATCTGAAATAATAAAAAATTGATGCTTACCCGCAAATGTACAGATGCCCATTATTTTCCCCAACCACCCTCCAGATTTCTTCGCTCTCTTTTTCGAGCAAATGCGTGACGTAAACCTTTTGCGCCTGATCCCTGGAGAACGCCAAGTGCAACTTGACCGCCCCCTTCTCCTCGTACCCGACCAGCTCTTCCTCGTAAATGAAATCTTCGCCCCGCTTGCGGCACCCGAAGTACAAAATCGTCTCCCCGACCGGTTTGTCCTCCTCCCTGTTGAAATTCCTCTCCTGGACGAACCCCCTGAAGGGAGCCAACCCCGTGCCGGGCCCGATCATGATGATCGGCGTCTGCGGTTTCGTCGGCAGCCTGAACTGCGACTTCCTGATGAAGATCGGCACGGTGGGGTAGTCGTCCGGTTTGGGCGTCTTGTCGGCCAACCACGTGGTCGCCACGCCCTTATTCTGCCGATTTGTGGGCGTCATGTACTCCACTTTGACGGCCGTTATGTGCACCGTGCTGGGGTAGAGTTTCGGGGACGAGGAGATCGAGTAGTAGCGAGGTTGGAGACGCGGCAACAGCTCGCAAAGATGGTCCAAAGCTGGTTTGCAAGACGGCAAATCTTCCAGTATGTGCACGATGTTCCTATTATCGTGGTTAATCCATTGGTGGTACAAAGCCTTACCTAATAAAAATAGGAAATAATCAAGCGGACCCCAAAATTTTATTAATGATTTATAATGGGCTAGTTAGATCACACCTAGATTACGGATCCATTTTGCTGAGTCCCATACACAAAAGCCTGAAAAGCAGGCTAAATTCCACCCAAAAGCATTAAGAACGATTACAGGTACTATGAAAACTACCCCTATTAACGCTTTATTGGCTGAATGTGCAGAACTCCCATTAACCGAAAGAACAAAATGGTTAACCGTAAAATTTCTTTCAAAAATAATTAAATTTAAATCCCATCCTATAATCCCCATCATGGCAAGTCTAAAGATAGAATGCTCAAAGCCAGCAACATATTGGAAGTCAAAAGAACAACCATTCATCATCCAAGTAACTGACCTATTTAACAAAGATATTAATCAAATTAGAAGAAGTGATCTTGCACCCTGCTTTGAGGTTGAATATTGTTATCAGTTTGCCCAAATCAAAAGTAAAAATCTAAACTTAGGAAAAAAAACATTGACAATAAAATAAACTTTTTAACGGAACTAGAAACATTCAAAACAAAAAAATATAATATCATATATACAGAAAGTCGTTTGGCCACTGCCCCCAAACGTGAAAAGTCTGACCTTTGTTTGTAAAATCTGTACTAACACCCTGTAAAACACATTTAAGCAAAAAAGAAAAATACACCTATATATTTGAAGAAAAAATGAATCAAGGGATGAGTCAACTCAGATACTCTTAATTGAGTCCCTTGATCCTTGAGAAAACTGAAAACATAATGTGCTGGCCAAATAGCATTTAAGTAAGCTAAAGGCCAAACATCTGGGCAAAGGCTCAGAATTAAGAAGAAGAAGAAGCCTTACCTTCAGGACTTGTACCGGCCATCAAGCGTAGTTTCTCTTTTTCCGCTGGGTCAGAGCAGTACTCGGACAACTCTTTCAAGACGTGGGTTCTCGGGTTCATGGTTATATCCAAGTAGTGCGTAAAGGCGGTCCTGTACGAGCACGGGCACGGGAACGGATGTTTTTTACTGGATTCCTCGTCGGTATTAATCAAGGTGAAGATGGTGTCCAAGTTTTTACCGCACAGCTTACCAATCTTCTCCACCAACTCGCTGTTATTAATCGGGTAGACCGCCAAATGATCGCCGGAATCGTACCGCATCTTGGAACCCTCGATGTCAAACTCGATGTGCATGCAGCTTCTATCCGAAGCGGGCTTGTGCAGCTCCCTGTTGACCTTGATCTTGGACAGGAAGGGGTTTTTGGCGTCGTAGGGCGGTCTTTGGTTTTTCAGGGAGTGCAACCTCGCCATCTCGCCGGTGTATATTCTGTCGGGGGTGTCTTCGGCGAACTCTTGCAGCCTGTACTGCCTGATGCTGATATCTTCACCGGTGGATTCGATGCCGAAATGCTCGCACACGACCGGCCAGAATTTGTCTTTCCACGTGATGAAGTCATCTTCGATGCTGCAAAAACGTTTTTAGTCGGAGTTTTTTGTTGAATTCGCGTTTGTACTCACTTGGCATCGTCGTCTCCCAATCCCAATTCGTACACTCTGGTTGCGCCGAGTTCTTCCAATCTTTTGTCCACATAGATGGCGACTTCGTTGTAATGCTCGTAGGTTTTGTTACCGAGACCGAAGACCTTAAAAGAACGTGGATTAGTTGCTAAAAGAATTAGTAGCATTTGTTTGTTCCCCTTGTATAAGGAACTAAACATTTATCACCAAACATGTTTTAACCATTTAAAGAAGGATTGATAAGTTTTAATGCATACGAAGTGTGTTCAGAAAATAACGGGAATTGTTAAATTTCGCGGGTTCGGAGGGTCCGGTTGTCATAAATTTTTCTTTATTAAGTAGGTATACATGCCCCCGAAGTATGATAAAAACTTTAGCTGTTTTCATTGTTTACTTTGTCTGTGGCAGCCGCTAAGGTTAGACGTGTTTTATGAGCTCGGCGATTTTTCGTTCGTTAAAAGAAATGGATCAAAGAATGTGTATCCAATTTTGCTTAAAAAATTAAATAAACTCCGTGAAATGTTAACAAAGGCCTTTAGTGAGTCTGCTATTTATAAGTAAAACAAGAGTTTACAAGTGGTAAAAAAGTTTCCAAGATGGCCGTGAAGACGTTGAAGATGACGAACGCCCCAAACGCACAAGCACATTAACAACCGATAAACATGGAAAAAGTGGAAGAAATGGTTATAAACCATCAGAGAAGTCGCTAATAATGTTGGTATATCGATTGGCTCATCCCATGAAATTTTTTCGAATGTTTTGGGTATGAAACGCGTGGCAGCAAAATTTGTTGTAAAATTGTTAAATTTTGAACAACATTTTGGGCCAAAAACAATACTGTAATGATGCCCCAGCCTCCCTATTTGCCAGACATGCCTCTGTCTGACTTTTTCCTATCCCCAAAAATAAAGAGAACCTTAAAGGGCCGTCGTTTTGCAAGCATAGATGACAATAAAAGCGCATCGCTGAAAGAACTAAAGGCTATCCCAAAGATCGAGTTTTAGAACTGTTTCGAGTAAGTATTGGAAGAAGAGCTGGCACATGTGCATAATATCCAATGGGGACTATTTTGAAGGCGACGAATAAATAAATATTTGTTTCAAAAAACGAAAATTCCCCATATTTTCTGAACACACCTCGTATACCATGATTTGTGGATTAGGGTGCCCTTTATTTAGCAAGTTGGCTGTTTTTATTTGGGTATCGTTAAAATTGTTAGTTTAGAGACAAATAAAAATTAAAAAAAAATTCCGATGCCGCTTAACGTTATAACCCTGCCTAAATGACGATACTTTTCCCTTTCTTTTAACATGGAGTTATTGCACTTTTTGAAAATTATTTCTTTTTCTTGTTTAATAAATTCAATAACTCACCAAATATTGTTCATTCTGCCTGTATTATGATCCCTTTGGATAAAGAAATTTTGATGAGGTCAAAATTAATTTTTACCGTTTTTTACAGTAATTTTGTTTAATTTACGGACCATTCAATATTTATTGTGTATTTAATATTACATTTTATTTTATACGCTTTTAATATTGACTTTATAAAGATTGTAAATCATAAATCATTAATAGTTCATTTTAAATTACCTATTATAGCCCAACACCATCTATCGCTCGACCATTAACTTTTAAGATGAAAAGCAAATATATTAAATCACTAAGGGCCGAATGCAGAAACATTGATTTATTTATATCGACTGATTTAGCATATCAGTGAATTTAGATATTTGCACGACATGGCAACGCAGTAATTTTCATAAATAAAAATATTACTTAGCATTTTTTCGATTTTTTTCACAGGAAAAATTAGATGCCCGAATGGTATTTGGCAAGACTATTTCATGAGTAACAGTTATTCTGCATACACATAGCTTACAAAACATACTACCTATTAATAATATAATAGGCTATTATACATGCAAACATAATAAATATGTATAGTATACATTGTATACATTGTATACATATACCTATAGGTATTAATTTGAAAACTGAAAAATAGGTGATTTATTTAATCACAAAATACTACACTGCCCGTCAAAATTAACGCATAATAAGTAAAAATACTAAAGATACTAACAAAAATACGGTCTTTAACAGCATATTTTTTATTTAGTTAAAAAAATTCTCTAAAAGTAATTTTTTGAACGTTTTTTTAATATTAAATAAAAGGACTTAAAAAATATTTTCTCGAAAAACCCTCGAACACGTAAACTGTTAACAAAATTTCATAAAGATTGGTAAAGGCGTTTTAGAGTTAGAATTTTTTTACTTATGCGTTAATTTTGACGGGCAGTGTACAAACTTAATTATTTATGGTACAATTAAAATATAAATGGCAATTTTTGGTTTTGCCGCGGGTAAACTCGAAAAAACTGCTAACAGGTGCTGTCATACAGTTTTTCCACCTAGAAACTATAGAAAATATATTTGTAATTCAAAATTGCTCGCTTGTGATTGGAGGAAATTAAGACGAGGGAAATAGTCTTTAAAATATGTAGTATTTTGTAAATCTATGCTATTGACCTAAAGATGGTAGTATAATCGTTTGATAAGATATAATTTTCAAATTTTCTTATGGAATTTTATGTAATCCTACATAAAAACATTGTTATATTACCGTAAAGCACAAAATTAAAAAAACAAAATAACTTTTTATTTTGCTATTTACGTAATTCCAAATAAAAGTTGTACATCGCATTAAAAATCGCGTTTTATTATTTTGATAAGGAAAGTTACATGGTAGAGTATTCAATTTAAGAATTTACAGAGGTTTTTATGTTAAAAACGTTAGTAATAGATTATTTCACTGTTTCACTCAAAAACCATTGCAATATAAATCATACTAATAAATCATAAAAATTGCTCTAGTGTACAATTCACCAAAAAAACTCACTCGACGAAATATTGAAATTAATATTTATTCTGTTACAAAATGATGTAATGTACATGGGAAAGTACCATACTTATTCCATAGTATTTTTGCAAAATAAATAATAATTAAAGCAATAAAAGACGTGACACAATTATTAACTTTGCTTTAGGTTCAGCAGGCCAAAAATGTATTAAAAACCGTGATTACTCTCAAGGTTATAATATTTCATACATAATATTATGTATGTATAGGTATAACATATATTATGCGTATTATAATAAAATATTTTTGGAGAATAAGTTAATATTTTTATTTACCAGACAAGATTTGTGTATTTATTTGGTTTATTACATTTATTGGTTTAAAAACTAATTTGTTTATAAAACTGGCTACAATTTAAATAATTAATAATTAAGTACCTAGTACCTAGATAAATGACGTCCACGCTATACTAGACTGATAAAACTAATTTATTTTTAAATATAATATTTTACAGAAAATCATTGTTTATCAAAAACATGGTATTTTTAAAAACGCGTGTCAAATTACAAACATCCATCATTAGAGCCCTATGTATTGAACCACAAGAGAATTTTTTAGTCTAATATTAGTTTAATAATAGTATTAATTAAAATAAACAGTGCGTAACAAAATTGATAAGAGAAAACTAACATTATACTCGTGTTTAACAACAGACTGGTTACATTTAAAAATGCTTTTAAAAGTACATGCGTTTACATTGAACTTTGACTAGCCTTGGTAGCGCGCAAAAATTATTTTAACGTGCCTTGTCGTTTCAAATTGGACTTCATTTATAAATTCCTAAATAACAATAATAATAATAATGTTGATCAATGTCAAGGCGCATTCATGTAAGTTCTAGAACAATTCCATGAAACGCATTTAAGTTTTTTGCTAAAAAGTTTATTATTATTACAAAATTGTAACTTTTTATTTTAAAACATTTTTAGAAAATGGTTTTCTCTATTTTTATATAAAAAAATAATCTCAAAACATTAGAATAACAAAAATAAAATAAAGTTTAAAGTTAAGTTAAGTTTATTTAGTAGTAAATTTAGTTATATTGCATTATTTTGGTAACAGGAAGTTGCATTTTGTACAGGCAATAAATATTGGAAATAAAAAACTAATAAAAATTAAAAAACTATTAAAATACGACATGTTTTTAATATATTCAAACCAAATTCATAAACATATTTCATTATGTTGTATGATATCATTATTTTAACTATAAAATAGTAATATTGCGATGAATGAAAATAAATTTACAACAATAAAAAAAATAAAATAAAAACTTATAGGTAGTTATAAGTAGTTGTAAAAACAATTAATTGTTTAAGTTTAATTTCTAAAATATTTTAAACGTTTGATAATGTAATTTAGGTCCAGGATTTGTTATCGTAATATTACATAAAAAAATTAAAACTTACCGCATAATTTAAACCACTTAGGTCAGCGTCACCATTTTGAAGCCATTCGTAAAATTCCATTGCATTATCAGTGGGATCTCCTTCTCCATAAGTGGCCAGGCAAAACACTGCTAATGAATTTTGAATGGTTTTTAAATTTACTAATTCTTCCTAAAAAAAATAAAACAAATTAAAAATTTGGTTTTGACCTTTTTGCTGCTAGGACCAATAATAATTAAAAATTTGCCACTGTCTGAGAATTTAAGTTTAGAATGAAGTTTATAATTTATATTTACCATGTCACATTCTTCCGGGTCGGCTACCATACCCTTCAGTCTGTATCTGACTCCTTCCTTCGCCAATCTACCGGCGAATTCTTCGCCGGTACCGGTTTGGCTACCGTAAAAAACGACCAAACTTCTGCCGGATGTTTTCAGTTTTTTGATGAAGGAGTTGTCGCTTGTGGTTTGAAGGCCGATTGAAGTTGGCCTAAAATAAACATTTAAATAAAGGTTTTAGTTTGTCCCAAACGTTTTACAAAAAAAACCTCTCACGAAGAATCGTCCCCTGCTAATTTTTTTATATAATTATTTATGAAAAGCTGTTTTATCTAGCTATTAAGAATACTTAAATATAAATAGGGGTGTTATTAATTATATGGACCCCAATGACATTGTGTACCCATATACAAAATGTAATGTCAATAAAACTGTTAACTATAAATGGGGGAGTCATTAATTCACAATTTACAAGTGCGACTAAATGATTTTTTGTATTAAATCCATTATTATTTATTTTATTTAAAGTCTGTGACCATGAAAACCAAAATTTGCCAAACAGAACAACATATTTTAAAGTTATGCAAAAAGTTGCGCAAACTAAACGTTTCAATAACATATCAGGTTACTGGTAGGTATACAGAAAAAAAGTTTATTTGTCACTGATTTTAAAAATAAAGCCCCAATGAAAAAAAACTGGTTTACCAGTATTATCAATGAGTACCTATCACTATTTCGCACTTAAAATTAATTTTTTTAAGTAACAATGTAATCTACACTCACAGGCAAAATAATCGATCCACACAAATTTTCGATGAATTTCAATGGCAAATAAATTTTTTATTTGATTTCGGATTTAAACAAATATTATAGAATATTGTAGATACATTAATGGAGAATCGCTCACATTTTAAAAATTACTAAAAAATACACGTACGTTTATAATATACAGGTTTAAACAAAAAGATGTTTTTTACATAAGTTTAAGACACTCTGTAGAGTGGCAAAACCGTATATTGTTCTAAATTAAGTTTTAATTATCAAGTCAGATCTATTTTTAACAGTTTTGTTTTTGGTTCACCTCGATATATTTATTTTTGTGGAAAATATGGATTTTAAAAAAAAAAACATTGCAATTTACAATATTTTTTCTGTATGAAGAACTAAGGTTGCTATGGTCCATCCATAGTAGACTGGTTGGTAATTCAATTTTTTTTTTCTGATTTTAAACCGCCGGGCAAAAAAAGTTTTTTTGTAACCTAAAACTTTTCTATTTAAATTTTGGTGACGATCGGATAATATTTAATAGCCGCGCCCAGGTGAGGAAATTTAAATATACAAAATATTCAGAAAATTGTTTTTATTTGGATTGTTTATGAGTGAATGCATGCACAAAACTTAAATTAATCAAAGAAATAAATATTCTGTTAAATGGTTAATAGAACAACATTCACAAAAAGCTATTAATGTCCAAATTCGGTTAGAATTTAAAAAAGGTTCGTGAATATTTTACATTAAATTACTAAGTGCGGTTTTGTTACAGGAAGGAAACTTTTTGCGATATGCTTCAACAAACTGATGACAAATTGCTTCTGTTCTTCATTTTGAGTCAAATTATTAGCAATGCAACTACATACTAATTTATACATAAAAAATAAGTTTACTACGCCATAATTAAATTTGTTTTAAAAATATTATTTTTATTAATATTTTCCGTATTTTCATATTTACCTGCCTGGGCGCGGCCACTAAATATTATCTTATAACTACAAAATTTTAAATGAGACATATTTAGGCCAAAACAAAACTTTTTTCGCCCGGCGGTTGAAAAAAAATTTTTTACGACCAGTCTAATCCATAGCCTATGGAAGATGACAGTGACAGTTTTGTTGAATCATCCCATACTTGGACATGTCAAATACAGCTTTCAAAAGCTATCAAATTGTTTTTTGTAAATTAATGTGTTAATTTTGAGGTGTCTTCTTACTTTACTTCTTGTGACGTTTAAAACACTTGCCAAGCCAAGTAATACTGTGACCGTCCATCCTGGATTAAATTAATGGCTCTGGCAACATCAGTCGGAGACATATCCATTTTTTAAAGTAAGAAGACACCTCAAAATTTAAACATTAATTTTCAAAAAACAATTTAAATTGTTCAATTGATAGCTTTTGAAAGCCGTGTATGACATGTCCAAGTATGGGGTGATTCAACAAAACTGTCACTGTCATTCTCCATAGGCTATGGATGGACCATAGCAACCTTAGTTCTTCACACAGGAAAAATATTGGAAATTGCAATGTTTTTTAAAAAAATCCATATTTTCCACAAAAATAAATATATCGAGGTGAACCAAAAACAAAACTGTTAAGAATAGATGTGACTTGATAAATAAAACTTAATTTAGAACAATATACGGTTTTGCCACTCTACAGAGTGTCTTAAACCTATGGTAAAAAACATCTTTTTGTTTAAACCTGTACTTATATTATAAACGTACGTCTATTTTTTAGTATTTTTTTAAATGTGAGCGATTGTCTATTAATTTATCTACAATATTCTTTAATATTCGTTTAAATCCGACATCAAATAAAAAAGTTATTTGCGATTGAAATTCATCGAAAATTTGTGTGGATCGATTATTTTGCACGTGAGTATGTAGGTATATTTTAAAGTTATGCAAAAAGTTGCGCAAACTAAACGTTTCAATAACATATCAGGTTACTGGTAGGTATACAGAAAAAAGGTTTAATTGTCACTCAACGAAAAAAAACTGGTTTACCAGTACTTAAAATTATTTTTTTTTTTAGTAACAATGTTATCTATATAATTATTATTCAAAAATAAAAAATCTACAAACACTTTATTAATTATTAATTAGGTATTGATATTATATTTTTTTGTATATTTCAGGACCATAATTGAGGTACATTGCCACCCAATCCTAGTTTTCTTAATTGATGAATCTATGGTATTAAAAAAAAAACAGAATTATCTAGAACCTAAACATTATAATGTTCATTCTCAAGTTCAAGGTAAAGAAGAAAACTGTATTTACACGTAACAAAGCGTGTTTATTTTTAAATAATTTAACATAATTTATTCTTTTACTTTTATTTAAATTCCTATGTGAATAGGTATGTTTTGGCTGGAAAGAAATATAAACTGATTTACATTTTTGTACTAGTCGGCAAAATCATGTTGTATAATCTATATCTATATATTTATAATACTTAATTATAAATTGATGCGTTTGGTTAACTAGAAAGGATTTTAAGGGGAAAACAGTACTTTTTTTAATTTAAAAAGTTAACAAACTTACTGTATTGAATAGGATTTGCCATTTGGAAGTGACTCCTTGTTTTTTTGCTTTTGAAGAAACCAGTACCCCACTACTGCCAACAGAACGATTAAAACAATGTCGACAGCACTGATGAATGATTCTGAGGCTTCAGGGATCTGCTGAGTGCCCAGAGAGGCTTCTGATTCATCCATAGCAAAAGTCTAAAACAAAATAGAAAAAACTTGAGTTGCGTAATGGTTTAATAATTACAACACAATAAAAAATAAATTACCTCTAGGTTAAATTAACAATATTATTTGTCTAGACTATGTTCTATTAAATGTGCGTATTTACTACACTACACAAACTATCTAATACTAACTGCCACTCGTATTTTCAAACCATATAGGTAAGTATGCATGTATGTATTTTTTACTATCTATCTATTATTAGTTAAATCTATGATAAGATATTTTGTCTACTTATACATTTTTAATTTAATTTACACATTTTGAATTGCATACGAAACATCTTACTATATCATGACTAAGCAAGCGTTTAAATCCTATTTAGAAGCAGATTTTCACAATAAAAGTTTCATCCTTAATCGGCCAATTCTAGCTAGTTTACTGTATTTCTGATTGAGATAATATAATTTCCATACCTCACTTTATTTTGACGATTGTACGACATTTGACAACTGTCAACTAACTTAAAGCTGACTTCAGCCCGTGACTAAAACGCCATAAATTCACAGCTTGTCAATGTCACTTAGTTAGATACATGGTAACATGTACTATACCGTTTAAAGGTGGAAGTGGAAAATAAATTATATTTGCAGTAATTAATTAGGTAATAATCTAAAATAATTATGTTAACATATAGGTGGGTACAGGTAAATATAGGTAGGTACAGGTAAATTCCATTAAAATCAATAATTAATATGTATTTGCAGGACGTCACGTAGGCATTGAATAATGCGATTCAAAAAAGGTCATAATTTGCGACAATATATGTTTTATGGAATTTTATATTAGCTAGCGCATAATTTTGACGATTTTTATTCACAAAATTTGCATATCAAATCAAATTGGGGCAACGTGTCAAAATTTACCTAATTGTAGATACAATGAAATGCTTTTTAAGTTTTTTTAATGGTAATTGAAGACGCATCAAAATATATTAAATCTGGCAACACTGTTTAAAAACAGCAGGCGATTTAAATTCACAATAAACACAGTGCTAAAGTGTATAAATCCAGCTTTTGTTTTTAACATAATACAAGTCATAATTAATATTAATATTAATGCGCTGTTGCCAGTTTGTTGTTGATGTATCCCTACCACTTTAGTGTATTTTGAAGTACACTTCAAATCATTTAAATAATTTTTTTATTAATATTTTTAAAAACGGCATCAAAACAAAGATCATTTGGAAAGTATTTATGATATTATTGTTTATATAAAAAAACTGCCTACCTACAATTTACAAACTAAAGATTTAACATTTTTCTTTTTAAACTTTTTATATTTTAAACTCATTAACTATATAGGTAACTACATACTTAGTTCTTATCTACCCTTACATTTTTCAAAATTGCAAATTGATAAAAACGAAGGTTAACTTTTTTATCCAATGTAGATTTAAAAATTTACATTATTTATTTCTTATTTTTATAGTAATTGTTCCTTTGTTATTGATATTTATTTAAAAAAACTGTAGAAAATTGTTGATAATAAAAAACAAACAACTGTATTTTAATTTCATTATTGACTCACCATTACAACAGATATCCAAAAAGCACTAAATAATTTACTGTCCATATTTCCAAAAATTTCAACACTACAATTCACAGTTCCCAATTATATTTTTATGTTTTTCGAAAAATTATCCAAGGGTGCCAAATTTCGACCGGCCCAACTCAAGCAGCAGTCAGCTCCTCAGACCGTCTTAAAATCAAGTGTACTGGTATAGCGGCGCGTCAACTTTAATAAACACTGGTGACGCGTGACGTTCAAGTTTTACGTCGAATAAGTGAAAACATGACATTAGCGATGTGTTTTCTGTTGTTTTTCAATAATAATCAACTTTGCCTAGCGTGAAACAAAAATTACTATTTGGTAGACGGTAAACAAGCGAAAAGGAATTATTTAACAAAACAGTTTTGTTTGTTACAGTGGCTTTGGAAAATTCTCGAAGAGAAAAAAAAAAGTGAAAAAATTCAAAAACGATTTTAAATGAAAAAAATACTTTGTGAATCACAAGTTGTAACGCAATATAACATTAAATATTAAAACAAACCTGCGTATTTCCACTTCTGGGATGGAATTTCTCAAAAAATAAGTCAAATTCGTATTAAAAACTTTAGTAATAAATTAGAAATATAAATTGTTAAATAAAATATTGTAGCTTTATTAAATTGTTACAGTTATGCATTCTTTTTGTTATTAAAATTTTTTATAAAATAATTCACATTGACACTTGACATCCTAAAGTTTTTTTGATTTTTTTAAATTAGCAAATACCTATTGTTTGTATTAGGACTTTTAAATTTTAAAAATGTTTGGCTTGTTCATGTTTTTTATAAGTCACTGACTGCTATTTTTATCAGTTATTTTGTTTACAAAACACTTAATTAGTCAGTGTTTATAACAACTTAAAAAATTGAACAATGACAGATTACGTGGTAACCTTAGATACCGTCACAGGTTTCTTAATACAAAAAAATATTTAAAATTTTGGAAATATAACTACAGTTATTAAGTTTAGGTATAGTAACATTAATCGAAAGGTTTTTAAATTTACTATTTGATTAGGTAAAAACATTACGAGTGTTACATTTAAAATAAAAAAGTTATTAACGTTTCAAGTTAGCCTAATTTGCCCTGGGTTTTCTCAGGTAATTTGTTGAAAAACGTCAAAGAATTATCATGGAATCTTTTAGACAATGTTTTAAGATTCCAAAAATTCCAGCTCCATATCCGCAAACCTAATAACAAAAAAGTTATATATAATAATATATAATAAATAGCCTATAGGCTAGAAAAAAATTAATAGCTCGAAAACTATTTACTATAGGTATAAGACATGCTATAGTAATTTTACTTAAAATTTTACGTAGAAATAAAAAATATAAAAATATATGGGGTGTTCTATTTGAAATTAGAAAGTTAATGTCACTTTCAGTTAAAGTGTCATTTTGTTCAAAATATTTAAAAAAAAATTGACTTGAATGAATTATAAACGCTTTTAAAATTTTAAATCGAAATCTTTTTCCGTTTCCCAGAAACTAATGGACCACGAATGTGAAACACCCTGTATATATACTTAATCTACATACATATGTTAAATACATGAAAACAATATTTAATTTGTTTTTGTTATCTTGTTTTCTAAATTAGAACAATACTTCAAAATAAATAATTAAAAATTTTGCACAAATAATATTTATTTATTGAAAAATAACAACAAATTGTGGCAAAAATTGTTTTTAATAAAATATTTCCATTCCTTAATAATTATGCACATTAAGGTCTTGAGCTCCCAGGGCAGGATTTGAATTTTGTACAGAAATCTGTTAAATACTTTTCATTAAAGATTCTTTAGATTTGCGCTCTTGCGTCCAGCTCCTAGCTAGGTACGACGCTGCTAGTTTGTCATTGTAAATCTGGCTTTTCAAGTATACCCAAAGAAAAAAGTTTTTGGATACAAAACAGTTTTGTTTTTTAGAAAAAAGTAAATATATTTCTTGTCTTCTGAGAAAAAGATATGCTAGGATTTGAGGTAGGTAATTAAAATTTAAAATTTTGACAAAAATCATTTTAACTTAAAACTAACTTTAGCCCGTGACTAAAAACCTGTTGCTAACTTCAGCCAACAAAAAGATTACATAAAAAACACGTTACATCTCCAAGTGCAGAGTATTGCTTTAATAAAAAGGAGACGTAATACATTAAAAAATTGTGTAAACAATTGCGCACAGACTGGTTAAAAATTAAAATGCATGAGCATATAATACCCGTACATATTATGTATGTAGTTTCAAGGTACACCAAAAATACGTAATTATCTACGTAAATTTAATATCAGGTATTGTTTCTGTAATTTTAAATTAAATTAATTAATTTGAAAAAAACCTTCATAATTTGCGTTTTAAATTAAAACATCTAATTATACGTCGAATATCGTCAAACGTCAAACTTTACAACCCAATACTTTTTAATGGATTTACCTGTTTAAATATTTTTTAGCAGATAAAACATCATTGTTAAATTTTTTTCAAAATCTGACCTGAACAACTTTAAAAATTAATTTAAACACCTTTTAACAGTTACTGTTTGTTTGGTACCTAATTAATATTATTTGTATAAAAATTAAAAGACCTTACATTTATACAAAAAACACTAATTTGTATTGTTCAATAATTAGGAGGGTTTAATGTAATATCGGGTTTTTAAAACTACTCGTATTAGGTTTAGTAAACGCCATTTTAGTCACGAATTTAATTTAGGCACGAGCAAGCTTGCGAGCGAGTGCTTAATTTAATGAGTGCCTAGAAAAGTTTATTAACGAGTTGCATTCTATGCTTTTTCTACGAAAAATACTTATTATATTATTTTTAAATTAAATATTTGTATAAAGCGACATCTATACAAAAATAGAGTAACCGTAAGAATGGGAATCTGTATTACCGGCGGAAAATGTCAAATTTTTCTATGTAAATCGAAATTTATTCCTTTAAAATGGACTAGCAACCGTTTAAATCTGATATGGAAGCAGTTTTTTTTACAGTAAAAGTGAAGAGAATGTTTTATGGGCACTCCACGGTGAAGTCTCCACGCGCATTTTTTAATGCTTTATCTAGTTTACTGCCGGCCACAGTCTCATAATATTTTTGTATTTGTGTATTAAGAATCTTAATTTAAGATAATACAAAAATTTTCACATTTAATATTAATTCACAAGGAGGGCACTTTATTTGAAATATTTTATGACATTTGACGACTGTCAACTGACTTCAAGCTAACTTCAGCCCGTGACTAAAAACCTGTTGCTAACTTCAGCCCGTGACTAAAGCATCATAAAGCCATAGCTTGCCAATGTGTATTTAATAGATCACTTAGTGTCATGGAAACATGTATAATAATGGGCGTTTTAAAGGTAGAATATAAAATAGTATATTATGTATCAAGTTTGATAAACGCCATTTTATACACGAATTTAATTTAGGCACGAGCGAGCTTGCGATCGAGTGCTTAAATTATTGAGTGTATAAAAAAGTTTATAAACGAGGTGCAAATCAAAAATTTGTATAAAGCGCCATCTATGAAACAATAGGGGAATATGTGTCACCGACAAATGTCAAATGTTTTTGGTAAAAATTTCACTATAGACCAATAGACAATATATAGGTACCTATAATATCAAAATAAGTAAATATACTAATAAGTAAGAATTATAATAATTATTTAAACATTTTATTAGAAAATGCACCGATTCTTTGTCAATCAACGATTTTTAAATGCAGAGGACTCGTATAAAAAACAATATTAAAATTTAACAGTGTTGATGAAAAAGTGCTAACCATTAACCATTAATAATAAATATTTGGACTTGGTAAGTAGGTATGCAAATTATTGTATTGCTCATTATAGATTCTAAAACTGGCGGATTTCCCGATTTTACTATTATTTAAACTTATAGGAATATCTAATGAGATTAATTATTATTTACATAAATAAATTCCAACCCCTGGATTAAGGCAAAATTGTTCTTGGGCTAAACAATGGCTAAACCTTAAGGTTCTTTATTTAAAAAAATGTAATATTTATTATTAAAAATAATAATGGATCTTTATTTTAAATTTATTCAATAATTGAAAAAGAAAAATAATGAAGAAGTTTACCGTGTATCATTTTTATAAAAAGCGAATATATTCAATGTTGATGTTGAGCGCTGTAGGTGTTATAACACCTACAGCGCTCAACATCAACATTGCTAAAACAATCGTTAAATGGAAAATATTGGTTATTACAATTTATCAAAAACAAGAAATTAAATTAAATTATACCAAATTTTAATTTTATTTTATTTATTTTATCTTTTCCAAAATTTAGTACTATTAATTAATTCATGCATTTTCATAGCTTTAATAATAATCAACATAATATATTATATAAACACAACTTATATTTTAGGATTTTTTTTATTAAAAATATTTTAGTTGTATTTTATCTAGACCTAGATAAAATGACTGTATAATGTGTATTATTATTAATCTGACTTTCAAATAGGTACTAAGCTGTCGGGGGCCCGTTTGAATGGCAGGGTAAATTTTATTTAAATCAGGCAAAAATTGATCATGCTGTATCACTTTGAATTTTAAAAATATCCGAATTTTGGCTAAAAATCGATTTTCTTTCGATGAAAGCAAGATTTTCCACAAATCTGTGAATTTCTTTAGTTTATAAAAATTACCAGAATTACCAAACAGCATAACCACAGAAGTACCTTAAATACATGGTAGAAAACAAAGTTATTGTTTTCGTTACTCATTACATTTAAAATCTAGCCACAAGTTAGATTTTAAATGTAGCGCCATTAAAGTAACCAATCAAATACGTTGATTTTCCACCAATTAAAACTATGTTGGCAACAGTTGCCTGTAAACACGTAATTTAATTTTTAACCAAGCTCAGAGAGGGTGCTTCATTTGGCTCCAAACTATATACTCTTTAAGATAGTCATCTATTGGTTTGGTTTAGGGTTAAACTGTTACAGTTTAACTGTATTAAACTGTATGATTATCATACTATGATAGCCATTTAAGTTGAACATACCTACCTACTTAGTTGCATAGGTAAAGTAAGGTAAGGTAAGGTAAGACATTTAGCTTTACCCTTTATAATATTAATAATTTTAGATAATCAGTCCGCGAAGTTTGAATATTGATTACTTTTTTAATTTAAATACCGTTTTACAATGGGAAGCCATCAGAATGTACATATTTTTAATTTTCTATAGTTCACCATGACAAATTTTAGTTAAGGTCAAAATATACATAGGTACCTACATTAAAATGCTTAAATAATACTATTTATATATTTACTTGAAATGCATTTATTTAATTAAAAATAATTAAAGGTTTTTGCATAAAAATTGTATGTATGGACAAATTATAAACTAGCTATGGTAGGTAGGTACCTATATTTCCCAGAAATGGAATAGGTACACATTTAATGACAATTTTAACAAACAATTTATTTAAAACGATCATTTTATACCTACTTAGAATTAATGCACTTTTAATCTAATATAAATTGATAAGAATTTCTAATTTCGAAGACAAATATCTAGATACCTATTATCTGGACATAAATATAATAATAATCCCAATGATAGGTTGCAAAAATTACGTAGATTCGGCGAATATTAGTCAGCAAAACGTTCACTTATTTAAAAACAGTAAAAAGAGCCTATAAAATTTAAAACAGCAATTAATGGTTTGTGCATGAGAAACACAACAAACAAACATTTATAAATGTTAAATAAAGTCTATGAATATGATAGTCTGTGATACATATCAATAAAATTTTAATTAAGTAGGTACCTACCTAGGTACTAGCTAGTTGTAAATATGAGGTACATGTACTGTACTGCATAGGTATAAAAAAATGTTAATGCATTTTAAAATAATTATTCTGTAAATGATTATTTGCTGTGTCATATTTAACTGATTATAAAATATTGTACTTTCTGTTTTTAGTTAAGTTTCATTGTATGTCGTATTTTCTTAATGGTTTAGGTAATATAATGTAATGTTTTGTTATTGACTTGTCCTATATCCTGATCTGATCTGTTGGATGAATAAAGATATTATTATTATTATTATTATAATTAATTTAATTAAAAACCGCCAATTAAAAACTAATAACATTGACAAATTTAATAAAAGAGAAATAACTTTTTAAAAGTTGTTTTTAATTTAATTTAATATATTAAATTTTACAATGCAGCTTATTCTTAGAAACAATAGGTGCCAAGGCAAGCAATTTTTACCTTCCTAAGAAGGTAAAAATAAAGAACCTACATAATAATGTAGGTGGGTACTTAAAATATTCTAAAATTTGAGGATTTTTCAATTTTACTATTTGTTGTTGTTGTTTAAGAAGAAAGTGAAAAAAATTTCGGATTACAGAATTTTACGCAATAATAATAAATGAATTTTTATATTCTGTCAAATTTACTTAAACCAGACAAAATCTAACAGGAAACGATCTAAGACGATTTTTTTCAAATTTATTTAAATGTATTCAAGACATTTGTATTCAAGAGATTCAAGAGATTTACGTGAGGCATTTTTCTAAAAATTTGGACCCCCCTCCCCTTGGTGAGATTTGGTAGACCCCCTGTCCCTCACGTGAGATTTTAGCCATTAAACTTTCTTTGCGGACATGTCAAAAAAATTATTAATTTTTTTAACAAATTTGAGTTATATAGGTAGGTAATACAAATGTTTTAAACTCAAAAGTTGACGTTGCCGATTTTAAATGAATATTATAAAAACCATATAAATAATTAAAAAATAATTGTAATAGATAAAAATGTGTCATTATCAAATTAGGTAGGTAGGTAGGTACTTAAAACAAAACTGTATGTATAAGCTGAGTACCTATAACCTAAACATTTCACAAAGGAATTTAAGCCAAAGAAAGTAAAATTCTGTTTTCACTTTCATTATTAAGTAGGCACAGCTTTACACCTGAAACAGGTTTCAATGTTTGAATAGGTATCAGTGATGAAATATGATTATTTTCAGATTGCCAGATTTTGTCAAAAATAAAGTAGGTACATTTTGCGAGAATTTACCTTAGTTACAAAAATAATTCAGTAAAACAATGCAAATTGTGAATTTGACGTTACCTAAGTAAGTATTCACAGTCTGTGTCTGTATTGTTGATTCTGTCATTTTTGTAGGTAATTAAGGTAAATTGTCACAAAATGTACTTTACCTGATATTATTTTAATCTCATTAGGTGGGTGTTTTTTAAATTTCGCAAATATGCGAATTTAGGTACTTTCAATATATAATAACTTGTAAAAAGCAATTATCCAATCAAACAAACCAACGTTTGCACCTGGTGCGCTGTGGAAAATGCCGTGCTTTGATTGGTTTATTGCTTTCTATAGAGATCATTTTCTATAGAAAAAGTCGCAAATTACAAAAAACTTCCCTGATGACATATTGCCACCTGTTGCCTTTATCTAATCTATGCCTGTTGCGGTACATATTAACCCAACACCCTGTATAGAAGCCAAAATACACCGTTAAAATTACGAATAAAGTAGTTTTGCACGTGTCACAATTTATTTCATCAAGCAATTGCAAAAGGCCATGAAACAATTACATAACCTTACCCTTTGTTTTTTATTCAAACTTATACTGCCTAATTAAGGTATTTTTCAAAGAACACAACCTATGTGTAAACGATAACAACCTAGCAACTATCAGCGCTAAAATTTAAATAAGACACGTCAGAACTTACCTTTTCCACAAATTAAAACGTAAACTAGGTATGAAGCTAATTCGCGAAATTCCAAACAAGGCACTGTTTCTGTTATACAGCACTTCACCTTCAAAACCTCGGTCAAAACTACCGTCTGCAAGTCTCAAATAACATTAAAAAAGTAATTTATTCAATTAATCTACAAGAGATTTTAATCTACACGGGTGTATACTGGTTGGCATGCCTAACAGGCGTAAAATATGTTTTTGGTGCGCCAATGGTATAGGCAACCCATTTACAATTTACAATTTAGGAATTTTACGTTGGTATATTGGTTTTAGTTTCTTTACGTTGGTAAGTTGACATTTGCGTCAGAGCCATTTTGTTTCTTGTTGTTAAACGTGAATAAAACGAAAAATAATGCTTCTATGGTTATAAATCTACAATAAAACCGATATTCGTACAAAAATGGAGCAAATTCCTCGCACACACGAGGGTAAGTCGTCTAAAAACCTTAAAATTACGATAACTGACAAATTGCGCGTTTTAGATATTGAAGCCCAAATCCGGGATATTCAGGAGAAAAAGAAGAAAGAGGTACAAGAGGTCGAGGCTACGGATAAGGGGGTTGGATTAGGGGAGAGCGGATATTTCGATAGCGAAATTTACGATGCAGGAGCCGGCAAAGGAAAATATGAAGGTTATGTCACTTCGATTGCTGCCAATGACGAAGTGGACGATGAAGAGGAAGATTTGGGTTATTCCCAGAAAAGAACCGGGATAGGAGCTCCTGTGGCTTTACTAAATGATGTAGCACAAGTAAGTGTATTGGTTTTAATCGATTTTTAATTTTTGTTGATAATTTTTTATTTTAGAGTGATAAAGATTTTGATCCATTTGCTGACCGCAGAAGGCCTACCATAGCTGACAGGGAGGATGAATATCGCCAAAAAAGAAGAAGAATGATAATTTCGCCTGAGCGTGTTGATCCTTTTGCAGATGGTGAGTATTTTACTTTATTAATGTAATTTTATCTTTTCCACTTTGAAATGTTTAAATAAAGCATTTGTGACGGTAAATTGTTATTAAATTGAGGTTTTTTCATGTCACAAATGTTTTATTTCCTGTAAATTATTGGGGTATATGACTGGTTGAATGAATGAAGTGTGTCTGGTAAGAATGAAGAAAACTATAAAGCCAAAACTAGAAACTATATATGATAAAAACAGTACAAAGTCACTAATATAATCATTCTGTTCTGTATGGAAAATCTACATTTAGGTGAGATGGCCTAGAGAAGTAAGTGGATATCAGCGGAAAAATTAAAAACATATTGTTGGTAAAAAAATAAAGTCTACGAAATGCGTGAAAGAGTGTGTGTAATGTATAGAAAATTATTAATTACCCCAGCATATTTCTAGGTTCAGTTTGAGCTGTTTGTTAAAATGAGGATTGTTCCAATAAATGTGACGAGCCTTCCAGACACGTACGTATCTTGATTTCACACCAAATTCTTTCATTGTGCAGAAATATTATCGATTTTTATTTCAAATTTAACTTAAAAGCTGTACATTAACAGGTTAGTTTTTTTGCGCCAAAGTTACCAAATTTCATTTTATAAAACTTGTTAAATTCTTCCATATTTAGTTTGGTTACACTGGTCTGCAAAATTAAAAAAAAATAGGTATGCGTGTTTCTTCTAATTTTACAATGTAAACATAATGTCTAGGAGCATTGCACCTAAAGATGAAAAAAACGTATTTTTTTCAGATTTGAAAAAAAAAACGGTTTCTTTTCGGTTTTTTTTTGTTTTTTTTTTCAGTATGAAATTTTGAGAAAAATGTATATAAAGAGAAATTTAGAATATATTACATTTTCCATTATTAAAAATTTTGGTAGTTTTTAGGGTTTTAAAATTTCCGGTAAAATTAAGCCGGCCAAAAAAACGTTTTTTTTTAATGAAAAAATCGTGAAATTCTCAGAAAAATTGACTTGTATTTTTTTTATGTTATTCAAAAGGTGATGAAAAGTCAATTTTTCTGAAAATTTCCAAATTTTAAACTCTAAAACGCCTTTACTAATCTTTAAGAATTTTTGTATAAAAATACTTCAACTTATAAATTAATTTACGTGTTTGAGGGTTTTTCGAGAAAATATTTTTAAATCCCTTTTATTTAATAATTAAAAACGTTCGAAAAATCTTTTAGACAATTTTTTTAATTAAATAAAAAATATGCTGTCAAAGGCCGTATTTTTGTTAGTATAGTATACCCTGAAAATTTTGTACAAATCAAACAAACAGTAACAAAGATACAGCGCTTCAAAGTCGGTAAAAATGACCACTTTTTGATTATTTTTCTGAAAAGTTATCGACTTTGAAGCGCTGTATTTATGTTATTGTTCGTTTGATTTGTACAACATTTTCAGGGTATACTAACAAAAATACGGTCTTTCACAGCATATTTTTTTACTTTAAAAAAATTCCCCATAAAAGTTTTTTTTTCGAGCGTTTTTTATTATTAAATAAAAGGATTTTTTCTCGAGAAACCCTTAACACGTAAACTGAGATATAAGTAAACTATTTTTATCCAAAATTTTGTAAAGATTGGTAAAGGCATTTTAGAGTTGGATTTTTTTTACTTGTAATACATTAATTTTGACGCGCAGTGTAGTAAGATTCTATATATATTCAGTGATGGATTAACATGTCTTTCCTTTTATTTCATACTTGATTTATAAAATTATAATTTTTTTAACTTTAACTTTAATTCATTATTTTGTAATTGGATATTTTCAATGGACTTCTTTTTGCAAAAAAGATCCAACCTACATAATATGTAACGTTTACTTTTATTTTCTTAAATCAATATAATTCAATTTTGTTGTTTTTCTGTTATAAAGGATATTTTTTTTAAATTAAAATAATGTTAAAATGTTTGCTACTTTTTTAAAATGTGTATATTTAAAAAAACGGCACAATTTTTCAGTTTTTTTTGACACTTTAAAACCCTAGTAGTTTCCACATAAGAAACCAATAACAATGTAAAACTTTTTGAAGTCTATTATAGCTAGTTACTCTTTTTTAAGACCAAATTAAATCAAAACAAACCCTGCCGCCTAAAAAATAGGCAAATTGAACTAATCTTGAAAAACAACTAAAATATGAAGAAAAAAACAAAAAAAACGTCACTACTCTAATTACACCCAACTAGAGATTTCAAATTTTCGAAAAATTGATTGCCAGAAAAATTGAACAAAATATTTTGTTAAAAACTAGTAAAAAGTGTTTAAATTGCTATCGAAATTCAGTAAATCCCCGAATTTAGCGGCCTACGCTGATCTGAGTCTAAATAAAATGATCGGTATTGTATTGGTACACTTTGGCTTTAATTCAACTAACCTGAGAGAATAAGGTGGTGCGAATCATTCCAGTTGAAAAATAATGTTTAAAAATCCAAGTGCTTCAATTTACTAATTTGCGTTTCTGACGCTATCTATGTTTTCAGGTGGAAAAACGCCGGATTTGAACGAACGCGGCTACACGCAGATTATGAAAGAGCAGCTGATCAGAGGGGAAGAAAACGAGGTGAGAATTTTTTTTTTGTTTATTTTCCATCTCGAACTAAATTTTCCGCTATTAACTTAGCGGAACCGCTTCGTGAAACATGATCGTTAAACGCTTTTCGGCATGTTTTTCGTGACCACGTAACTTTTTTGTTTTCAGCTGCGCAAAAAAATTATCGAGAAAGCCAAAGATGGCACTCTGAAAGCTTCGAACGGCGACGCGAAATCTGCACCGAAGAAGCGCGGCAGATGGGATCAGACTGTCGATGAGGTCTTCGTGCCCGCCAAGAAAAAAACACTTTCCGTTACCACCAGCAGCAGTGCGGCAACGCCGGTCTGGGAGGGAGACGTAAGTATACGATTTTGCCCCTCTTTTCCTCCACAACTTCTAGCCCTCCATTTCTCTTATTTTCGTCAGCAGTAATTCCATATAAAATCATCTAATCAAGAAACAAATATCTATCAGAAATATCTACTTGTTCAAAATGGCATTTTGTTTTGTTTTATCCTCAGATACAAAGTGTACATATCATAGTTGATTAAACTACAAAATTGTCCCATTCAGCCTTTGGTTTATGAGAAAATTCTTTACAATTTTAATTTTTTTTTTATTTGGAATTACTTATTTGTTACTGAACCTTTTCCATCAAAACTATGTGACTGGTCATGGGAAAAGTGACCTTAACTTACTCAAGCAACATTTTCAGGAAAGTCTTTTTTATGGCACGCTGTTTTAGCATATATTAGATTAAAGTTTAGCACTTAAAAGTTAATTTTTTTTAAACTCAAAACAGTTGATAGTCAAAAAACATTTTAAATATAAAATACAACTGTAAAACTTTAAGCTTAAAAATATTGAGTTTTTAAAATTTTATTACAAATATTTTATTCTACAATATTATTGGTTTAAATTTGTAGAGTCTTTTAAATAAAAGTAGATACATTTTTAGTATAAAAAATTTTTGACTACCATTCCAATGATTTAAACCAATTTAAACCAAAACTATTTAATTTAACAATTTTAAATTGATACATTTTTAACACAAAATTTATAACATTATATTTAAATGTAAGTCGATAATTTTTAATTTACAAAGTGTAAACGTAGCTTTAGCAGACGGCGTACGTTGTCTTTCTGGAGTGGTCAATTTTAAGCGTAGTACAAAGCGCGGAGTCTGCAACATATGCAGTCAGCTAAAGCCGCGTTAACACTTTGTGAATTAAAAATTATTGACTTACATTTAAATGTAATGTGAATATGTTTGTGTTAAAAATGTATCAATTTGGTAAAAATAAGTTATTGGTTTAAATTTGTATTATTTAAACCAAAAATTATCACTTTAAAATTTAAAACTAACATTTAAATGTAATGTGAGAATTTTTGTATTAAAAATGAATCGTCTATTAATTAAATGACTACAAATTTAAACTAAAAATTTTGTAGAAAAAATATTAAAGCTACAATTTTTAAAAACCAATATTTTAAACTTAAACTTTTACATATGCATTTAATATTTAAACTGTTTTGGTAGAATAGTATATTCTTTAATATGCAATTCCAAACGTGTTTCAGACTATACTTTTGTTTAATATGTGTTTTTATTTTAAATGTCTCCACTATTTTTAATTACTAAAAAATCTTTACTTTACTATTTTAATATAAATAATTTTATTAAATATTTATTTAAGATTTACTAAATTCTGCCCAGATAAATTATAATTATTTTTATTAAAAAATGATGGATAGAAATTTTTGCAAAAAATTATTGGAAACAATATTGTTTACTACAGATTCTGAAGCAAACTGTTGGTAAATTTTGTTTTTCAATTTTAAACCAATACAATTTGAAATTAAAAAATTATTTAATAAATGTTAAAACGGCGTGCCTTACTTTTTTGAGGTCAAAAATATCAATTTTTAGTTTTTAATTGATTCTGACGCACCAATTAGAGATTTACCGCTTACATGCATCGTTTTTCAATGTTTAATAGAATATATTATCGAAAAATGCAATAAATCGAGATAATATCGGAGAATATCATCAAAAATATTGAAAAATTATGACTTATTGACCCCATCAAGTTCCTAGACTCATAGACAAAACAATGGGGTTGATATTCCTGTGGCAGTAATTAATACAAGACCAAACCAGCGTGTTCAATAGGGTTTCTAGTTTCAGAAAATGTCAAAAACTCATTTTTGACCCCAAAAAAGGTCCCTTGTCTTATGATTGGTCACATATGTTCCCCCGTGTGTTTTTCTCTGAAATCCCAATGTGTGCATTTTAAAGCAAGATTTACTTCGCAGAAAACCCCCGCCGACATTCGTTGGGACGAAACTCCGGGCCACAAGGGCAGCGAAACCCCCGGGGCGACTCCGGGTCAGTCGACGCGCATGTGGGACGCCACCCCGGGCGCCGCGACGCCGGGTCGCGAAACCCCGGTGCACGATAAAGCGTCGTCGCGCAGGAACCGTTGGGACGAGACGCCGAAGACGGAGCGCGAGACGCCCGGTCACAACAGCGGCTGGGCCGAAACGCCGCGGACAGACCGCACCGGGGCCGATTTGATTCAGGAGACGCCCACGCCGGGGGCGTCGAAGAGGAGGTCCCGTTGGGACGAGACCCCCTCGGCGACCCCCTCGTCCTCCATGACCCCCGGCGCGATGACCCCGCAGACGCCGCACGGCACTCCGGGCCACGCCACGCCCATGCTGACGCCGGGAGGCTCCACCCCCGTGGGCGTCAAAGCCATGGCTATGGCCACCCCGACTCCGGGTCACCTGGCCTCCATGACCCCCGAACAACTCCAAGCGTACCGCTGGGAGAAGGAGATCGACGAACGGAACCGTCCGTACTCCGACGAAGAGTTGGACGCCATGTTCCCGCCGGGTTACAAAGTGCTACCGCCCCCGGCGGGTTACATTCCCATAAGAACACCGGCGAGAAAGCTCACCGCTACCCCCACCCCTCTAGTAGGCAACACACCCACCGGGTTTTTCATCCAGCAAGAAGACAAATCGGCGAAATACATGGATAACCAACCCAAAGGGCAAAACCTGCCGTTCATGAAACCCGAGGACGCGCAGTACTTCGACAAACTCCTCGTGGACGTCGACGAGGAAGCTTTGAGTCCCGAGGAGCAAAAAGAACGCAAGATAATGAAACTCCTGCTGAAAATCAAGAACGGAACCCCGCCGATGCGCAAAGCCGCCCTGAGGCAGATTACGGATAAGGCGCGAGAGTTCGGTGCCGGTCCGCTGTTCAACCAAATCCTACCGCTGCTCATGAGCCCCACGCTCGAAGACCAAGAACGGCACTTGCTGGTGAAAGTGATCGACAGGATCCTGTACAAGCTGGACGATTTGGTGCGCCCGTACGTGCACAAAATCCTCGTCGTCATCGAACCGCTCCTGATCGACGAGGATTACTACGCGCGTGTGGAGGGTCGCGAGATCATCTCGAACCTGGCCAAAGCCGCCGGCCTGGCGACGATGATCTCCACCATGCGTCCCGACATCGACAACATCGACGAGTACGTGCGTAACACGACCGCCAGGGCGTTCGCGGTGGTAGCTTCGGCGTTAGGTATCCCGTCCCTCCTGCCCTTCTTGAAGGCCGTCTGCCGGTCGAAGAAATCGTGGCAGGCGCGACACACGGGTATCAAGATCGTCCAGCAGATCGCCATTCTGATGGGTTGCGCCATCTTGCCCCACTTAAAATCCTTAGTCGAAATTATCGAGCACGGTTTGGTGGACGAACAACAAAAGGTCCGTACCATAACGGCGCTGGGTATCGCCGCTTTAGCCGAAGCTGCGACCCCCTACGGTATCGAAAGCTTCGATTCCGTACTGAAACCCTTGTGGAAAGGTATCAGAACGCACAGAGGTAAGGGTTTGGCCGCCTTTCTGAAGGCTATCGGCTATCTGATCCCGCTCATGGACGCCGAGTACGCCAACTACTACACCAGGGAAGTGATGTTGATCTTGATCAGGGAGTTCCAGTCCCCCGACGAGGAAATGAAGAAGATCGTGCTGAAAGTGGTGAAGCAGTGCTGCTCCACGGACGGTGTGGAACCGCAATACATCAAAGAGGAGATTCTGCCGCAGTTCTTCAAGCACTTCTGGAACCACAGAATGGCGCTGGATAGGCGCAACTACCGACAACTAGTCGACACGACGGTGGAAATTGCCAACAAAGTGGGCGCTTCGGAGATCATAAACAGGATCGTGGACGATCTCAAGGACGAGAACGAGCAGTACCGCAAGATGGTGATGGAGAGCATCGAAAAGATAATGGGCAATCTGGGCGCGGCCGACATCGATTCGCGTTTGGAAGAGCAACTCATCGACGGTATTTTGTACGCGTTCCAGGAACAAACCACCGAAGACGTGGTCATGTTGAACGGTTTCGGTACCATCGTCAACCAGCTGGGCAAAAGGGTCAAGCCGTACTTGCCGCAAATCTGCGGTACGATCTTGTGGAGGTTGAACAACAAGTCCGCCAAAGTTCGGCAACAAGCCGCCGATTTGATCTCCAGGATAGCCGTGGTCATGAAGACTTGCCAAGAAGAGAAGCTCATGGGGCATTTGGGGGTCGTACTTTACGAGTATTTGGGAGAAGAGTACCCCGAAGTTTTGGGTTCGATTATAGGCGCGTTAAAAGCCATAGTGAACGTTATAGGTATGACCAAAATGACGCCACCCATTAAAGACCTTCTGCCGCGTTTGACGCCCATTCTGAAGAACAGGCACGAAAAAGTGCAAGAAAATTGTATCGACTTGGTCGGCAGAATCGCCGATAGAGGGCCCGAGTACGTATCGGCGAGAGAATGGATGAGAATCTGTTTCGAGCTGCTGGAACTGTTAAAAGCACACAAAAAGGCGATCAGGAGAGCCGCTGTCAACACCTTCGGTTACATAGCCAAAGCAATCGGTCCCCACGACGTGTTGGCCACGCTATTAAACAACCTCAAAGTACAAGAGAGACAGAATCGCGTCTGCACAACTGTGGCTATAGCGATTGTGGCTGAAACCTGCTCACCTTTCACCGTATTACCGGCTTTAATGAACGAGTATAGGGTTCCCGAATTGAACGTCCAAAACGGCGTTCTCAAATCCCTATCTTTCCTCTTCGAGTATATCGGGGAAATGGGCAAGGATTACATATACGCGGTGGCCCCTCTTTTGGAGGACGCCCTCATGGACAGGGATTTGGTTCACAGGCAAACCGCCTGCGCGGCTATCAAGCACATGGCTCTCGGAGTCTACGGGTTCGGTTGCGAAGACGCCTTGGTGCATCTGCTGAACTACGTCTGGCCGAATATATTCGAAACTTCGCCGCATTTGGTGCAGGCTTTCATGGACGCCATCGAAGGCATGCGGGTGGCTTTGGGCCCCATCAAGATTTTGCAGTACACATTACAGGGTTTGTTCCACCCAGCAAGGAAAGTAAGGGACGTTTATTGGAAAATTTACAATTCTCTGTACATCGGAGGTCAAGATTCGCTAGTTGCGGGTTATCCTAGGATTGTAAACGATCCTAAAAATCAGTATGTCAGATATGAATTAGATTATATTATTTAATTTCTGCAGATTAGTGTCAGTCACGTTTGTCTTATTTCTGTGTAAAGATGAAGCAAGTAATATAATATTAAAGTTTTAAGTTACTTTTTGAGGTTTTATTTATTATAAAATTAGTTACCTACATTCTTTAAATTTTATAAATATAACAATACATCTTTTATGCAAAATGAACATTTGCATTTATCTTGATTCTTAGTAAAACCATTTATTGATGTGTAGGTACTCCTCAATCAACAGTAAAACCAAGAAATTATTTGTAAAAGTAATAATACAGTAAAAAAACATTTACAGGACAATTTAAAAATTAAAAAACGTACAATATAAATTGTAATAACAAATTATACAGTGCCTCAAAACAGGTTATCAAAAGGTGTTTTAAGAAAAAAATCATTTATAAAAACTCAATGTAACTTAAGAAAACATGAAAGTGCTTCAAAAAAGAAGTACCCTGCGTTAAAAAAATCATTCTAAATAAAATCTTCTGATTGTTTAAAAAATTTGATTTCCATAAAAAAATTAATGTACAGGGTGATCCCCTTTTAATTTTTTTATTTTTATGTTCAAAAAAGTGTGGTTATGTAGGTACTAAAAAAAATATCTGATAACGTTTCAAATGCGTTTATATCAGAAACGGTTGAATATATGCTTTTACAAGGTATCGGAAAATAAATTCATATATAGGGTGATCCATTAAAAAACTAAACTTTTTGTTTTCCCTGGATATATACAATCATTTTTTTTATACGTAGAAAAAAAGTATTTTTTAGTACCTAGATAACAACACTTAAAATAGGAAAGTTAAAGGGGGGCGATATTATAGGGGATCACCCTGTACAGGGTGCTCAGAAGTTAAGAACAAATTTATTATTCATAAAAGCTCAAGCAGGATCCTGTTTGTTTCAAAAATGAAATTTCCATAAACGTATTTTTAATTAAATGTACAGTGCTCAGAAATTAATTAATTTCTTAAGAAATATGAAAATAAGAGATAAGTACCTTTATTTATTATGTTATAAAACAATTTTATAAGAGAAAGTTGTGAAAAATTTAAATTAGTCTTGATACAAAATATTTTTATTTCATTTTAACATTAATATTATTTGTTCATTGAAACATTTTATTTGGAATGTAGATTTTAATTTAAATTTTCAACGTTTTTCTTTTATTTTATGTTTTTTTTTTAAATAATAAAGATAGGTAAACATATTATAAAGTATTTTATCCGAAATCCGAGATAATAATATTAGAAGTATAATAATAATAAATGTTCTACTTAACAATATTGTACTCGTCCAAATTTCAGGCTAGTTGCCTGAAAAATATTTTGGTTGTTTTGGTAAAATATAAGGGTAAATTTACCCTTAGATACATTTAAATGAAACTATAAAGATCATAAGCTTGATTTTAGAACATTGATATTTGCTCATGATAATAGACTTTTTTATACTAACAACAATACAAATTTGGACAGGTATAGGCCAGTCTTGGTACACAAAAAAATATTTTATTTAACAATAGCACAGAAACTATTGGCAGTTTCAAGATTCCTCTAAAGGTTTTGAGGTTGGTTGTGGGCCTTTTCTAGATTCCAAAGTTAAATTTTCAGTATTATTTTTGGTTTCATGACCACTTAACATTTCAATAGCATTTAAAGTTCCTTCAAAATCGCTTTTTAGTTCTAAATAACTTCTAACTTCCTTAAACCACTCGCTGAGACTGGCTGTAGAGCACTCCAGATTTTGTGAGATTCTTGTTTTTAACTCTGGGTGCCTTTTTAAAAATAAGTCGTACCACTTTCTACCAGGTCTACCATTTTTGAAGTTATTAGGCCTTTTTAGTGCTTTAACAAGTAACTCTACGCTATCCAGTAATTGAGTTTTTGAGGGAGAAAAGCCACAATCTGAAATTCCTAGTAGCCAGTTAACCAGTAAGGTTTCTTCTTCTTTGGAAAGTATAGTTTCAGGTCCAGGTTTCTTCTCCAATGGTGTTCTTCCTTTTATTTTGTCTTGTAAAGTGGCTCTTGGAACTTTAAATAGTTTGCTAGCAGTACTCGCTGGCATTCCTCCTAGAATTGCTTGGATAGCTTTAAATAGAGCTTCCTTGCTATACTGACTACGCTTCTTGGGTTCCACTTTAGTCTCTTTTTTGGGCCTCATTTTAAGTTTATTATTTTGATTATCTAGGTTAAAGTTTATAACAAATTAATTGCACGACAGAAGAGACGTCATAATTGAACATTCTAAGCAGTGTTGCCAATTAAGGACAGAGATAAAGAAGGATAATGATGAAAAATATGGAGTTGGTAACAATTCCCGCGCTTTTTATTATGTTGGCACCTCTCAACTGTCAAAAATCGGCGTAGTTCGTTTACTTTACAAAGTAATGTGATTTTTTAGTATTTCTCTTATTGTTACTGTTAATTATTGATACCAATAGTTGTTAATAAGACTTTAAACATGGATTTCCTAGAATATTCGGATATAACAGCCGAAATCAAAGGGTGTATGGTGAGTTATAAATTGAATTTTAATTTTTGAAAAAGCATGGTAAAATTTCCTTGTTTGTAGACCCCAGGAAAATTAAAAATGACCGATCAGAATATCGTGTTTAAAAACAGCAAAACAGGGAAAGTGGAGCAAATACAATCTTCTGATATCGATTTGGTTAATTTCCAGAATTTTGCTGGATCATTGGGAATTCGCATGTTCTTAAAAAGCGGCTTGCTACATAGATTTGTAGGGTTTAAAGACTCCGAAAAGGAGAAAATATCGAAGTTTTTTTCGAACTCGTATAAAATCGATATGTTGGAGAGAGAGTTGAGTTTGAAAGGGTGGAATTGGGGAACAGCCAAGTTTAAAGGTTCGGTGTTGAGTTTTGATGTTGGAGAAAAAAGTGCTTTTGAAATTCCGCTGAATCATGTTTCACAGTGCACAGGTGGGAAAAATGAAATTACCATGGAGTTTCACCAAGTAAGTTACCTTAAGTTGGAGCTTATAACTCTTTTAAAAATGTCAATTTAAGCTAAATATAACTGTCTTAAGATTCTTAAGACAGTTATATTTAGCTTAAGTTAAGAATGTCATTTTAAACTAGATATAACTGTATAATAAGATATATTAAGTTATATGTAGCTTAATAGCATTCTTATTTAGCTTAACATTCTTAAGAATGTCAAGTTAAGTTAAATAACTGTCTTATGAGGTATATAACTGTCTTAAGAATGTCAGCTTAAGCTAGATATAACTGTATAATGAGAATGTTTTATGTAGGTTAATATGGCATTTTTATTTAGCTTAACATTCTTAAGAATGTCATTTTAAGCTAAATAACTGTCTTAAGAATGTCATCTAAAGCTAGATAACTGTCTTAAGAATGTTATATGTGGCTTAACATTCTTAAGAATGTCAAGTTAAGCTAAATAACTCTTATGAGGTAAATAACTGTCTTAAGAATGTCAGCTTAAGCTAGATATAACTGTATAATAAGAATGTTATATGTAGACTAATATTTAGCTTAACATTCTTAAGAATGTTAATTTAAGCTAAATATAACAGTCTTAAGATTCTTAAGACAGTTATATTTAGCTTAAGTTAAGAATGTCATTTTAAACTAGATATAACTGTATAATAAGATATGGGCCATTCCACGCTTAACGGATAGGACAGCCGCCGTGTTTTTATTTACAAAATAATATATATTACAACAATATTGTTCCACCATATTACCAATGTCAAATTTTTATAAATAGCTCAAAACAAAAGCTGCCGTTACGCAAATAAAAACCTTGTTAAACAGCTCCAGTTTAGAACCATTTATAAAAATTTGACATTGGCAATACAATAGAACAACATTATTTTGTAAATAAAAACACGGCAACTATCCCATCTGTCACGCGTGGAATGGCTCATATATTAAGTTATATGTAGCTTAATAGCATTCCTATTTAGCTTAACATTCTTAAGAATGTAAACTTAAGCTAAATAACTGTCTTATGAGATATATAACTGTCTTAAGAATGTCATCTTAAGCTGCATATAACTGTATAAAAAGAATGTTATATGTAGCTTAATATGGCATTTTTATTTAGCTTAACATTCTTAAGAATGTCATTTTAACCTAAATAACTGTCTTAAGAATGTCATCTAAAGCTAGATATAACTATAATAAGAATTTTATATGTGGCTTAACATTCTTAAGAATGTCAAGTTAAGCTAAAAAACTGTCTTAAGAATGTTAGCTTAAGCTGGATATAACTGTATAATAAGAATGTTATATGTAGCTTAATATGACATTCTTATTTAGCTTAACATTCTTAAGAATGCCAATTTAAGCTAAATAACTGTCTTAAGAATGTCAGCTTAAGCTAGATATAACTGTATAATAAGAATGTCATATGTAGGCTACATAATGTAGCTTAATATGGCATTCTTATTTAGCTTTACATTCTTAAGAATGTTAATTTAAGCTAAATAATCATCTTAAGAGAGATATAACTGTATAATAAGAATCTTATATGTAGCTTAATAAGGTATTCCGAAAACATTTTTATTTAGCCTAATATTCTCAAGAATGTCAATTTAAGCTAAATATAACCAGAGAGATATAACTGTCTTAAGAATGTTATTTTAAGCTAGATATAACTGTATTAGAATATATATGTAGAGTGAGATGACATTCTTATGCTAGATATAACTGTAGTATAAGATGTTATATGTAGCCTAAAATGACATTTTTTAAATATTTTTATTTAGCTTAAAATTCTTAAGAATTTCAAAGAAAGCTAAATAAAACTGCCTTAAGAATGTTAACTAAAACTAGATATAACTTAAGCATAAAAAAAGAAATATTTAGTTCTGGCATTAACCTCTTCTTAAAAATTGCTTGTTTAGTTTGATACTTTGGGGTCGTCCATAAAGGACTTACGTCACCCGACGATGTAAAGCCCCCACCCCAAAGCTCACAATATTTTTTGTAATCATTGACTAAAAATGGAACAAATAAGCAATTTCTTTTAATTTACCTTGAGGTTATGGACGGCCCATTAGGGAATTGCCCAAGTCATGCTTAACAGCATTATTATAGCACACATGAGATGAGATCTATAAATTTTACTTTTTTTAAAAATTTAGAATGATGACGCTCCCATAAGTTTAATGGAAATGAGATTTTTCATACCTTCCAATGAGTTAGCCGGCGATACAGACCCTGTGGAATCGTTTCAACAAAACGTTATGGATAAGGCTAGTGTTATTAACGTTTCTGGAGATGCCATTGCTATATTCAGAGAGATTCACTGCCTTACACCTCGGTACTGTACAATTATTACGCGTTTTTTCTGTATTAACGTAATTTTTTGTAGTGGTCGTTATGATATTAAAATATTTTCGTCGTTCTTCCAACTTCACGGTAAAACTTTCGATTACAAAATCCCCATGTCCACTGTTTTGAGGTTGTTCATTTTGCCGCATAAAGACAACAGGCAAATGTTTTTCGTCGTGAGTTTGGATCCTCCAATAAAACAGGGTCAAACAAGGTACCACTTTTTGGTTTTGTTGTTTTCACAAGACGATGAAACCACCATTGAGCTACCTTTTACTGAGTAAGTATTTTTGTATGCTTCCTGTAGGGTTTTTGTTGATTTTTTTCTATTTAGTGAAGAGTTGAAGGAAAAATATGATGGGAAACTTGAGAAGGAATTGTCAGGTCCAACCTATGAAGTACTGGGAAAAATAATGAAGCATATAATCAATAGGAAACTAACAGGGCCTGGAGCTTTTGTTGGGTAACTATATATTAGGGTCATTCATTTCCGCAAAGTTTTTGTTTTCTTCGGTGCTCAAGCAAAATATTAATCTGCATATAGAAAAAAAAATTCTCAACAAGTTTGAGCTCTTAATATAAATTTTAAGTACTTACTATTTAAATTTAAAGTTTTACCGTTTAAAATGCATGTAAAAATATATTTTTTTTTTCAAATTTCTAATGCTTACCCACCTTTGACAATATTGCAAATCGGTTTAATACACCTTATGGGGAATTTCACGCTCTTTAAAATTGTTTTTGAGTTTTTTTTTTTGTAACTCGCATTGGTTCACCAGTAGGAGTCGTCAAAGGACAATTTTTGAAAAAAATCGTTTTTTTTAAATTTTTTCTAACAAACCGCAAAAAGTAGGGAGAAAAAAGGGCTGAATCATAAAAAAAGTTATCCAACCAATATTTAATGAATTTTCAGCCATTTTTATAACTGAAAACGTAAGAAATTGATAATTATAATTATGGTATACCAACTTATAATGTTATTTAGATTGATTTTTTCTATTTATTATCATTATATTTCCCTACACTAAGAAGTTTTTTAAAATTATTGATTTCTTACTTATAATGAATATGAAAACAACAGATAAATTCATAAAAAAACAATAAGAAAATTGTAACGTGGATTTTGCAATTTTTCAACATTTCTGTCATATAGCAAAAAAATATAAATGAAGATTATTTAATTTTTTGAAGCGAAATTTGAAATATGTTACATAACCTTTTGTATATTCCGATTAAAGTTTTGTTGTTTTTTTTTATGAATTTATGTATTGTTTTCATATGTATGAGTGAGAAATCATGATAATTTTAAAAAAGTTCTTAGTGTAGGGAAATATAATGATAATAAATAGAAAAAATCAATCTAAATAACATTATGGGTTGGTATTTATCAATTTCTTACGTTTTCAGTTATAAAAATGGCAGTAAATTCATTAAATATTGGTTGGATAACTTTTTTTTTATGAATCAGCCCTTTTTTCTCACTACTTTTGGCGATTTGCTCGAAAAAATAAAAACTCCTACTGGTGAACCAATGCGAGTTACAAAAAAAACTCAAAAGCAATTTTAAAGAGCGTGAAATTCCCCATAAGGTGTTTTAAATATTTGCAATATTGTCAAAGGTGGGTAAGCATTAGAAATTTGAAAAAATATATATATTTTTTACATGCATTTTAAACGGTAAAACTTTAAATTTAAATAGTAAGTGCTTAAAATTAATATTAAGAGCTCAAACTTGGTGAGAATGTTTTTTCCTATATGCAGATTAATATTTTGCTTGAGCACCGAAAAAAAAACAAAAACTTTGCGGAAATGAATCACCCTACTATATATATAACATTTCCATGAGAAATTATCAAAAATATTTTTTTAGTCATTCAGGTACAGCAGCTGTGGGTTGCTCATACAAAGCAGCTGCTGGATTGATGTACCCGCTTGAAAGGGGTTTCATCTACATCCACAAACCTCCCATCCACATAAGATTCGAAGAGATCGCCTCTGTTAACTTTGCCAGAGGTGGAGGTAGCACTAGGTCGTTTGATTTCGAGGTCGAGCTCAAGTCGGGGACGGTGCACACGTTCAGCAGCATCGAGAAGGAGGAGTACGGAAAACTGTTCGATTTTATCAACTCCAAGAAGCTTAACATCAAGAATCGTGGAAAGAATGTGAGTATAAGGTGTTTGCCTGTGATTATCAGGGCTCCCACACCTCCTAAAATTTTACTTAAATCTTTAAAACTCCTAAAATTCTCCTAAAATGGCAATCAATCTCCTAAAACTCCTAAAATTCTAAAAATTAAATTTAAATATTCCAACCTGACTTGCGTTTAATTAAGGTATTGTTAAAAAAATTCTGTTTTAAAAAGTAATTTAAAAATATATATTTTTAGGTTCTATTCTATTAAACTCTTTTTAAAATGATATAATATCACAACCAAAATTTTTCTTAAAAAACAACAACGATATTTCGTTTTTTAGTCAAAAATATACCGTGTTATACAAACGTGTATATCAAACAAAAGGATTTTTAAATTTCTTTTAAATGACAGCTAAAATAGTAAACAATCTAAAAAATGTTTTGCTGTATTTTGCAAACTTCATATTTTGTTATGAGATTTTTAAGTATTAAATACACATTACAATTGAATTGGTGAGAATAAGAACAGTACAAGTCCAAAAATTTAATTCTGACAATTTATTTTCTAAAATCAATTTTAAAGTTTAAAATACATTTTTGTGAGGAGATAAAAATTATTTTACAGAATATGAATATTATATTTCATAAAATAGTCTAACAAAAATGCATTTAGAACTATAAAACTGATTTTTTGAAATATTTTATCAAACATTTTACTTTTGGACTTGTACTATTCTTAATCTTACCGATTTAATTACTGTTAGTTATTAACTAAACGGTTAACATATTTTTTCTTAAAATATAAATATAACATCATATGATTTTGGCATAGTTTTTAAACCAAATCTATCGACGCTTTTTTTTTAAATAAAATTAAAAGTGTGGTGAAATTTATACTTGTATATATATTAGGGTGGGTCAAAAAAACCGACTATTTTTTTTTTACTTTGTACTCTGAAAAATCGGTTACTAGACAACTCTAGAGAATTCTCACCAAACATGAGCTCTTAATTTTGATAACAAGGTCCTCCGCTTTACAATTTTCCATTTTTTCCTCAGTATTAGAAACAAAAATTCATATCTCTTCGACAACTATTCGTTAAAAAATAACTCTCCTCATATTCTTGTAGGAAATCAAACGCTCTACAAAAAAGGTCTCTTACAATTTTTTCGTAAACCTCACCGTTAAAAAGATATCGAAGGTTAAAGTTTAATTATTTTAAGAGAAATTTCTGTTTTGCTTATGAATTTTATAACTCGCTTACAAAAAATTTTTATGAATCGCGTTTTTGTAGTTTTGTAGGAAATTAACTGCTCTACAAAAATGGTCTCTTATGATTTGTCGATTAAATTAAGCGTTTAAAAGATATTCATCGTCAAACTTCAATGCATACTAATTTTAACAGTTTTTGATGAATAATTCAAAAAATTTCAATTTAATTTTTGAGTTTTACGAAAATTTATACAAATTCGAGTTTCTATCGTAAAAGTAACTCTTCCCTTTCGAAAATTTATTTGAGACTTTTTTATTTTAATAATATTTTTATGAAATTTATCTTTATAATAACTAAAAATCATAAGCAATTGAAAGTTGTTAATGATTCGGCAGAGCGAGCTGTTGCATTAGTCGATGATTATAACCAATGCTTAACAAAAAATGAAGAGCAATTTCAATATTTATTGCAAGTTATAAAAGAACATCGCAAACAATACCCAAATTGTAATAAACAAAACTTTTTACAGTAAAAGTGTACGATTATATTATAAATGTTAAAATTTTTATTTCAGTTGATAAAATTAAATAAAGAAACTTTTTAATATCAAATAGAACATTTTTTTTCTTCAAGATCAATTCTTATCATATTAAATTTATGACAAAAACGTTATTTTTTTCAAAATTTAATAAATCATTGACTCTGAGTTAGAAATAATGCACTATTTTTCTTTTCAATATAACCAAACATGTAGGACTAAAAAAACGAGAAAAACAGTTTCTCTTTTCATAGGAACTCAAATTTCTATAAATTTTCGTAAAACTCAAAAATTGAATTGAAATTTTTCGAATTATTCATCAAAAACTGTTAAAATTAGTATGCATTGAAGTTTGACGATGAATATCTTTTAAACGCTTAATTTAATCGACAAATCATAAGAGACCATTTTTGTAGTTTCCTACAAAACTATGAGTTGCGCGATTCATAAAAAATTTTTGTAAGCGAGTTATAAAATTCATAAGCAAAACAGAAATTTCTCTTAAAATAATTAAACTTTAACCTTCGATATCTTTTTAACGGTGAGGTTTACGAAAAAATTGTAAGAGACCTTTTTTGTAGAGCGTTCGATTTCCTACAAGAATATAAGGAGAGGTATTTTTTAACGAACAGTTGTCGAAGAGATATAAATTTTTGTTTCTAAAACTGAGGAAAAAATGGAAAATTGTAAAGCGGAGGACCTTGTTATCAAAATTAAGAGCTCATGTTTGGTGAGAATTCTCTAGAGGTGTCTAGTAACCGATTTTTCAGAGTACAAAGTAAAAAAAAATAGTCGGTTTTTTTGACCCACCCTAGTGAGTATAAGGTGTTTGCCTGTGATTATGGACGGTTTATTCTTCGTTTTGTTTTCAGGACAAGGCCAACTACAAGGACGACTTTGGCAATTCGGACGACGAAGCCGCTCCGGACGCGTACCTCGAAAGGGTCAAGGCGGAAGCCCAAGAAAGAGACGACGACGACGACGAAGACGAAAGTACCGATGAAGACTTCAACCCCGATCAGGCTGAAAGCGACGTTGCCGAAGAGTTCGACACCGACCACAGCAGCAGTTCCGAGGACGAAGAAGGAGGCGAAGGAGGTACAATTTCTTGTTTTTTCAACTGTTTATTTGGAACATTCGATAATTTTATACATATTTATTGCAAATAACAATGTTGGGCTGATTTAAATCATGATTTGTATCAACTAATTTAAAAAAAATCACGATTTTTAAGCATTAATTATACGTATTATTAGAGATTATTCTCGAGTGTTTTCAAAAGTAAATAATGAGTTCATTATTCCCGTTGTTAGGCGCGGCGGTTATAATGGTTATCATTATATATAGAAAACACAATATTATGCAATAGAAGTAGATAAACAAACATGATACATACTATTTTGTATAAATAATTTTACCTAATAAAAATAACAATAAACGTCAAAAATTACAGATAAAGAAAAAAAAGCAAAAACAAAAGTAAAAAATGACAGATGACAAAAAGTATACAAATGTAAAAAATGACATGACAAACGTCAAAAACGACAAAAGTCACAGATGACAGGTCAAATTCGAAAATTACAAAAATGACAGAAAACAAATGTCAAAAATATTACCGATGTCATGTCAAATGATTTTTTTTAATATGACAGAAAACAAATGTCAAAAATGACATGACAAACGTCAAAAACGATAAAAGTTACAGATCACAGGTCAAATAGGAAAATTACAAAAAATGACAGAAATTTTCATTTGTTTAACAAATGTCAAACATACAAGCCCTAACCACATAATGTTCGGACACTTCATAATTTATACAGAAATTTTTTTCGTGAATACTATCTCAAAATTATTAGAAGTTATGAAAAATTCAGCTTATTTTGGCATATACCCCTCGAAGCGATTTTTATTTTTAAAAAGTTTACCTTTTATTTTTAGCTTTTAAAAAAGGCTAACTTTTTAACTTTTTTTTGCATGAGTAAAAAAAGTTATAAATGGGCCCATTAAAAAGAACATAAAATATTATACAAACCCTGAAAATTTGGTAAAAATTGTATAAATAATAAGAAAGGGGCAGGAAGACGAAAGTCGTTAGCCTTTTGGATTTCCAATAAAGTTTATTATTATTATTATTATTAATAAGAAAGTTATAGCGATATATATATCTGCAAAATCTCCCGTTTCCTAAGAAAATTGCAAAAACTCTTTAAAAATAGCATTTTTAAATTACTTATACTTTTTTATAACTTATTTATTTTTTACCAAATTTTCAGGGTTTGTATAATATTTTATGCTCTTTTTAATGGGTCCATTTATAACTTTTTTTACTCATACAAAAAAAAGTTAAAAAGTTAGCCTTTTTTTAAAAGCTAAAAATAAAAGGTAAACTTTTTAAAAATAAAAATCGCTTCGAGGGGTATATGCCAAAATAAGCTGAATTTTTCATAACTTCTAATAATTTTGAGATAGTATTCACGAAAAAAATTTCTGTATAAATTATGAAGTGTCCGAACATTATGTGGTTAGGGCTCGTATTACCAATGAAAGGTCAAATGATTTTTTTTAAATATGACAGTAAACAAATGTCAAAAGTGACATGACAAACGACAAAAGTTACAGATGACAGGTCAAATAGGAAAATTCCAAACAAATGTCAAAAATGACATGACAAACCTCAAAAATGCCAAAAACAAATGTCAAATAGGAAAATTACAAAAATGCCAAAATAAATGTCAAAAATATTACAGATGACAAAAGGAAAACTTTAAATATGTCAGAAAACAACTGTCAAAAATTACAGAAGGGTATTTCCACGAAACCTTACCCCACCTTGACAAAAAATCAGATGTGTTATTTAACAAAATAACAACTAGCTATATCAGAAGTCAAATAGTTTAATTGCGACGTAATTTATAACCCTAAACCACACTGTGGTTTAGGTTTATAACCTTAAAATATTCGTACATTGTGACGCTAAGAAGCTAATTAATAAACACGGAAAAGTTTCAATACTCGATAAAATGTTCAAATGTCGCACCCGTTACATTTTGAGAAAGTTTTAGTAAATAAAGTATACAATATTTGTGCATTTAAAATACGTGCTTGTGTGTGTGTTACTATTCAAGTTTTACACAAAAAATTATTACAATATGCTTTCATCCAAAATTTTACAGTATCAACTTTAGAAGCCAACTTGGTCGCATTTGCCGATTTTCTAAGGTCGCGCCCGTTACGCTATTCATGACGTTATAAAAGGTTTTCTCTACGACTACTTAAGAATAGTAACATTCTAGTGTAATTTTTGATCATAGAAAGGATGTTTTTCTGCAATACTGTGCGAGAATATTCCTACTCTTGTTTAAGAATGGTCACAAGTAACGACATCTCCTGGCTGTTTACTAAACGTAAAAAATTTAAAAATATTTAAATATTACTGTATTATTTATTAATTAAAAAATAATAGCAGTTGTATAATTAAGGTTTAGGCACAAAAAATTAGTTATATTTATTGTTTTTCAAATATGGGTCATTCCACGTTACTCGGGGATTTTTGTCCCACCCGTCACAATTAAAAATTGTGAGTAAAAACTACAAGTTATAAAATTTATTTAAAAATATTGTTTTATTATGCTTTTAATAAGTTATAAGCACAATAAAAATAATATTATAAAATATTAATTTTATAACTTGTGGTTTTTACTCACAATTTTTAATTGTGACGGGCGGGACAAAAATTACCGAGTAACGTGGAATGCCCCATATACAAATCAAAATTATAATAAATTTGATATTAAAATGATAAACCAGTTACCTACTATGCTGGCTTTGAAGTTTTGACAGATTCAAAAAGTTTAAAAAAAGACCTTTAAAATGTAGAAAAAGAATACCTAGATCGAAAAATTTGAGTTTATGCTTCTACAAGGTTTTATGTAATCCACCCTTGACATACAACTTGAAAATAACTCTATATTTATGTATACATAGAATATACATTCTATAGAATTATTTTTAAGTGGTATGTGAAGCGTAGGCCACGTATAATCCTGTAGAAACATAGACTTAAATTTTTCGTTTTTTTAACATACAATCTTGTTATATTAGGGTGACGAGATGTTGACATAGATTACTTGTAAAATTAGTTTTGTATTTGTTACAATGTTATTTTTTTTATTAGTTAGTGTAAATAACTATTTTTAATTATAATAAAGATTTAGGCATACCATTTGTTTAAATTTATTATAATTTACATTATAAAATTGTGACAGCACAAAATGATTTGACAATACAAAAAACTTAAATGTCAAAAACTGCTTGGTTTCTTTTTTCTGTTTAAAATTATATAAGCGTTACTATTCTTACGTAGTCGTAGAGAAAATAATGTCTGAAACACGTTTGGAATAGCCTATTCCACTCTCGTAAAACCGTCACACTCGCCTTCGGCTCGTTGTCAAATTTTTCCTCGAACGGAATATGCTGTATTCCAAACTTGTTACAGAATGTACTATTCTATACAAGTTTTTATTGACATATTGTTTGAGTTAAATACCTAATTTTTTATACTATTTTTTTATATGAACAAACTTTATATCATGAAAAAACGCAGTTTTAGTGTCGCACCTGTTACAATGGAAATATCCAGGTGTCAAATATGAAAATTTCAAATATTACAGAAAACAAATGTCAAAATTACAGATTACAGTTCAAATAGGAAAATTACCAAAATGACAATAGATATGTCAAAAATTACAGATGACAGATCAACTAGGAAATTACAAAAACGACTCAAAGCAAATGTAAAAAATTACAAAATATGACAAACGTAAAAATTGTCAAGAGTTACAGATCACAGGTCACATAGGAAAATTACAAAATTGACAGAAAACAAATGTCAAAAGTTACAGATGACAGGTCAAATAGGAAAATTACCAAAATGACAGAAAACAAATGTCAAAAGTTACAGATGACGGGTCCAATAGGAAAATAATGGAGCCTACACAAGGAGTCCGAACTGCATGTAAACAAGAATCTTCCTAAAGAAAGTAGGCGCTGGTGTCCCGTTTATTCTGAAACAATTGACTAATTTGTACCGAAACGCTACCAAAAGAGCAGACGTCAGGACGCATCAACAATCAGCGCCGCAGGTGATGAAAATTATCAAAATGACAGAAAACAAATGTAAAAATTACAGAACAAAAACAATTGCAAACAATTATCAAAAGTTATAGATCACAGGTCACAGGAAAATTACAAAATTTACAGAAAACAAATGTCTAAAGTTACAGATGACAGGTAAAATAGGAAAATTATCAAAATGACAGAAAACTAATGTCAAAATTACAGTTGACAGGTAAAATAGGAAAATTATCAAAATGGGGACAGGAAATAAATGAAAAAAAACATATGACATGAGAAACGTCAACAAACCAAACGTCAAAAATTACAGACGGGTCAGAAAGGAAATATGATAGTAAACATATGGTAAACATTACAGATAATACATTAGAAAAACTACAAAAATGTCAAAAATACTATTCGCACACGCCTAAAATTCATTTTTAGAATGTTTTTGAACTAAATTCTGTATTATAAACTTAATTTTTTTCAGGCGATTCCAGCCACAAAGACAAGAAGAAGCACAAGAAGGAAAAGGAGAAAAAGACGAAAACCGTGTCGGAAAAACCCCGCAGGCAGCGCAAGACCAAAAAGGGCGGCGCCAAGGACGACGGCAAGCCGAAAAGGCCGGCGACGGCCTTCATGTTGTGGCTGAACGAGACGCGCGAGAAAATCAAGTCGGAGAACCCGGGCATCAGCGTCACCGAGATCGCCAAGAAGGGCGGCGAATTGTGGAGGGAAATGAAGGACAAATCCGAGTGGGAAGGAAAGGCGCAGAAGGCCAAGGAAGACTACAATGTGGCCATGGAAGAATACAAGGCTTCAGGTAATATTAATTATGATAAACTTTTAAGAAAAGGGTTTTGTATAGGGTAAACCACATAGTTATTGGACGCATAAGGAACATTGTTTATTTAAAATTTTATATATGCCTTAAAGATTTTAGTGTTTTTCTTATAAATATATAAAAAGAATAGTTTGTTTGTTTAAACTTTATTTACGTTAACTTAAAAATAAGAATATGTGAATTTTTAAAAACATGCAAAAAAGTATAAAGTATAAACATAAATTGTTAAATATTTTTTACTTCAAAATAAGAATATTTAAATTTTTTATAATAGTTTTATAAAAACATGCAAAAAAGTATAGTAATTGGACATTTTATATAGTAATTGGACACATGGACCATAGTTATTGGACATACAATTTTTATATAAACATAACAACTTTACATCAAGTAACATGAATTGTTAAATAATTTTTAAAGATAAATTGCTGTTTTAGGCACTTTTTTTTATTTCTTTTTTGTAAATATTTTATTTACGTTTACTTCAAAATAAGAATATTTGAATTTTTAATGATAGTTTTATAAAAATATGCACAAAAGTATAGTAATTGGACATTTTATATAGTAATTGGTAACATGGACCATAGTTATTGGACATACAATTTTTATATAAACATAACAACTTAACATCAAATAACATAAATTGTTAAATATTTTTTAAAGATAAATTGTTGTTTTAGGTTATTTTTTTTTATTTCGTTTTTGTAACTATTTTATTTAAATTTACTTCAAAATAAGAATATTTAAATTTTTAATAATAGTTTTATAAAAACATGCAAAAAAGTATAGTAATTTCACATTTTATATAGTAATTGGACACATGGACTGTAGTTATTGGACATACAATTTTTATATAAACATAACAACTTTACTTCAAATAACATTGTTATAATAATTATAATGATTATAACAATTATTGTTAAATATTTTTAAAGATAAATTGCTGTTTTAGGTAATTTTTTCGTTTTTGTAAATATCATATAATTCATATATTTCTTTCTCGGATTCCTCATCCCTTTTCTGGATTCTGAAGGTAACTACTAATTTGGTCTGACTTCTGAAATAGTTTGTTTCAAATATCATTAAACTTGTGTGGTATCTCTAGTTTGTGAAGCATTTATAATGTTTAGGCCGGAACAGGATGATTTATATATATATATATATATATATATATATATATATATATATATATATATATATATATATATATATATATCTAACATTTTTCCGGGTGGTATGTTAAAAGTTAGAGATGGGAAAATTCCCATTTGACGAAAATTCCCGGAAACTTTCCATCGAAAATTCCCGAAAGTTTAAAAAAAAAAATTTTATTGCGAAAATATTTTTTTTATGCAAAAATATATAACACATTAACTTTTTGTCAAATTTTTGGTTGCATTAACGACATAGATTTTCTTACAGAACTTGCTTTGAGCATGGTCTTTTTTGTTTTTTTTGCACTATTTTGTAATAATTCCAAACACTAGATTTTTCTCTTGGCATTGTGCTATGCCTATATAAACAACAAAAATGTAAGAATGATTTTAACTTTGTTTATTGTTTTTATTTTGTTTACCTTTTTTTAAAAAAGTTTTTTGTGTTGATGCTGAATAATCCGGCTTCATTGAGGTTATGTAACATAACTTACATTATTTATACTTCTTCTTCTGCTTTAAATTAACACAAATTAAATTCCTATTCAAAGTTTCTTGGCCTTGTATCATGGCCTTAACGAAAATCAGCGGTTAAAAAATTGACATTTAAATGATAAAAACAAGGAAAGTTTCCAAGGAATGTTTCCAGGGAATGTTTCCGGTAGCTTAAAAGAAACTTTCAAAATGAAAATAAATTCCCAATTGGAAACTTTCCAAAACGGAAAGTTTCCTTAAAACGGAAACTTTCCGATTCCCATCTCTATTAAAAGTATTTTCCGATTTATTTATTTTGTTGCCATTCGTTTTTTAAGTTATCTATCATGCACTGTATTTAAATCACTGTTATTCTGCAAGATGTCCTGTAAAGAAATCACTATATTACTTACTCTCTAAAAATGAATTAGTCAAAAATATAATAATTCTCGTCAACAGCAATTTGTATCCAGGACATTTAGCAGTCAATTCCTATGAAATATTATTCGCTGAATCTGAAAATGTCGTCAAGAGTTATAAAAGTAGAACAGTTTTTGAAATATAATCAATTTTACATATAATATGGAATTGACTATATCTCAAAAACTGCTTACCTTTTAGAGTTTTTGACGGTCTTTTCGGATTCAGGGGACAAGTTTACATAAGAATTGGCTGGTAAATATAAATACGATATAAATAGAGTATGATATTGGACACATGTCCAATAATAGAAATTTACATTTTTTACCAACCAGTAATTTTACTGTTTGTTTTCAGAATTAAAATTAAAACGCATTAAAGTGACAATGTTTAAACCATGAGGAAAACTTTTATACCACACACTGCTCTGTACACTTTTTAGAAATATTTTTTATTGTAATTTAACACGGCCCTGCTCTTAACAAAAAAAAAAAATCTTACCATCATACGTGCGAACTTTTTTGTCCTATATTGGTCCCAAAATAAAGTAGTTCTATATTATTACCGACTGAGATAGTTATAATTGTATACAGCGTCATCTAATGATTTGACTTTAAGGTAACTATTTATAGAACTCTTGTTTTTACAGTATTAATGTTAATTGTCCAATAACTATAGTGTCCGATAACTGTCTACTTTACCCTACGTAACTTTTAGGTGGTGGACAAAACAAGGATGACGATAAGAGCGAGAAGAAGTCTTCGTCTTCGAAGAAACCTGCTGCTTCAAGTACCAAAAAGAAGTCTGCGCCTGCGTCGCCGGTTAAATCTGGTTCGTTCAAGAGCAAGGAGTACATTGAAAGCGATGACAGCAGTTCCGATAGCGATTCCGGCAAGAATAAGAAAGACAAGAAGCCGGAAAAGAAGAAGGCTGAGAAAAAGAAGAAAGATTCCGATTCTGAAGATGAGAAAAACACTTCCAAAGACTCTGCAGCTAGCGACAAAAAGAGCAACGGTAAACGGAAGAAGGATAGCGATGACGAAAAAAGCAAGAAGAAACCCAAATCCAAAAAAGAATCTGCAAGTGAAGATGAAGAGGAAAGCGATGATGGGAAAAGCAAGAAGAAACCCAAACCCAAATCAAAAAAAGAATCTGCAAGTGAAGATGAAGAGGAAAGCGATGATGGGAAAAGCAAGAAGAAACCCAAACCCAAATCCAAAAAAGAATCTGCAAGTGAAGATGAAGAGGAAAGCGATGATGGGAAAAGCAAGAAGAAAACCAAACCCAAACCCAAATCAAAAAAAGAATCTGCAAGTGAAGATGAAGAGGAAAGCGATGATGGGAAAAGCAAGAAGAAACCCAAACCCAAATCCAAAAAAGAATCTGGAAGTGAAGATGAAGGGGAAAGCACTCCAGCCACCAGCGAAGATAGCGATTAAACTCAACCTTAGGTTATTTTTGTATTTTTAATTTATCCCAGTTTACCGTTTTATGTTAGATTATGTATGTGATAGGATGAATCTAATATACGTATTTTTTATATAAGAGTTTTATTTATTCAAAAACACCCAAAATAATCCTGGTATTTTTTTAATTATTATTAATACAAGTAGGTATTACTGATATTAAAAATGTAGTTAAAAATTACAAAAAAAATATCACTTAAAAAATATATGTTAAAAATGACAGATAACAAATGTCAAATGTGACAAAACATGAGAAACATGAAATAAAAATAACAATTTTAAAAATATACCTACAATAAAAAAATATTAAATATGACAAGATTAAAAAGTATTTTTTTAACAGATGGGAAAAATGATAAAAATTACAGTAAACAAATGTCAAAAATTACAGAAGAAAAATAAAAATGTCAGAAAACAAATGTCAAAAATGTTGGATGACATTTTTTTACAGAAAACAAATGCCAAAATATGACAGAAGACAAAAAGCAAATGTAAAAAAATGACAAATGACAAAAATAACAGCTGTAGAAAACATAAAAAATTAAAGTAATGGAATGTCAAAAATGACAGATTATTACATTAAGGAACACAAATGTAAAAAATGGCTGACATGTCAAATAGTTATGACAGATGACAAAAAACAACAGACGCAAAATGAAAAAAATACAGAAAACAAATGTTAAAATTTAAATAACAGATGACAAAAAATACAGGAAACAGATGTCAAATATGACAGATAAAAATAGGTTAATATAAAAAATTAGTTGTAAAAAATTAAAAAATGACAGTAAACAAATGTCAAAAATGGCAGAAAACAAATGTCAAATATGACAGATGACTAAAAAGTAAGTGTTTTTTTAACAGATGGGAAAAATTACAGCAAACAAATGTCAAAAATTACAGAAAAAAATTAAAAATGACACTTAATAAATGTCAGAAAACATGTCAAAAATGTTGGATGATATATCATATATTTTTACAGAAAACAAATGCCAAAAATGACATGTCAAATATGACAGAAGACAAAGCAAATGTAAAAAAAACGATAAAAATAACAGTTGTAGAAAACATAAAAAATTAAAGTAAACAAATGTACAAAATGACAGATTATTAAATTAAAGAAAACAAATGTAAAAAATGGCAGGCATGTCAAACATGACAGATGACAAAAAACAACAGACGCAAAAAGACAAAAATTACAGAAAACAAATGTTAAAAATAACAGATGACAAAAAATACAGAAAACAGAAGTCAAAAATGACAGAAAACAAATGTCAACATTTACAGAAAAATTACAAAGCAAATGTTAAAATGACAGATAAGTTATCTGAGATAACAAATGATATTTTGTTCAAATCGTATATTTTATTTAATATGCTCATAAATAAAACTTTTCATTTTTTCTAAGGACTTAAGAGTCGTTTTATACACTTTTAAAGGGTGCTTATTGGTAAACCCTTCATTAATAGGTTTTGCCCCCCCCCCCCATTAATCATCATCAACCAGCAGTTTTTCCCATTTGAACATAATTAGTTTCTTTTTTTTCATTCAAAATCTAGTTTTATGATTTTTTACATGAAAGAAAAATAATGGCGTCATCATGAATTTACCCCCCCCCTCATCGTTCGCAAGACTCCCGTTATATGGACGACCCCTTAAATAAAACACCAATTCTAAGTAAAAATAAGTATACTTTGTAACAATTTCACATGCAAGGTAAAAATGTGCCAATCACAATTAAAAAAACGTTAAATTTTGGTAAAAATTACGGAAATAATAAATATCACTGCGTTAGATAATTCTTAAGTAACTATAAGTGGAATATCAGGTGAAATTAACTACGTATTTTTTATTTAGTGCACAATAAAATAAAATAATAAAATTAATCGGTGCGTTACGCAATTCTTAACTGCAGCAGGAAGCTGGGTTGGGGTCTTTTCCCGACCTCTTGGTAATATTTATCCTGGTAAATTCTTCGGCGATGGTCGGGTGAATACCAACTGTGCCCATCAACGCATTTACGGTCAAATTACACCTAAAATGAAATTTATCATGTAAAACTCATGTGAGCATTTTATTTTTAAAGTACTCACTTAATAGCTGCTGCGAATCCTTGAATGACCTCTCCCGCCTGCGGCCCAATGAAATGCATACCCAAAACTTTTTGTTCGCCATCTCTCATCGCCACAACTTTGAGGTAGCAGTGAGAAATGTTCTTTTGCGGGATAAAGAACTCGGTGGGCTTGTAGTAGGCGTGGTAGATTTCCACCTTGTCTTCGCCGAATCTGAAAGAACATAAATTCGAAAAGTGTCTTCGGTGTTGTTTTATAGTTTTCCTACCTTTTGACGGCCTCCTCTTCGCTCAAACCGACTGCGCCATACTCCAAGGGACTGAATATCGTTGTTGCCACGTTGTCGTAGTCCATCGTTGCCGCACCGTTGCCGAAGAGGCGGCGCGAGAGCAAACGGCCGGCGTGGATTGCCACCGGAGTCAACTCGGGTTTTTTCTGCAACGTGGTTAAAATAGTACATTATTTTAAAGTTCTTTTTTTTATCTGGACTGCGGCAACGTTGCAAATTTAGGGTTTTGGTTGGTAAATACAGTTGTCAAGTTGGTCGGATTGATTAAAACAAACTAAGCTAGTTATAAATCTAGTTGTGGTTATGTATAAATTATTGTAGGTTACATTGTGCAGTTGTCAAGTTGAGTTGTCGAAATTCGTAGTTAAATATAGGTTGCTTTACGGCCCAGAAGAGAAAGTATTCCTAGCGGATAATAATCTTCGCTTTGAAAAGAATTTAGATAAAAGAAATTAAATTTTTTTGTGAACGTAAATGTTGTTGAATAATGTGAAAATAATGTGTGATGTAATATTTATAAAACTAAATTCGTTTTTTTTTACTCCAAAAATGTCCATAAGGCGATGTACTTTTTCTTCCATTGTGGCATTTGGCATAATTTCATCAAAATGAAGTTTTGCCCTCAAAAGGGCTTTTACATTCGAATTCGTTGCTATTATTTTTGGCATAATTATCTTTTTATTTATAATTGACAAGTAAATTATCAATAATAAATATTATTTTTGAATACTAAAAATACTAAGTCAAACTGGCATAAGGCACCAACCTAACAAAAAAAGACGAGCCCAGATAAAAAAAAATGAACTGTATAAGGGGCCAAAGTGTCGCTTTTTGAGGCGAGTCCGGCAAATACAGACGAGTCTCAAAAAGTCACTTTATAGATTGCCTTCCTTTCTTCCTCCCGTAGAAAATGAACAATACAAAAACCGTTGTGCTGTTAAAGATTCCTGTACGGGAATCTATAAATGGCACTACGATTTTCGTATTGTTCATATTTTACGGGAGGAAGGAAGGAAGGCAATCTATAAATCAGGCTTTACTCCGCATAAAATATATTTTTTTTTAAACGTCGAATACATCAAAAATTGAATTTTCCCTATTTACAGGGTAATTCATTTAACTTATTCATTAGAAGTTTATGGAGCACAGAAAATGATATCTATTTGAAATTTGTATAGCATGTAAAGCAATTATAAGCCAATGCAAACTATTTTTTTTAAATTATTTTCCAAGCGTTATCACTTCCTTGTAAATATTATTGCATTTTTAAATTCTACGTAAAATTCTAGAAATACTAAACTTTGATTATTTTTTTTTTATATTTAACAGTTTTTGAGATATTTTTTTTTTAAATTTTGACAGATAGATGGTCTTAGTAATAATATTATGTCTATATTATTATTATATTATTACTAATTGTAATGTTAAAAAGTTAATTTTTGGTGTAACTGTTAAGTAATGAGCACTCTATTGAATGCCATTAATAGTATTTAAAATTTGTATAATGTTTTCTATTGAAATGCTGCAGCATTCCCTTTACCTAAAATAAATATTTACAGAGATATTACAAAAAATTTAAAAAAATTACACTAATCAAAATATTCTAAACATTTTTAATACACATTACAATTAGTGGTAATACAGACATATTAGTAAGACCATCTATCTGTCAAAATTTTTGAAAAAAAATAAATATCACAAAACAGTTTAAAATAAAAAAAAAATTTAGTATTTCTGGAATTTTACGTTGAATTTAAAAATGCAATGAATGAAATTGATTTATTCTGGTTATTTTCTAAAGCAATATTATTATTAATATTATTATCATGTAAAACTGTAACTTTTTCAAGCACAATCTCTAAAAAAGAATGAGCCAATTCTCATGTAAAATTGTCCCCTGAATCCGAAAAGATCGTCATAGTAGTTTTTGAGATATAGTCAATTCCATAATATGTAAAATTGATTACACTTCAAAAACTGTCCTACTTTTATAACTTTTGACGACATATTCGAATTCAGCAGACAATTTTACATAGGAATTGACTGCTAAATATCCGGGATATAAATTGCTGTTGACTAGAATTATTAGTGGCTGCTTTTTCGCTATGACAATTAGTCATTTTTAACTCATTCATTTTTAGAGAGTAGTATTTTCCATCTGGTTCTTTTTTTAAAGAAAATTTGACAAATTTGTGTTCTTCGTTGCCGAAATACTTTTTTAATGGCCCGCACTTTTTATGTGGCTTATGACTGCTTGCAAATCAAAAATTTGGCTTGAAACGGTGTTTTATCAACAGGAACTATGATTTTTCAAAGTCTTTTACTGATTAATTAATTAGTTTATTAATTACGCTTAACATTTACAAAATAAACTTTTAATCACCCTAAAGATAAAAATAGTTGGTTATAGTCTTAGAAGGTTATAGTGATAAGTCGTGATATAGACTTCTAAGGTTATAGTGATAGTTGAATAAATTAAATTTAAATTACACTCGTTAACATAATTTTTTTTTAATGAAAATTTTGTTGACCAGTTGTATTTATAAATAAACAATTCCCTGACCGACTTAGGAATCCCTCACTTTGTAGATTTTTTTGCCAATTCCCTGACATTTCTAAAAAAAATTCCAGGTTTTCCAGATGAGTGGCAACCCTGTATTAATATGTCAGACGAAGATTTCATGATGGGTACTCCCCCTTTAGAAAATGAAATCTTCGTCGGTCACATATATATAATCAGTACTTAATATCAAGTATAGGAGTGGATATCAGCAAATTCATAAACTAATTTAAAGTATAGTATAGTCGGTAATTGAATTAAAATGATTGAAGAGCTAGTTATCCTAAAGTCAAATTCAAAAAATTATAACATTTTTTAAGTTTTGTTTTTATTTGCTGTACTGTTAAATTTATGTTTTTTTTAAATTAAATAAAGTTATAAATTTGAACTAATTAATGTACTTCCATAAAAATCAAATTAGTACCTAAACTAACTAAAAAATAATTGCTTTATAATTTTAAAATAAATCAATTGCTATTGAGTATTTGAATTAAAATAAGTAATTCAATTATATTAATTGCCTATATAATGAATTACATTTCATGGTAATTGGTAATCGAACTAAATTTGTTAATCTGTGGTAATTTATATTTTTTTGCCAAAATAATTTGTAATTGTAATTCAATTACTTTTTAAGTGTTATTGCAACAGCTCCGAGTATAAGTCATTTTTAATTTTTGTTGGTGTTGTTAAGCCTTAACAAAGCACTCGTCTAGACCTATTTAAAACGTCACCTAAAGTTTTTTTTTTAATTTATTAGCACTTGGTCATATTACCTTCATCCCTGTAAAAAATCCTAAACATAAAAAAATAGTTTTAACTTTCGACTTACGTAGAGGACGTCTCCGACGGCGTAGATGTGGGGCACGTTGCTTTGCTCGTTGACGGCGTCGATTTTTTCGCCGTCGCCGGCAACCTTGACGCCCGCGTTCTCCAGCTTGAGTTCCCTGGTGAGGGCGCGCCTGCCGATGGCGAACAAAACGGTGTCGAACACGTCGGTAAACTCCTCGTTCACCTCGTTCACCCAAGTCGCTTTCAGCTGACCGTTATCGAGTTTCTCGATCTTCTTGGGCTTGCATCTGAGAGAAGGTTATTTAGTTTTGTTTAAAAAAGTTTTTTCGAGCGTTTTCTATTGTTAAATAAAAGGCTTTAAAGATATTTTATCGAAAAATCCCTGAATAGGTAAACTGAGATATAAGTTAAAGTATTTTTATCCAAAATTGTATAAAGATTGGTAAAGGCGTTTTAGAGTTGTATGTTTTTTACTTGTTATGCGATACTTTTTACAGGGCTCCCATGACTAAATTACAAATTTTATTTAGGAATTTAGGAGGTTTTTTGTAAAATTTTAGGATAAATAAAGTATGGAAATGAATTTCTTTAATTAAATAAAAACAACTCTTTACTACTTAAAAAATAAGAACAAAATTAATACTTTTTTTTGTAAAAATAAGTTATATTGACTAGTTTTTTAGAAAAATCGCTCGACGAGTTTTTTTAAATAAAATTAAAAGTGAGTTAAAAGTAAAACTTGTATATATCTGAGGTACAAGTATAAATTTCACCACACTTTTAATTTTATTAAAAAAAATGCGTCGATAGATTTGGCTAAAAAACTAAACCAAAATCAAATGATGTTATATTTATATTTTAAGAACAAATATGTTAACCGTTTAGTTATTAGCTTACAGTAATTGAATCGATAAGATTAAGAATAGTACGAGTCCAAAAGTAAAATTTTTGATAAAATATTTCAAAAAATCAGTTTTATAGTTCTAAATGCATTTTTGTTAGAATATTTTAACTATTTTATGAAATATAATATTCATATTCTGTAAAATAATTTATATCTTCTCACAAAAATGTATTTTAAACTTTAAAATTAATTTTAGAATAAATTGTCAAAATTAAATTTTTGGACTTGTACTGTTCTTATTCTCACCGATTTAATTGTAATGTGGATCTGAATACTTAAAAATCTCATAACTAAATATAAAGTTTGCAAAATACAGCAAAACATTCTTTAGATTGTTTACTATTTTAGCTGTCATTTAAAAGAAAATTAAAAATCCTTTTGTTTGATATATACACGGTATATTTTTGACTAAAAAAAGAAATATCGCTAAAAATGACAATTTTGTAGAAGTTTTTTTGTTGTTTTTTTATGAAAAATTTTGGTTGTGATATTATATCATTTTAAAAAATTTAATAAAATAGAACCTAAAAATATATATTTTTATCTCCACGCGTTCTATAATTTAAACTTTATTGTTGTCAACATTTGATAAAGAAATACCTTGTTATGGTCTAGGCCGATAAAAAAATTTATGAGGCAAGTAATTAGTTCGATTTTTTCTCGCTAGGGGTATTGTTTTGACAAATTAATCCTTTTCTAAGAAATTAACGTACTAAACTGGTTTAATTTATTTATAATAAGCACTAATTTGTTTGTTTTAGAGAAGGTTATTTAGTTTTGTTTAAAAAAGATTTTTTCGAGCGTTTTCTATTATTGAATAAAAGGCTTTAAAGATATTTTATCGAAAAATCCCTGAATAGGTAAACTGAGATATAAGTATTTTTATCCAAAATTGTATAAAAATTGGTAAAGGCGTTTTAGAGTTGTGTTTTTTACTTGTTATGCGATACTTTTTACAGGGCTCCCACGGCTAAATTACAAATTTTATTTAGGAATTTAGGAGGTTTTTTGTAAAATTTTAGGATAAATAAAGAATGGAAATGAATTTCTTTAATTAAATAAAAACAACTCTTTACTACTTAAAAAATAAGAACAAAATTAATACTTAATTGATTTTAGAATAAATTGTCAAAATTAAATTTTTGGACTTGTACTGTTCTTATTCTCACCGATTTAATTGTAATGTGGATCTTAATACTTAAAAATCTAAACTAAATATAAAGTTTGCATAATACCGCAAAACATTCTTTAGAATGTTTACTATTTTAGCTGTCATTTAAAAGAAAATTAAAAATCCTTTTGTTTGATATATACTGTATATAATATACACGGTATATTTTTGACTAAAAAAAAGAAATATCGCTAAAACAGACAATTTTGTAGAAGTTTCTTTGTTGTTTTTTTATGAAAAATTTTGGTTGTGATATTATATCATTTTAAAAAGAATTTAATAAAATAGAACCTAAAAATATATATTTTTAAATTACTTTTTAAAAAAGAATTTTTTTAGCACTACCTTAATTAAACGCAGTCAGGTTGGCCTATTTAAATTTAATTTTTAGGATTTTAGGAGTTTTAGGAGATTGAATGCAATTTTAGGAGAATTTTATTTTATTTTCAAGATTTAAGCCAAATTTTAGGAATTTTATGAGTTTTAGTAGGTGTGGGAGCCCTGCTTTTATGCGCACTGTATAAAAGCAACTCCCCTTATCCCTCTTTTCGCAATGTACTACTGAACCTTAAACAAAATAATGTGGACATTTACTCACTTGAACAAGAAGTTGACACCCCTATCTTGCATGGCGGCAGTGACAATGTGCGCCATCTGCTGGTCGAAACCTCTCAACACCACAGACCTCACCATTACAGTGGCGTCGTATCCCAAACCTTGTAATAAGAATTACATTGTATTTTTGACAAAAATGATCAAATCCTTACCTTTCAGGAAACCCGCGCACTCCAAGCCGATGTATCCGGCGCCCACTACGAGCGTGCGGCCCGGTTCCTTCTGCAAGCTGAAGATGTCGTCGCTGGTGACGCCGTACTCGACGGCGCCGGGAATGTCGGGGTAGCGCGGGCGGCCGCCCACCGCGATCAAAAAGTACTTGGCGGTGAGCGTGCGCTCGCCCTGCTTCGTCGTCGCTGATACGGTGTTCGCGTTCACGAAGGTGCCGAGACCGTTGATGTATTCGACTTTCCTACAGAACAATTACTATAGGGTGATTTCATCGTTTCGGGTGTTACATTTGTTCAACCAAAGTCTAAATTTTTATGTATTTTGAAGTAACATTTTAGCTGCCAAAGTGCCTTATTATCCACGTTTTTAGTTGTTTTATCTAAATTGTAAAATTAGTACAGTTTAGCATATAGGATAACGATTTTAGTCGAAAAGTGTGCGTTTCGGGTGTTTCACGATTCTGCCTCTATGTCCTGACTAGAGATGCGACTTGAAAAAAAACAGTCCGTTTTTTTTTTCAGGTTTTTTTTAATGTTTTTTTTTCATATTTTAGGTTTTTTTTCAAGATTAGTCCCATTTGCCTAATTTTTTATGTTACCAGACCAGTTCATGGACTAAAATTAGCGACTAAATTACATTTAGTAAATGTAAATAGTCTCGCTCATAACGCACCACCGAATTGACCAATAAGGGCCGCGCTTGTTTTGATTTGATTCAGCGCTTGATTTTTCAAAAAGCTACCAAAAGCACCTTTTTTCATGATTTTTAAATTCATGTATATAGGTATGGAAAAAAACAATAGCAAATTCTTGTAGAACATTTATTCATTGGTGGTTGTCAGAACATTCCGTGGACCAAAAAAGAAAGAAAGAAATTTTTTTATTACGGTATTTGTTAGAATTGAGCGTTGCACGTTTTTCATCTAAAAATCCCAAAACTAGAAACTTCAAGCTTTTTTACGGCTCCAATACGACCATTTTTAAGGAAGATACAGCTATCCGAAAAATCGCAAAAAATTTGGACTTTTTTTATCCTTTAATTTTTTCTGTTAGTGTAGAAGTTTTACATTGCTTTTGGTTTCTTATGTGGAAACTACCAACTCGGTCAAAATTTTCAATAATGAAAAATGTAATATATTCTACATTTCACTTTATTATTAATATACATTTTACACAAAATTTCACTTTGAAAAATTACTTCATTTTTTAAGATTGATGTTATTTATTGACAGAATATGCTTTATTGTAGCGGATTTGAAAAAAAAACAAAAAAAAACCGTTTTTTTCTAGTTTTTTTTCACATCTGAAAAAAAACCGTTTTTTACATCTCTAGTCCTGACCATTGTTACATTTATTTGAAATTCAGTGAATTTTCTTGTGGAAACATTTTATTAAAAATTACAGGCCTCCAAAAGTATAATATTTACTAACCATCTAATAACGTTTTACTATTTTTTTTATAAAATTTTACTTTGTTTCTAAATATTATTACACTAATCAATCTGTAGGGTATAATAATAAAACAATTACCTGATTTTTCTTCTCGGGTGTTACAGTGTCAAAGTAACAAGAAAACACACTTATAACGTGATAATTAACAATTTTTCGGGACTGTGACGTAATTCACCAATACTAAGAGAAATAACCTTTCTCTACGAATACTTAAGAATAGTAACATTCTAGTGTAATTTTTGATCATAGAAAGGATGTTTTTCTGCAATACTGTGCGAGAATATTCCCACTCTTGTTTAAGAATGGTCACAAGTAAAGACATCTCCTGGCTGTTTACTAAACGTAAAAAATTTAAAAATATTTAAATATTACTGTATTATTTATTAATTAAAAAATAATTGCAGTTGTATAATTAAGGTTTAGGCACAAAATTAGTTATATTTATTGTTTTTCAAATATACAAATCAAAATTATAATAAATTTGATATTAAAATGATAAACCAGTTACCTACTATACCGGCTTTGAAGTTTTGACAGATTCAAAAAATTTAAAAAAAGACCTTTAAAATGTAGAAAAAGAATAGATGTTGACATAGATTACTTGTAAAATTAGTTTTGTATTTGTTACAATGTTATTTTTTTTATTAGTTAGTGTAAATAACTATTTTTAATTATAATAAAGATTTAGGCATACCATTTGTTTAAATTTATTATAATTTACATTATAAAATTGTGACGGCACAAAATGGTTTGACAATACAAAAAACCTAAATGTCAAAAACTGCTTGGTTTCTTTTCTCTGGTTAAAATTATATAAGCGTTACTATTCTTACGTAGTCGTAGAGAAAATAATGTCTGAAACACGTTTGGAATAGCATATTCCGCTCTCGTAAAACCGTTACACTCGCCTTCGGCTCGTGTGTCAAATTTTTCCTCGAGCGGAATATGCTGTATTCCAAACTTGTTACAGAATGTACTATTAATCACTACGTGGAATAGTATATTCTGTAACAAGTTTGGAATACGGCATACTCCGCTCGAGTGAAAAGTTTGTCACACGAGCCGAAGGCGAGTTTGACGGTTTCACGAGAGGGAAATATGCAATTCCAAACGTGTTTCAGAATATACTTTTTCTACGTTTCCAAATAATACCATAGACAAATAATTTAATTGGAAGAAAGTGAGGTTGGATTGGTCTAAAATTTGTTAGATATTAACAACAGAGATGTCGCCACGAGTGTTTATTCTGTCATCAGATGATAGCATATATCATTCTGTAACACTTTACGGAATATATGTCATTCCATAGATAAAAGTGATATTAGAACAGTCATATTCCATAATAGGAGTAGAAAAAAACCGTTTATAGATTGACAGTTAGTTTTTTTTCGTATTTCCAATAATTAGAGGCACAATGGTCATTTAGCCAGTTCACTTAAGTACAGATTTTGAAGACTAATTAACTTAAAAATTACGCGTTTCTTCCATTTATTGTCGCACATTATAATTTGGAATGTTTCTTTAAAAATTTATCAGATTTTCACCTTCAGTAGCGTTTGTCATGGAATTACCCTATACTGCTTACTGAGCGTGGAATCTTAGCGATGGATGAAAAACGATTACACGTGACGAACACTATACTTTTTTGTCGAGTAATTCCAATTAAATATTACAAAATTACAACAAAAAAATGTGCATTAATGCAATATATCGTGGGCGTACTGCGAAAATCAACCAAGTCCCAAAAAGAAGTTTCCAAGAAAAACGGATTTTAATTTTTTGGAGTCAGTGAAAAATCCAGTTGAAAATAAAATAAATATGTTTTACATTTTTTCATTTCTTTATGTACTGAGAGAGATGTGGGATAGTAAAAAACACAATATTTAAAGAAAAAAAATTAACATGCAAAGAAATAAGAATTACAACTCAAAAAATGTGGACGCCCACGATATGTATTTTTTGTGCATACGCTAAAGCCATCTGGTGGCACTCGATAGAATTATTGTACTACAGGTTTGTCAACAATACATTTAAAACATACGAACTACACATCATGTTTAAATTTTTAAATAAATAAGTAGTTTTTTCACAAAACACGACAAATTTTGTTATTTTATTAATTATTATTAAAATCGTTGTTTTTTTTCTCGATATTTAACATTTTCTGGCCTTATTCTTAAAAACACTCGTTTGTAACATACGCGTTTGACAGCTAGTTATTAAAAGGTGGCGAACGTGGTGGGACTTTGACAAAATCAGGCTCAAATAAAATTATTTTCCTTAAAACGGATTTTATTCCATTGCACCTAAAGTTTTGATTAGCGCAAACAAATAGGTAAAAACACTAAAATCCCATCTCTACCAATTACTATAGTTTTTTCCTGTGAAACATTAAAACAATGGAGAGATTAAAAAAGTACATAATTAATATTAGCAAACACCTTCATGATAGGAAATTCAATTTTTAATATAATGCAGGGTCAAGCAAAATGTTGTCTCCAAAAAACTATTAAGATTAAAGATTAAAAAATATTTTTTCAGACTTACTTGTCTCTAAGTTCGACTCTTGTCACCCAGTTGACGGATTTAATGTGGGCCTGTACTGCATCTTTAAGAGTTTCCCAGTCGTGTCTGATATTTTCCGCTTGAGGAAATTGCCAGCCATAACTTTTAGCATCCTGGAAAAAATACATCAAGGGCTTTAGAATAAAAGTTGTATAACTGCAGCTACACTGCAAAAATGCCTTATCTACAATATTAAGTAATAAAGGCCAGTAAAAATTATCGTTTGTCCTTAAAACCTTATATTGTAGATAAGGCATTTTTGCTTAACAGGGCAACTACACTTATACCAGCCTTTTAATTCTAAGGCCCTCAATTATATTTATGGCAAATTTGCCATAACAATAATTCCATTTTGGAATCGTTTTTACTGTTTTGAACAATCTTAAGTAAATACTAGTTAAATACACCCTGAAATGATGGACTAACGACTAATGAGATTTTTGTTTTGGGCCTATTTATTTATATAAAATAATTTTAATAAACAATTACGTTTTACGTTTAAAAATAAAAAAATCAAAGTTATGATTTTTTTGACACAAATATTAGAAAATAGGTAGGTACATCTGTCAACCATGCTAATTTCAAATCTCAACAGATGTTTCCATAATATTTTGATGTGCGATATAACAGCTTAGGAAAACACAGCGTTGCATTTTTTATTTTTAAATACTTGATAACTAAATAACTACTTCTTGTAATTTTTTTATATTTAAAATTGATAGCATTCAATCAAAAAAAGGAATGGAATAAACATAAAATTGAGTGTAATACATTACTTACATTACAACATAAAATAACACAAATTAAAAATTATTTGTTATTTATAATTTATTTAACACCTTAGACCTATATCTATGTTTAAAACATTTGTTTTAACCTTCACTTTGATTACAAATAATTATATATAGGAGGATTATATTAATAATATGATGCTTTAAATTTTTTAAGCATGACATAAAATTTTTTTAGAATAATAATAATTTATTTGAAATCAAGCAAAATCTTTTATTGTGATGAAATTTTCTGAGAAATGTATAACTTTTTTCCCTTTTTGTAACCGTGGACATACTTTATATGTAATATAATTAATTAATTAATAATTAATTAGTAATTAATTATAACATATTTTTGAAGGAAAAACAAAAAACATCTCAAATATTTCACTCACTTGTATGGATTCTCCCAAGAGGGCAGCCTGGTGCATCAACTTCTTGGGTATGCAACCAACGTTGACGCAGGTACCCCCAAGGCCCCATTTTGTGCCCAAAGGGCTGGGAGTTACGTAATCCAAGACGGCAACTTTGGCGCCCAAGGTTGTAGCCTCTTTGGCGGCGGCCAAACCGCCGGAACCGCCTCCGATGACCACCAAGTCAAATTCAACATCATTACCTAGGCAAAGAAAAATTATATTGTTATAATTATGAGACGTTAACACATTTGTACATTTGATTTGATACAAAAAGTCCAGAAAATATGCAATCCCTGTACTTGTACAAGCCCAATCTGCATGAAAAAATCCTATTTTCCATTTATGTACTTAACTATTATAATATGTAGAATATTTGAAAACTTTAAGCACTTTGTGTTTTGTTTTGGTGTTGGGGAATATATCTAATTTGTTTAACTTTTTTTATGACAAAATAAAATGAATAGGCAATATTTTCACAGAAAAACTAATTTTAAGTATTTTATTGTTTACTATTACTACTACACTTCTATTAAACTTAAGGTAGTATATCTGTTTAAAGACTGATAAATAAATAACAGTAGGCCATGACAGAAAATTCAGTGGTGCCAATGTAGTAACAATAAAACGTTGTATTATTATAATACTTTGTCTACTCCTACATTGAAGAGCTGTGACTTTATGGTGTTTTAGTCACGGGCTGAAGTTAACAGTGGCTTTGGGGCATTTTAGCCACGGGCTGAAGTTGGCGTTATTATAAATTGCAAAACAGTGAGGTTAAATTTGTCAAATGTCAAATATTTATAAATTAAAATTGGCTTTAAATTCTCATTTCTGTTCGTCGTAGATAAAATATAGTATGCAAGTCGTTTTATAAACATCTCTAGGCACTCGTTTTTATTAAACACTCGCTCGCAAGCTTCGCTCGTGCCTAATAAAACCAGTGCATAAAATGGCGTTTATAAAACTTGATACATAATATACTATTATTACAAACTAAAATATTATTAAAAACTAAGAACATACAAAATATAAGGAATAATGTAACTTAACAATAAGTTGTTATAATGACAAAATTATGGTTTAAAACTGTCATATTTTTGTGTTTCTTAAGTTGGAAGCAAGAAATTTCAAATGCAATTTTAAAAAGTGCTAATAAATTAAATTGACTATAAAATTGATCTGTGATGCTTAAAACTCTATAATAATAGTATATTATGTATCAAGTTTTATAAACGCCATTTTAGTTACAAGTTTAATTAAGCACGAGCGAAGCTTGCGAGCGTCTAGAGAAGTTTATAAACGAGTTGCATACTATACTCCACTACGACGAACACAAAACAGAATTTAAAGCCAATTTTATTTGTTAAAATTTTGACATCTGTCAACTGTCACCCGAATTTAACCTCACTTTTTCCCAATTTATAATAAAGCTAACTTCAGCCCGTGGCGTAAAATGTTGAAAAGCCACTGTTGTTAACTTCAGCCCGTCAATAAAACGCCATAAAGTCACAGCTCGTCAATGTAGAAGTAGATAAAATCATTTTGATTGTAGATTATAAATTTATAGTTTTTGTGTGTAATATAAATCCATAAAATAAAATGATTAAAATAGAGTACAATTTTATCTCATAAAATAATCAATTTCATTAACTAAATGCAGAATATTGATTCCCAATAAATAAACAATTTTTTTGTTGCATGATATTTTGGGAACATAAATTCAGTGTACCAAGAACAAGTTTTCATGAAAAGACGTTTGCAACAAAAATATTGAAAATGATTTTTAAGTTAAAAAACCGGAAATTAAAACAATCAGGTGTTTTGGATCAAACATGATTGTTTTAATAGTCGTTTACGCGCCAAAACGAAAATTGAATCTTTAATTCGGTATTTATTTAAAAATGCACCGATTTAAAAAATATATATTTTTAGTTTCTAGTACCCACTCGAGAAGCTATCTTTTTCAAAGACAAATTGTCATATATGTCGTTTCCATGGCCCTCTATGATTAATAGAAGGTCTCCAAAAACGTTATTAGGATTTTTTAAATTGAAAAACAGATAACATTTCCAAAAGTTAAATAATAAAAAGCAAAGATTCAATCAAATTTTGACATGACATGACACAATTTGAAGGTTAGGATCATTACATCACGCTAAATAATTCAATGCCACGGAAAAAGCTTTCACTTACTTACAATTTATGCTCGAAATAGAGAGGCTTCTAGAATGGTTTGCTACACTTTTTAAAACGAGGAATTTTGTCGAGTTTACGTTACACGTCCCCCGAAATATGACATTTCTTAAACAAAATACAGACGCCATTATTTAATTTTGTGTCCTTGTTTAGAAAGATAAGATCCACTTAAGAAAATATTAAAATACTAAAACGTGTGTGCTAAAATATTAGTGTTAACTTTAAAGGACTTAAATAATGAATTCTATACTAGTTACCGGTTGTAATCGAGGATTAGGGTTAGGTTTGATAAAAAGTTTAGTGAAAGACCCAAATCCCCCAACAAATATTATAGCAACATGCCGGAGCACAGCGAAAGCCAAGGTAAAACCCCTTAAACACAAATATATGGAATAACAGTAAAAACTAACCTATTGGAGCCATTTTTAACGTTCTATACACTTGATCACTTAAATACTAAATAATACTGATTATAACTTATCGCGTTTTAACGTTAAATAAAAACGACGGTCTGAATCCGACCTGTTAAAAATCTTAAATAATTTTTTACACTTGGAAATTGTTGCTTATGTTGGCTGCATGAACTGTCAATTTCTAGCGCCAAATTTAATTTATATGAAATATAGGAGAGTCATTGTCGCCCCACCACTTCATTCTAGAACTATTAGTTTCTATCTATTTAATACCATGTTATCTATCATGATACCAAGATACATACAATTTAAATAATACACTTACTTTGATAATACAAATTGTAAAACTATAAATAGACATTTCTAAGGTTTATAAGCGCATGAAACAAATATTTTAGTTCCAGTCACTCAATACATTTTGTTTTAAAACAATTTGGGTATTTAAATCTTTGACTTACTTTTGGGGTATACAGACACCTCTTTTCTTGTATATTTAAACTTTTTTCTAATGCTGTCAAAGCAGCACAAAAAATCCATGTTAATATTTTGTAATATGACTCATATTTAATTATTATAATTAATAAATTTATGCATTTTTAAACAAAGATGGTCGAATCCAATCAATTGTCATTACGACTTAAGGGGAGCGCCACCACTCTTATAAACTGACCGAATCTATTAAGGGGGGATTTTTTTAGGAATTATGCGAAATAAAAGAAAAATATCAAAATGTGCATTTGTTGGAGTTGGAATTGGAAAAGCCTGAAACGTTTAATAGTTTCGCAGAAAGAGTGAAAGATATAGTAAAAGAAGATGGACTTAATGTACTTTTTAACAATGCGGGATACGCTCCCAGGACCACCAAATTAACAGGAGTGAGAACTGAAGATTTAATGAAAGCTTTCGAAATTAATACTGTTGCACCTATGATGCTAACAAAGGTGAGTTAATAAACGAGCTCGAATTGTTTAAAATTGTATTCGCCCTTTATATTATTTTGTTATTAATATTTAAAACTGGATAGGTAATTGGTTATACTTTTATTTTAGTGTCTATTACCTTTGATCAAGTTGGCCTCAGAAAAAAATCAAGATAAACCAATGGGGATTAGTAGGGCTGCCATTATAAACATGTCATCAATACTTTCTTCTATAACCTTAAACACCAAGGAGGCAGACTTTAATTTGGGGAATTACCCATACAGGTGTTCAAAGGTAAGTTTTAAAAATATTCATTATACTTTTTGGTATCAAAAAAAAAGGCAATTTTTAGACATTTTTAGTAAAGTAGCTAACCATTAAAAATAGAACAATAAAAAATACTTAGTATTTATATAAATTTATTGATTTATTATAGAATAATAGTAGGTATGGGGTGCAACAAATCGTATTGTGAACCTACCTTAATGGTATAGTTGACGGATGTTTTGGTTTTAAGCAGGGTGCACCCTGGTTTTAAGGTTAATAAATAATACTAAAAATTAAAAAAAAATGTTTTTTTTTAATTTAATAAATAATAATTTGATTTTTTTTTAATATTGAATTAAAAAAAAAATTACCCACATGATAAGTTGTTAAAAGAAAAACTGTAAATTTGCACCCCTGTAATTTGATAACCAGAGGTAATAAAGCGCTATATTTTCATTATTTATGTAGTTTGGTTAAAAAACTTTTTAACCTAAATGTGCATTAAGGGGGCTCTAATTTAAAAAAAAGAAACCCCACTTAATTCAAAAATATTACTTAAAGACATTCGTTGTAGGCTGGTCTCAATATTTTTACGAGGTCCTTAAGTATTGAGCTTAATCAAAATTGTATATTGGTCACTTGCATTCATCCAGGATGGGTTAAAACTGACATGGGCGGACCCAGAGCAGCTCTATCGGTTGAAGATAGTATAGATCAAATTATGAAGTTTGTGAAAAACTTAAATAACACCCACAATGGAGATTTCCACGACTATGGTGGTGATAAATTGCCTTGGTAGAACTGCTTTTTTAGTTTAGTTTAGAAAATAAATACTGTATTAATATAAATTTATTTTTTACTTAAAGAATATTTTCCTTCTTTAACAATCCTAAATTTAACCTACATAAATGGCAGTAATTTATCACATTTGATTTAAAATTATCGTCTACATTCATACAAAATATGGCCAATGTTTAATGGCGAATCTCCCGTTATATTTATGGTCTCAGTGTCGACCTTCCAAAACGATCTGTCCTTGAAAAAGTAAGTCTCCCCATTCCAGCTTGTTACTGCATCTAGATGGCTTGGTACACCCCTCCATCTTTCCATGGACAGTGGATACCCTTTGTCTAAAGCCCTTGTGGATTCGTTGTATCTCCAGAAACGATCGTTTTTGTACAGGTAGGTTTTATCTGAATTAGGTAAAAATAATGGGTAAATACTTGTTTATTTGTTTTGAATATAGAGAGTTACCATTCCTTATCCAATTAAAGACAGCGTCAATTTTATCCAAACTATTCGGCAAGCCGTAGTCACTGATTGGTCTAGGACTATTTTCTATAAATTTACCTCCATCGTGGACCCAATACATATTATCTGCAATAATAATAATATCAATAATATTTTCGGCCTCATAATCCCAAGGTTCTAACTTCGGGCCAGGATCAAAAAAAATATATAATAAAATGTCGAAGAGCTAACGACAATGGTAGTGGAAAATACAAGACACAAAAAAATTATCATCCGAGATATCCGAAAATGATAATACCAAGGTCCAGAGATTTAATGCTCCCTAGACTTTTATATAAAATCCAGGTACTAGTATTAGAGCTCTATCACAAACCAGGAAAAACTGGAGCTATAAAGACCGACATGTGGAATCATTGTACCCACCTGTGAATAGCACCATCATTCCGTCGGGTCTTTGATAAGCAGCGTCAATTTTTTGGATATATTTAGGTAAAGTAGGAAACATGTCTCTCAAGGTTACCGGGTAACCCGGTTCTACATAGCCCATCCTCTTCAGTCTCCAAATATGCTAAAAACGCAATTAAACTGCCTGTTCTGGCATTGAACATGAAATACTTACATTTCCTTTAAAAATAAAAAACTCCCCTCTGAGGGAGGCAACAGAGTCGAATTTTCCATCGCATATATTCAAAACAGGTGATTTGGTGGCTGGAAAGTGCAGTTTCGAATCGTGTTTTAAGTGATCGTCGACATCTTCAACGTCGCCTTCGTAGTTCACGCTGTTGCCCTCCTTTCTGGGGTGCTTTGGAGTGGTGTGGTGATGATTCCTTCTGGTGGGGTGAGTGTATGGAGTAGTTACCCTTGTTGTTGTTTTTCGTGTGGTTGGTGGGGTATAGTAACGCGTTGTAGTCTGTGGGCGATGTCTTTCAGTATAATACGTTTTTCTTGTGGTTTTTTCGTTTGGATAATAGGCTCTTCGGGTGGTTACCTCACTGGTATCACGGTTTTGATAAGGATCTACGTCATTAATTGGTCGTCTTACTAGAAGTATATGAATGTATTTTTGATTTTTAAATTTATTTCTTCTTACTGTATAGTTCGTACATTCCCAAAATATCATCATAATCCAAAAAATTACTAGAACTATTATCGAAACCTTTATAGTAAGCAAACATTACCGAACTTGCTACAGGAGAATGTTGTAAGCCCAGAGAGTGGCCTAATTCGTGTAGAGCCACAGAAAAGAAATCAGTACCTAAAATTATCAAAATTATAGATTTGACAATGTCGACTATTAGGACTTACCATCTTGGTTAGCATTACCCTCACCATTGGTTAAATCTGCCCATTTCTCATCGTCATCAAAATGTATGTCGCCACCTATTCCGCTGTTTGGAAAGAATGCATGGGCCAAAACAGATCCTTCTCCATCAAAAGGAAACCTTTGAGTTAAGTTATTTAATATATTTATTTTATTATTATAATAATTTTAGTTACATGTCATCATGGTACCCCCTTCCAAACTTCACTATAATATCTGCGTCAGGACCCCCTACTCTGGTGAATTTTAAATGGCCATACTGACCCCAGATATCCAAAGCTTTTTGGATGTTTCTTATTACAGTGCCTTCACCCAAACGTGGTGACCAATTGGATACACTTAAATATCAAAAACTAATAGTCATAAAATATCTAGTGAAGTACTCTTACGAATAAGTGAGATGCCTTTTATCCCATCCTTTTGAGGCCAAAACGAATCTTTTTTGTCTATTGCCATCTCTTACGATGTCTGGTAAGCCACATCTAGGTGCAGACATAAGCTAAAAATATTTCAGTTTTATAATAAAAATAATATTTTAACTTTAAGATTTACTTTGATGGTAGCATTATCCAAGAGTCCAGTTTCTGGTATATTGCCATATTTTTGCACCAATTTGAGCGCCTTGTCGAGACCTTTGTCTGTGTAGAGGGATGCTGATTCGCTATCTGAGTTAAGGTATCCATACTTCTTCATAAATTCCAACTAAAATGGTAATATTTTTATTTAGTATACCTTTCCTTGGGTTTTTGATGCGCTGAAGTCAGTGGCGACCGGTGGGTCTATAGGAATAAATTTCCACGACACCCGGGAGGTATTATTCTTCGACGCGATGACCTTTTTTAAAATTGCCTATAGCCCTACTAATTCATTATAAATAAAAATAAAATAAACTAAAAAAAAACAAAACAAAGAAAATATCAAAGCAATCTTAACCCAAATTGCGAAACTCTTAAACATAAATTTGTTTTTTATAACTTTAAAATATATATATCTGCAACTTAAAAATATATTTATATGGATGGATAAAAATATATATAAAATATTAGAGCAATCGGAATACCCACCCCCTGAACTACAATTGTTTTTAACGCGGCCCAATAAAATACAATGCCAATAGAATAAGCTTTAAACAAATATTGGAAATATTCCCCAACACCAAAACAAAACACAAAGTGTTTAAAGTACTTTTCGCCAACGATGTTGGCATCTTCAGAAGCGAAGTGTCAGTTACACTTCGCTTTTGAAGATGCCAACCCACACGGAACAATTACATCCAATGGATATCCAATGGATTTCTTTTATGGATATCCAGGATATACATAGGATATCCGGGATATCCAATGGATAACCATTGGATATATAAATGTCCGACCCTCCTGGACATAGTGTGGATATCCAATGGATACCCAGTGGATATAGTATTGTATGCAATAAGGTTGTAATCTGTATTCAATATGGAGATTGTATGGATATCCAATGGATAACCATTGGATATATAAATGTCCGACCCTCCTGGACATAGTGTGGATATCCAATGGATACCCAGTGGATATAGTATTGTATGCAATATGGTTGTCATCTGTATTGGATATGGTGAATCAATGGATATTTACTTTTCAATAAATAACATTGGGTTTTAAAATAAAAGTCTTATTCTTTAATTTAAATATTTATTTTTATGAAAACATAAAATAGAACAGAAAACTACATATAACTAAAGAAGTGCTTGCCATCACTCCTCCAGCTGTCATTTGCCTTTTTATCAGCCTAATCATTTAGGGCCTATTTCACCTGTCTCCTTATGATCCCCAAAATTTGGCCAATCCATCAGCCCATTTGTTTAACATGGCACAATGACTAATGTACCATGCCCACCAACACTGACAGACAGACTGTTTCGACCTGTTGGGTCTCATCAGTGTCAGGCAGTTGGTGCCGAGAGACACGCTTCAAGCCAAGCAACCGCCCACCTATATACTAGTTGGGCGACCTGGACAGCGGCGAGATGCAGCGGCAAGGTAATATGGTGACATTTATCTTCTGTGTTCGCCGGCAGTGTTGTCAGACGTTTAAATAATTTCAGAAAGCTCATCAAAATGGCGGTTATATTATTAAATCTTTAATACTTAATTAATTAGTATACCTAGTATACCTATTTGACATAAATGTGGTGAATAATTATTTTAAATTTATTTAATTTATTTATTAAAACTTAATAAAGTACGGAAATATATTTCGTTTAGTTATTTTGCTTATAACCGGCAACACTGAAGATTCTCAAATTCAGCGCGTGCGTAGTACATATATGAAATACAATAATAAACAAAAAGGACTTTTTTAAGTAATTTTTTATTGTATTGCAGACTGTCATAGTCATATTATTAACAGAAATAATATTATTAATATATAAATATTATTATCTGGGTAAAGTGAACATTTCAAAATTAAAAATTTCGTAGCTCTTGGCAAAAAATCAATTTAACGTAAAGTCGTTTTTTTACATATGCTAGTTTAAACCATCACAAAATCCCACATGTATACATACAAGTATATATACAAGATATCCATATCAGTTATCCACCGGATATCCAGTGGATATCCAGTGGATATACATTAGATGTACAGTGGATATACTTTGGACATACATTAGTTATCCATTGGATATATATTAGAGATACTTTGTTGAAATTGGGTTAATAACGATTTAAATCATATTTATTAATCATTACATAAATTTATCCTATAAGGGGCTATTTTAAAAAAGAAAAAAATATTTTTAATGTTTTTGTTTTTATTTGAACATCCAGTATGGATATCCATCGGATATCCAGTGGATATCTAGTGGATATACATTAGATGTACAGTGGATATACTTTGGACATACATTAGTTATCCATTGGATATATATTAGAGATACTTTGTTGAAATTGGGTTAATAACGATTTAAATCATATTTATTAATCATTACATAAATTTATCCTATAAGGGGCTATTTTAAAAAAGAAAAAAATATTTTTAATGTTTTTGTTTTTTTTTTGAACATCCAGTATGGATATCCATTGGATATCCAGTGGATATCCAGTGGATATACATTAGATGTACAGTGGATATACTTTGGACATACATTAGTTATCCATTGGATATATATTAGAGATACTTTGTTAAAATTGGGTTAATAACGATTTAAATCATATTTATTAATCATTACATAAATTTATCCTATAAGGGGCTATTTTAAAAAAGAAAAAAATATTTTTAATGTTTTTGTTTTTTTTTGAACATCCAGTATGGATATCCATCGGATATCCAGTGGATATCCAGTGGATATACATTAGATGTACAGTGGATATACTTTGGACATACATTAGTTATCCATTGGATATATATTAGAGATACTTTGTTGAAATTGGGTTAATAACGATTTAAATCATATTTATTAATCATTACATAAATTTATCCTATAAGGGGCTATTTTAAAAAAGAAAAAAATATTTTTAATGTTTTTGTTTTTTTTTGAACATCCAGTATGGATATCCATTGGATATCCAATGGATATCGTAAAAGGCATGGATGTTATATGGACATTGGGATAGCCATTGGATATCCATTGGATAGCGTGTTCTGTGTGGGAAGTTGTCCTTTTTCAAGTATCAGAATAAGCTTTGTTTATGAATACTTCCGCATAGCCACTTAATGAAATTTTTGGCGTTGGACGACTGCCCAATATCTGTCTTCTTTCAATTTAGTTTCTTCTTAAAAAAGGCGTTTCAATTATTAAGAGAATAATGTCGTAAACAGGATTCATTAAAAAAAATGAAATATTTAACTAATAAAAGAAAACTTACCGGTATTTTGTAAACCTAACCTTAATTGAAACTCTATACGACTTGTTGCTTAATAAAGACTGCTAATTCTACCTGTGTAGCGTGTATGTACCCCCGTGCACCACAATAATAAAATAATAAATTTTACAAATCGAGACAAAAACTATAAAAGATCAGGCAACAGTTTTAAATAATTTAATCTGAATTGAAACAAAAACATCCGCTCTACACACAAAGCAACTTAAACAGCCACCCACCACATCTTCAGTCATGCGATATAAAACCACCAATTAGAGCAAGTGAACTCGCCTGATATATATATATATATATATATATATATATATATATATATATATATATATATTAGTGGGTAAATAGTTTACGCTCTTTGCTGGTAAGTAGGAGCCTCACAGGCTATACAAATTTCGCCTCTGTTCAGTCGACTCTCAACGCTATAGTGGGTTGACGCGGTTTAAGCGTGGATTTTAATTAAGTGCACTGAAGTACAATTGTAATGGGTAAAAAGCTAAATACAAAAAGGTCGTTCGTTCCTTCATTTTGAGGGTGAGCCCCCCCGAAGATCTTCTTGGAGCAAGGAAAGGAAATTAAAGGGGTCACTCAACCCCCCACAAAATTTGAATTCACTGTCTCGCAAAAAAAGTTTTAATATTGTCAAATCTGTATAAGAACACCTTAATTTGTATACAAAATCAGAAAATTTTATAAATTTCAGAACTATTAAGAAACCCATTATTTATTAAATAACTCGTTAATAATAAAAATTAATATGAATATAATAATAATATTAATATATATACAGGGTGAGTCATAACATGAAACTTCGAGGGGGGAAATCAAACAGTACTAAAATTGGTCCTCATACTCTCCTCCTTATAGGGGGAACAGGGGGTAACTTTAAAATTTCCAATGGAACACCCTATTTTTTATTGCAAATTCGGATCATTCGACTAAAAATAGGTAGATTTTGTCTAAAACATTTTTTTATAATTGTAATAGATGGCGCTTTAATAAAAAAAAATCAATTTTGTTCGATTTTTGTTCTGTATACGATTTTCCAATAATTTTTGAATAAAATACTTGGTTTTATTTTTTAAATTTATTTATTTTTTAAATTTTAATTAAAGTAGGTGCTCAAAATGGTGGCCTTCGACTTCAATTCATTTATTAATTCGCATTTCGTTTTAATATTCTGCTAACACTGCTCTGGGATATTCCCAAATCTCTAGATAATTTTCGTGTGCTTGCATGAGGATTAGCGGCCGTGGCTGCTAATACATTAATTTCATTATTTCCACCTGTGACTGTTGCTCGACGAACTCTTTTTTTCGATTAAACACTCCCGTTTGTAGTAAACTGCTTGACTGTACCGTGAAATGAAGTACGTGATCGAATTTTATCCGGAAAACGCTGAGTGTAGATATTAACAGCATCATCAAGATTCCTGCCTGCTTTTCCATAAATCAAAATCATTTCTATTTTTTCTTCCACTGTTAAAAAATCCATTATAAAAAACTGCTTAACGAAAGGAGGTATTTTTGTTTGCAAATTAATCTTCGAACTAAATTGATTAAATAATGCTAAACTATGTATAAATAGTTTCTTTATACCTCAATAATAATTATTATTTATAACTAAATACCATTTTTTATACCTCAATTAGGATTAAATTAATTAATTGACAAAATAATGTTTTTTTTTTACCTTAAATGAGGTATTTTTATTAAAAATAGCACAATAATCCTTTAAATTAAAGGATTTAATGCTGGCAGGTAAAAAGTGAAATTAAATTTTTTTTTAGACAAAATCTACCTATTTTTAGTCGAATTAGGGTGTTCCATTGGAAATTTTAGTACTGATTGTTTCTCCCCTCTAATCATTTAATTTTTATTTTAAATTTTTTTTTCGTAAAATGCATACTTACATGTATACTAACTGAGATATTTCAAAGTTTCATGTTAAATGACTCACCCTGTATATACCTATATACTTATATAGCATTAAATATCAGAGAAGTATAATGAAAATTAAATCTTACACTTTCCAGAGATGCTCTTTTTTTCATTGGGGGGGCCCCATCAACCAAACTTAATTTTAGCACAAAAACTAACAGTAAAAATGTAAGCAATCTTTTCATGTTTCGGCACTACCTAGGCACACTAAACTAAAAACAGAAAACAAAACGCGACATGGATGCATTAATTTGGGGCCAAAAATTAGCAAGTTTCCATTTATACATTCACTTGGACACAACTGATGGCATTATTTTTATTACTGTTATAATGCTTGTGGCGATGGGTTTTTACATGGCGACAGCGTTAATTCGTAGAATTCAAACGCAGATTTGTTTACGCGTTGCACCTGTTAAGTTTCTCGATTTGCCATTAATGAATTAATTTGTTGGAGTGTGTAAATTTAATCTGTCGAATGAGAGAAACTATCTGTCTGTCCCACTTCCTTTTATCAGTTTCCTTACTAACAGGAAGTCTGATTTGTCGATTGTTTTTCCCCTTGAAGCTACTATGACTAATTAGATAAAGACTTAAGTCTTTGCAAATAGATATCAATGGTCAATTAATTAATATTTGACTTTGAAATGCAATGTACTTTCCTTGAAAAAGTTTCTTATAATCAAATTTTGATATTAATCAATCATCAATCAATTTTATTTTTCAGGATAGTAGAATCTAAATAAAATATTAATTATAAAAAAATATTATTATTATTATTTCATTATAAGTCATACTTACCTCATCCAAAATTATACATGATTCATGAAATTATTGTTTGGAAATAATAATTTAAATAAAGAAGTCATATATTTCTTCTTCACGCGTAGGTTTGGGTTAAATTAATTAGGTGGTTTAACTATAAAATTCATTGAATCATGTTGCGTCAATTTTTTAGGCAACATTTATAATATGTTGTAACGAATGGGGAAAAGGGGATACACGGCCAAAACACGTGATCGTCTAGCTTAAAGAAATTAAATTAGGACCCCTTTTTGTTGTGAATACGGTTCTGGATACGTAGTACTTGATGTTTAAAAGTATTAAATTAAGATAAAGTTTATTAATAAAGGCAATTAATATAAGAATTAATATTATTGCTACTGTACATTAATAATATAAAAAAACATTTATATTTGAAAAGTATCATTGAATTACATATCAGAGTGCGTAAAAACCCCATATACAATCCAGACATGCATATGTGTCGCACATCTAAACTTAATAAATAATATAACAAAAACAAATTAATCAAATATAATATCATCAATTATATTATCATATTGCTAAGATTATTCACCTACGTAAATGGTAGGCTCGGACGGTGAATACGACAAACAAAATAAACAAAAACAATGTGTAAAATAAAATAGCATATAACTTAAGTTACAGAGAAAATAATAAATAGTAGTGGTAAATAAAATATAAATAACAAGTGGTATAGCGGTGGGCAATAGTAACGCAATAAAATTGGTGTACAAGCAGATACCTATAATAAAGTAATAAAATTATATCAAGTTAAATTAAATATGGCAAAATAAATTAATTATTAATACTAATAAAAATAAGATAATTTAAATTTTTGAATTTTTCGAAAAGAATAAAAAAATCAATTTGTTAAATATTTTATAAAAAAAAAATTATAAATGAAATATGTTTTTTTAAGTTTGTAAAAGGAAAACTGTAAACTTTGTACCCCTGTTATTTGATAACCAGAGGTAATAAAGCAAAATAGTTAATAACTATATTTTCATTATTCAAGTAGAGTAGTCTCCATAATGGAGATTTCTACGACTATGGTGGAGATAAATTGCCTTGGTAGAACTGCTTTTTTAGTTTAGTTTAGAAAATAAATACAGAATTAATATAAATTTATTTTCCTTCTATAACAATCCTAAACCTAACTTACACAAATGGCAGTTATTCATCACATTTGATTTAAAACTATCGTCTACATTCATACAAAATATGGCCAATGTCTAATGGCGAATTTCCCATTATATTTAGAGTCTCAGTGTCGACCTTCCAAAACGATTTGTCCTTGAAAAAGTAAGTCTCCCCCATTCCAGCTTGTTACTGCATCTAGATGGCTTGGTACACCCCTCCATCTTTCCATGGACTGTGGATACCCTTTGTCTAAAGCCCTTGTGGATTCGTTGTATCTCCAGAAACGATCATTTTTGTACAAGTAGGTTTTATCTATTAGGTAAAAAATAATGAGTAAATACTTGTTTATTTGTTTTGAATATAGAGAGTTACCATTCCTTATCCAATTAAAGACAGCGTCAATTTTATCCAAACTATTCGACAAGCCGTAGTCACCGATTGGGTCTAGGACTATTTTCTACAAATTTACCTCCATCGTAGACCCAATACATATTATCTGCAATAATAATAATATTATTAATATTTTCGTCCTCATAATCCCAAGGTTCAAACCACGAGCCAGGATCACAAGAGTATATAAAATAAAATGTCGAAGAGGGTAATGACAATGGTAGTCGATGATACAAGACCACAAAAATATTATCAACCGAAAATGATAATACCAAGGTCCAGAGATTTAATGCTCCCTAGACTTTTATATAAAATCCACTTTACAAGTACTAGAGCTCTATCACAAACCACGAAAAACTGATTCTATAAAGACCGACATGTGGAATCATTGTACCCACCTGTAAATAGCACCATCATTCCGTCGGGTCTTTCATAAGCAGCGTCTATTTTTTCTATATATTTGGGTAAAGTACGAAACATGTCCCTCAATGTGACCGGGTAACCCTGTTCTACATAGCCCATCCTCTTCAGTCTCCAAATATGCTAAAAACGCAAACTGTCTGTTCCAACGTTGAACATGAAATAAAAAACTTACATTTCCTTTAAAAATAAAAAACCCCCCCCTGAGGAAGGCAACAGAGTCGAATTTTCCATCGCAAATATTCAAAACAGGTGATTTGGTGGCTGGAAAGTGCAGTTTGAAATCGTGTTTCAAGTGATCCTCCGACATCTTCAACGTCACCTTCGTAGTTCACGATGTTGCCCCTCCTTTTTGGGATGCTTTGAAGTGGGGGTAGTGATGATTCCTTCTGGTGGGGGTGAGTGTATGGAGTAGTTACCCTTGTTGTTTTTCGTGTGGTTGGTGGGGTATAGTAACGCGTTTTAGTCTCTGGGCGATGTCTTTCAGTATAATAAGTTTTTCTTGTAGTTTTTTCGTTTGGATAATACGCTCTTCGGGTCGTTACCCTCATTGGTATCACGGTTTTGATAAGGATCTACGTCATTGATTGGTCGTTTTACTAAAATATATGGATGCATTTTTGATTTTTAAGTTTATTTGTACTTACTGTATAGTTCGTACATTCCCAAAATATCATCATTATCCAAAGAATTACTAGTACTTTTATCAAAACCTTTATAGTAAGAAAACATTACAGAACTTGCTACAGGAGAATGTTGTAAGCCCAGAGAGTGGCCTAATTCGTGTAGAGCCACAGAAAAGAAATCAGTACCTAAAATTATCAAAATTATAGATTTGACAATGTCGACTATTACGACTTACCATCTTGGTTAGCATTACCCTCACCATTGGTTAAATCTGCCCATTTCTCATCGTCATCAAAATGTATGTCGCCACCTATTCCGCTGTTTGGAAAGAATGCATGGGCCAAAACAGATCCTTCTCCATCAAAAGGAAACCTTTGAGTTAAGTTATTTAATACATTTATTTTATTATTATAATAATTTTAGTTACATGTCATCATGGTACCCCCCTTCCAAACTTCACTATAATATCTGCGTCAGGACCCCCTACTCTGGTGAATTTTAAATGGCCATACTGACCCCAGATATCCAAAGCTTTTTGGATGTTTCTTATTACAGTGCCTTCACCCAAACGTGGTGACCAATTGGATACACTTAAATATCAAAAACTAATAAAATAAAATATCTAGTGAAGTACTCTTACGAATAAGTGAGATGCCTTTTATCCCATCCTTTTGAGGCCAAAACGAATCTTTTTTGTCTATTGGCATCTCTTACGATATCTGGTAAGCCACATCTAGGTGCAGACATAAGCTAAAAATATTTCAGTTTTAAAAATAAAAATAATATTTTAACTTCAAGATTTACTTTGATGGTAGCATTATCCAAGAATCCAGTTTCTGGTATATTGCCATATTTTTGCACCAATTTGAGCGTCTTGTCGAGACCTTTCTCTGAGAGGAGGGATGCTGATTCGCTATCTGAGTTTAGGTATCCATACTTCTTCATAAATTCTAACTAAAATAGTAATACTTTTATTTAGTATACCTTTCCATGGGTTTTTGATGCGCTGAAGTCAGTGGCGACTCGTGGGTGTATAGGAATAAATTTCTACGTCACCCAGGAGGTATCATTCTGCGACGTGTTGACCTTTTTTAAAATGGCCTATAGCCCTACTAAATCATTAGAAATAAAAATAAAATAAACTAAAAAAACAAAACAATGAAAATATCAAAGCAATCTTCACCCAAATTTCGAAACTCATAAACATAAATTTGTTTTTAATATATAATTAATTCCCTTTTACCACTTGGTGGTGTAGGGTTTGCTAGTTATACTAGCTATACACGAATTTTCTCCATTCTTTTCTGTTCTTGGTTAGTGTTTTTGCGGTTGTCCATGTCATTCCTTTTTTTTCCAGTGTGTCTGATATTACCTTATTCCAGCTTTTCCTAGGTCTTCCCTTCTTTTTTTGGATGATCTTTGCCTCCCATACTTTTTTTACTTGTCTTTTGTTGTTTAACTCGCTGTAGATGTCCCCACCAGCTAAGTTGTCTCTTTTTTATAAATTCTATAGTGGCTTCAATTTCAAGTTCTTCTCTTATGACTGTATTTCTGATTCTGTCCATTCTTGTGACTCTTTTGATATCTCTAAGAAACTTCATTTCTATTGCACCTATTTTGGATTCTTGTGCCTTATTTAGTACCCATGATTCGCAGCCAAACGTTAATATTGGTCTAAATACTGTTTTAAAAACATTTAGCTTGGTTTTCTTTGTTATTTCTTTCTTCTTTATAAATTTGTTTTTCATAGCGTAGTATAAGTTTATTGCTTTTCCTATTCTTTTATTTATTTCTGCTTCTTGTCCTCCATTATGTTCCAACTCTACCCCTAGATATTGGAAACATTCAACTTGTTCTATTTTTGTCTCGTTAATTATTATGTTTAATTCTTCCTTTTGTCCTTCACCTATTACCATCACTTTTGTTTTGTTTATATTCATCTTCATGTCGTAATCTTGTAAGGTTTTATTCCATATATTTATATTTGTCTGTAGATCGTTTCGGTTTTTTGCCATAATTACTATGTCATCTGCAAACGCTCCCTCTGGGAGCACAGAAAATAATACAACAGGAAAAGAAACTATATTTGGGATTTATAGATATGGAAAAAGCATTCGACAGGGTACCAAGGAAAGCACTATGGAAAATACTAAAAGAAAGAGGAATAAAGGAAAAGACTATACGAATGATCAAAGCAATATACAATAATAATAATAACGTAGTGATTAACAATAATAGAATGTCGAAAGTCTTTAAAACGCAAGACGGACTAAGGCAAGGGGGTGGGTTAAGTCCATTATTATTTATAATCTTTATGGATGAGATAATAAAAAAATGTAACCTAAAAATAAAAAAGTTCTGGTAGGACACAAAAACCTACAAAGGATTGAAATTCGTTTTTTATAACTTTAAAATATATATCTGTAACTTAAAAATATATTTATATGGATGGATAAAAATATATATAAAAACAAATGAAATATCAGAGCAATCGGAATACCCCACCCACCCCTGAACTACAATTGTTTTTAATGCGCGCCCAATAAAAATACAATGCCAACAGAATAAGCCTTAAACATATATTATAAATATTCCCCAACACCAAATCAAAACACAAAGTGCTTAAAGTACTTTTCGCTAACGTTGGCATCTTCATAAGCGAAGAAAAGATTGGACAACATTTATAAATAATTTAATCTGAATCAAAACAAAAACACCCGCTCTACACGAAATGCAACACACACTGCCACCCACCACATCTTCAGTCATGTGATATAAAATTACCAATTAGAGCAAGCCCAAGCTACAATTATCTCGCCTCAAGCAGCGTCAAATAGACGCGAATTCTCCTATGCTTAGTATGATTGATTTTTTACTTTTCAGAGGCCTACCCTGACGAGCCGCCCCTGGCTGAAGTCGAATACGTTCACTTATTCCCAAAACAAAATTTGAATTCACTATCTCGACAAAGAAGATTTAATATTGTCAAATCTGTATTATAACACTTTAATTTTGATACAAAATCAGATATTTTCATAAATTCAAGTACTATGAAGAAACTTATTTATTAAATTATAGTTAATTATAAAAAAACAAAAGTTGTTAAAAACTATTATCAAAAATAAAATTAAAATCAACATAACATTAAATATCAGGGAGGTATTTTGAAAATTAAATCTTACACTTTCCAGAGATGATACTTTTTTCTTGAGCGCGGCTCCATCAACCAAACTTAATTTTAGCACAAAAAACAGTAAAAATGTAATCAATATTTTCATGTTTAGGCACTACCTTCACTTAACTTAAAACAGTCTGTCTGTCCCACTTTTTTTAAACATTTTCCTTACTAACAGGAAGTCGGGTTTGTCGATTATTTTGTTTTCCTTGAAGCTACTATGACTAAGTCTTTGCAAATAGATAACTGTGGTCAAATATATCTTTGACTTCAAAATGCAATGTAGTTTCTTTGAAATGTTTCAAATAATCAAATTTTGATATTCATCAATCATCAATCAATTTTATTTTTTTTCTTCAAGAAAGTAGAATCTAAGTACACTATTCATTATAAAAAATTATTCTTATTATTATTATTATTTCATATACCTCATCCAAAATTATACATGATTCATGAAATTATTGTTTGGAAATAATAATTTAAATAAAGAAGTCACATATTACTTCTTCACGCGTAGGTTTGGGTTAAATTAATCAGGTGGTTAAACCATAAAATTCAATGAATTATTTTGCGTCAATTTTTTAGGCAACATTTAGTATGTTGTAACAAACGGAGAAAAGGGGGGCACACGGCCAAAACACGCGATCGTCTAGTTTAAAGAAATTAAATTAGGACCCCTTTTTGTTGTGAATACGCTTCTGGATACTTGAGCAATTGAAAGGATATTTAAAAAGCAAAGAAAAAGCATTAAATTAAGGAAAAGTTTATTAATAAAGGCAATTAATACAAGAGTTAATATTTTTGCTGCTGTACATTAATAATATAAAAAACATTTATATTTGAAAAGTATCATTAATTTAAGTTAATAAGGTAAAACCTTAAAAACATGCATATGTGTCGCACATCTAAACAACAATACAAGAACAATATAAGAAAAACAAATTAATCAAATATAATATCATCAATTATATTATCATATTGCTAAGATTATTCACCTACGTAATAGGTAGGCTCGGACGGTAAATACGACAAACAAAATAAACAAAAACAATGTGTAAAATAAAAAAGGATGTAACTTAAGTCACAGTGAACATAATAAATAGTAGTGGTACCTAAATAAAATATAAATAACAATTGGTATAGCGGTGGGCAATAGTAATGCAATAAAATTAAGTCCAATTAAATATGGCAAAATAATGCAACAAAACTTTCACATAAATAAGAATTCTTTGTCAATAAATTAAGGTTAATAAAAATCAGTGCGCAAAACCACAAACAAAAGTAAAAACCAATAAATAAATAAATAAATATACCTTTTGATGTGCATAAATTAAAAAAAAAGTTTTAACTAAATATTATCAATTTATGGAATAAACAGAATAAGGTAAACTGTACAAGACAAATTATGTAAACGTTAAAAAGAAATATGTAATAACATGATACATTGCATTACAATATAATATGTTACAGTAAAATGTAAACATAAAATAATGATTATAATAAATAAGTAATTAATTTTGTCCAACCACAACCAAAATTTACAAATTTCAGCTTGTTTCTTCTTTTACAAAGAACAAGATAAATTAATTATAATAAAATATAGTTTAAATTAAATAATAAATAATTATTATTATTATTAATTATATTAATTATTAATATTATTAATTATAATTTACCACTTATTATGATATATGTGACTTTAAATTATTATATTAAAATAAAGAAAAGACATACCTACTTATTAAAAAAATAACACTTTTAAAAAATCGTACCCATTACAATGTATCAAGAATGATAATAATTTCTTGACATTATTACAAACGCATTAAGTATTACAGGGTCAATTTCCAAGGGGTATGATTTAAGTTTTGAAACCGAATTGTTATTAATAAGATTTAGATTTAGATTTTTTTCTAAAGGCTACTGTCAATATAACTTTTTCTAATTTTATAATTTTCCACCAAATGCGGAACAAACCACCATTGTATTTTTATATTGAAACCGACGTCTTTAATTCCTATCCAAGGAAAAACACAAAACAAACTGACATTTGGCATTAAAAAAATTTCTTTTAAAGATAGGGTACCACAAAAAAAACAGTTTTAGGTCCGTTACCATGTAAATATTTTTAATGTAAATGAAATGTGAACATGGTGAATAGTAGGTATAAATAAATATTCCATATCTTTATTAATGATGTTTAAACTGGACCACCCTGTATAGGAGTATCGACAAAAAGTTTTTCAAACTTACTTCGCAATTCAAAAACTACTGGTTAAAATAATTTCCTCTGTAGCGTGGTATATCATTAGTGCGCAATTTTTGGGAGACCCTGTATACCTTTTCCATATTTAATCGTGCAAATAATAATACATTATAGACCAGGTGGAGAAAGATTATATTATAGCATTTATATCTGATATTAAAATAGTGGTTTTAACGTTTTGGGCGGCAAAATTTGCAAAAAATTTATATATAAATACATAGAAATATTGTATTACAATTATTATAAAATTAAATTTTTTTTAGAAAACGTTACTTGAGCTTCATAAATTGTCAAGATAAAGTTAACATTAAATATTTCGAGTTTTGTACAGTAAACTTATATTTTTAAAAATATGTAACTAAACCAATAGATTAATATGAATATTTTAAACCTAAAATACTTAAGATTTAATAATTATCATATATAAGTATAATTATTATATCTATATATACTAGCGGATTGTGCACAATGGTAGCGGCACGTCATCAACAGCATATGACGTCAGCGTTAAGGTCTATTCATACCTGCCTAGGCACAATCTATTTGGAATTATTACATCATTGTTATAATCTTCTACACTAACTAATTAGGAGTTTGTTATGGGCAAATTTTGATTAAATGTGTTTAGAAAGGACGTTTTAAAAACAGGGAAATTGTTACAGTTTTTGGTAAACAATACGTAAATGAATGATATTTGTTGATAACACATCATAATTGCGCCTTAAAAAGCACATTTAATGGTAGTAACTTTACTGACGACATTTTACCGCATTAATGACGTAGGCAAATTTGGTTGCGAATATTATAAAACATTAATCCCGGCGCATTCGCCATTATTGCAAATACGATTTACTGCTATTTTAGAAGATTTTCGAGTATACTTCTATAGAACGGCAATTTGTGAAGAACATATTCAACTTACAGACTTGCTTAAATAGACATTTTTAAAGATAATTTCATCCTGTATAAATATTTTAGAACCGAAATTCGAAAAAAATATTCCTACTGTACGAGCGGAAGGAGAAAAGAATAAAACATTGTTTTTAATAATTTTTGACCTTAATTTGTGAACACTCTGTATAAGCTGGAATTTATACAGTGCTTAAAAATAGATTTTTTTCCAAATTTGACCTTATTTTTTGACCATCCTGTATAAAATTTATTACTATATTATCGTTTTAGGTATGCCAAATTCTGTTTATAAATTTTAAAAATGACGTTTTTGGAGTCCTTCTATTAATCAAAGAGGGCCATAAAAATAACATATCGAGGGCGTATACGCCCTTATAAGCGCCACTATGGACGGATTTGGGTTTTTGGGCGTATGGGCTTATTGATTCATACGCCTAAGTAAAATAAGTTGAAATACGAATCTATGCGCCCTTATGATATATCAAGCGGATTGATAAAATAAGCCCATACGCCCAAAAAACCAAATCCGACCATAGTAGCGCTTACGCCCTTCTGATATGACGCCCTCGATATATAATTTTCTAAAAAACAGGAAAATTGTTACAGTTCTTGGTAAACAATACAATAATAATAAAAATTTTAATATATAATTTTATTGAGCAACAATTACAAATTATTATATACAAGGTGTCCCTAAACTTAGTGGCATAAATTTAGGAGCAGATTAAGCAAGTCAAAATAAGACGAAAATCTAAATAAATATTTTTCCTAATTACGTATGTTTAAAAGATACAGGGTGATAAAGTGTTACTTATCATATCAGTTTTTTTAAAGTAACCTCTACTATGGTAGTCTTGGAAAGGTGATATTTTGCGAACAGTCACTTACTACCAAAAAACATATTCACACATAATTATAATTGTTTGAGTAAACATAGTGTCGTAGAAACTTGGGTTGCTTTAAGCTTATTCAATAATAATAAGCCTTATTGTCCCATACAAACTTTGAGGTTAGGTTTTTATAACATTTGATGCAGTTTTTAGATTACACAGTTCGGCTACCATTAAAAAGGTGTACCTCTGAAACGTTTCCGAGATATTCGAGATTACAATAATTGTTATATCGCATTATTTAAAAGGATTAAAAGGTATATCATAAAAATTTTTATTTTTTAATTGAAAAAACTAAAAAGGGCATTCTATGAGCCTCGAAACTTTTTGCCCTGACCGTTACATTAAAAAAATTGTAGTTTTTTCAGTTAAAAAATTTGTTATATACCTTTTAGTCCTTTAATGCGATATAACAATTATTGTAACTCGAATATCTCGGAAACGGTTTATTTTATCAAAGTTTGAGAGGTACCCCTTTTTAATAGTAGCAGAACTGAGTAATCGAAAAATAGTATAGTATAAAAACCTAACCTCAAAGTTTGTATGGGACAATAAGCTTAAGCAACCCCTGTTTCTACGACACTGTGTTCACTCGAACAATTGTAAGTATGTGTGAATATGTGTTTTGGTAGTAAGTGACTGTTCACAAAATCTCACCTTTAGAAGTCTACGATAGTAGAAGTTATATTAAAAAAACTGATATGATAAGTAACACTTTATCACCCTGTATCTTTTAAACATACGTAATTAGAAAAATATTTATTTAGATTTTTGTCTTATTTTGACTTGCTTAATCTGCTCCTAAATTTATGCCACTAAGTTTAGGGACACCTTGTATATTATATTTGTTATCGTGTTTTTAAATTGTGCAAGCAACGACAGTAACTTGACAGTTTAAAGTTGGTAATGCTAATAACATTGAGGTTATTAATCTGTGGCATTGATGACGTGCACCAGTGGCGGCCCGTCACATTTCATTTTGGTGAGGCAGAGGCAGGGTTTCGCCATCATTTAAAGGCGAAGAATTTTTTTAAACCCAACTTAAAAAAACTGACGTCGCAGTTCACA